ACAAAACATGCGTTTTTTGTTTATCATGTGTGACACTCTACAATCAGGCTGTATCTTTATTCCCCAAACCCATTTGAAATATTTAATTGTACGAAAGGTGTAATATGAAAAGCAGGCCTAAAATAAGCATGTTGGAAACAAAAGCTTCTAACTCATTGTATATTTCTGATGTGGCTCTCAGCGCAGAGTTAATCATTGACTGTGAACCTTTTTGTGTACATGCAGTTATCCTAAATGTTGGGGTTTTTTTTAAAATGGAAAACCAACTATTACACTTCTACTACAATGAAATTATGGGCAGTTGATTTTTAGAAAGAGGCCTTATGTTCCTTCCCTGATGAATAGGAGGGGTGTCTATATGGTGGTTTTGGTTCTGGGAACCTTGTTTGAAAGCACACTTTTTGTACCAGGGCTAGTAACCATTTATAGTTGATCACATGGTATGCTATATGGGTTGGAAAGGAATGGAAATGGGCTGTAATTATCCCTATAATGTTTGGGATGAGGGGGCTGGAGGATGGAAAACAAGCACACAGGTAATGTCAGATTTCCTTCATCTTTCCCCTCCCAGTTTGCAGGTGTGTAGTGCAAACCTTGGGGGGAGGGAAAGCATCAATAATAATAATAATAATAAATAGCCCCTATCTAGCACTTAGAGAGCACTTCCTATTAAATATCCTAAGCACACTTGCATAGAAGCAAAGTTCCATTGAAAGAAATGAGATTTACTTCAATGTTCAAGTGCTGGGGTCCTTAAGACTCCTGCGTAAAGCACAGCTAATGACTACTTTGTAATAAAGATGAGGTAAATAAGATATATAGTCTGATTTCCTTACCCTATTCTGGCTCCAAAACCTTTTAAGGTACATTCTTATTTCTGTAGGATTTCTAGGACAAAGAAGTGGCCCTTTTAATTTGTTTTCTCCCGAGGCCATCCCACATATGGGTAACAAAAGTTCTGGCTTCTTGGTTAACATTTTCAAGCTGTATCTCATTCTAAGCAGAACTTCTGTGTGTCGTTGGAAAATACTGGAATTTGTGTTCAGACGTCTTAATTTTCATGTTGTATTGGCCTTTTAACTGTTACCCCATTTCTTCTTTTATTTAACTGACTGTTTGACTGGTTCTGTATGGAGTTAGCATGCAGCAAGATGCAATAAGGAAGGAGTGTGTGTTTTTGTGTTTATGTTTATGTACACACTTTGCAACCCAATTTAAGTAATTGCTTCAGTAGAGAGAGAGGGACAGCTTTTGTAACCCAATCTGCATGTCCTTGTGCTTTTACCAATTACTTCTGATGCTAGGTGAAGGGAAACCATAACGGTCTGTGGTTAATGACAATGAGCTGCTCAACTATGCCGAAGAAGGAAAACTTGCTGCAGGTAGACGTGACAGAGACCAAGCATGCATTGCTGAAGCTGGATCCCCGTTCGCTAAGTGTGGCTAGCAAGGACCTGGTGCTCCTTCTGCACCGATCCATTGATGGTGTTTCATATGATTCTCTTGCTTGACCACTTGAGCAGCACTTAGGTTGCCAGCAAATCACTTGGCTTAAAAATGCCTGCCAGTTCAAACCATAATGTTACCTTGGTGTTTGGTGGATGATCCTCATGGGGTTGGTAGTGATGAGAAACCCACCCACCCAACTGCTGCATCAGAGAATAAATTCCATGAACTGTAGTGCACAAAAGGACTGACCACTTGGAATATCCACATTGCCGACAATAAGCCACCCCAAAACAATGCTTGTGTGTCAAATGTTGTTTTTTTAACTGAACATTTTCTGCATTTTTCCTCCTTCAACTTGTAAGGTAAACTTACAGTGTAGAAATGCTATGTGCTAGTGTCTTTGCTGCTTTATTTAAATGTTCTTGCATTCTGATACAAGTTGATTTTTAAATACAGTAATTTTGTAATTGCTCAGTTGAGAATGAATTTGGGACTTGCAAATTTATTGGCGTAACCCCCCCCCTTTTTTTTTCCCTTTGCTAGATTTGAATCTACAGCTGGCTGTAATTTGACATATTTGGGGTGTGTGGAATATTGGCCATAATCTTGCCAAAGTTAGTAAACGTAAGTCTCTCTGCTTTCAGTGGGACAGTGAAATTTGGTTGGGTCACTGGAAATGGCTTCAGTGATAGGAAAAACTAAAGTAGTTTGATAAAGCATGGGTATACCAAATGTAATTATCAGTTGTACTTTGACTAAGTGTAATATTGTTTTTATTGTTGCTGGATGTAAATATACTTGAATAATGAAAGAAGTCTGTAGCGCTGTGCCATCTTGATACCTTTAGCTCTATTGACTTCTTAGTCTTTAACTCTAAAGCATTTATCCATCTTCAGTGGCATTTTGTATGTGCAGGTGCAAATCAATTGTTGTGGAGTTGCTTTTTCCCTTTTCTTGCAATCCTTCATTTTTCCCGACTAACTCAAGGCTCATCGTGCTAAGAGTGTCCCAGGGCAAGTAACTGGTGTATTGGTTCACAACCGTGAACTGCTTTTTTCCTGAAGGCATAAAAAAGGAACACTTTTCTCCATTTTATTTTCCAAATGATTATAGATTAGTGCACTCGTAAATCTAGGGCTATGTAAACATTGTTCATGAAAAGAGGAGTTAGCACAATCGTTGCTTCCTTCTCAGAGCATGTTGAGCTGAGGGGAAATTTTCTGCTGGTTTCAGCAAATGCCAGATGTGCACAGTGCTGACTGGCTGGTGCCTATGACGCCACCCTCTTCCCAAAAATATTTTGTTGCATTAAAAAATGTCATTAAGAGAAGAAGAAAATGTGCAAAGGGGTGTGTACATGGAGCTGCCCTGTTGGTTAAACTGAGAGGGGAAGCTTGCACACACATGAGCTTTCTTGCCGCAATGCAAACATAAGGTAGAAAGCAGCTCTTTTTGCATGTGGGGCTATTACGATTGTCAAATAAATCATTGCCCATTGCCTCAGCCAGGGTTTACAGTAGGAACCGCATGTACCCACAGGACAGTGGATCCTGTCATTTAGAAAGACTTGCATTAATTTTAGGGCATGCTGTGGGCAGTATAAGTTTGTACAGATATTTAGCATGCACTCGCTTCTGTACATGAAAAGCAGCAGTGTACATTTTTGCCACTTGTTTGTACAGTGTTCAAAAGCAGGTCAGTGAGCTAGGATCAATCAGAGCTCCTTGGAGCAAACATCCTCAAGAGTTCATGCTTTAGCACTTCACATATTCTTTCACACCTGAAATGAAAAGTCCCTTATTGGTGTAATCTTTGCATTGCTGAAAAATGATGTAACCATTCTCTGCCACAATGCTAACGTGATGGATAATAGGATTAAGGTTCTAGATGGTGTCTACAGTTTATGTCACTGAGGAGCACAAACAAAATCCATGGTGACGATTGTCTTGCTTTCATTCATGTAAGCCAGTGCTACTCAGTGACGGTCCAGTTCATGAGCCATCGGCTGCTGGTCTGTGGTGACTCCACCACAGCCCAGGATGGGTGGGATGCTTCAGATACCCAATATGGTACCAACTCCTGGCACATCAGGTGGGGTGGGATTTGCCAGTCCACCCCATGAGAAAGTTTGAGAAGCACTGATGTAAGCAACCATAGCAAAATTAAATGGGAAAGGAGATGATCAGTTTAAGCACAAGTCATGTAAATTATATCCCCCCCATAGGTTAGTTATCTCCTCTTCCCTGGATTTAAGCACCATCTTTTAAGAAGAAATGTGTTTCTTTCTTGATAGAATTTTGCTGGGCAAACTAGAATGTTCTCATCCATGCAAAATAACTCTTGATGACAGTTCAGTCCCTACTCAAAGCTTTCTTCATCCAGTTTAACAAAAGGTAACCAATTTTATAATTTGCACATCTTATTTATGGGATGGCTTGGTTTCCACAATATTTTACACTCAAAGTACACTGTAAACAATTTAAAATCTAATTGGGAGGTACCCATTGTGTAAATGCATTAAAGAGAAAAAATTAAATAATGTTCCAGTTTGGGGGCTACTTTGTTATTTCCCGTTTTCTCAAAGTGAATGTAGATTTGATTTCCCCCAAGATTTTTCTACTGAAGTAGAAGAGTTCTGTTTTATATATAAAAAACACTCCCCCCCCCCCCGGACATGTAATTCCAGTATTACTCAGTCTGGAGTTACTCCTTGCAAATGCATAAATATATTTTAAATTAAAAAATTAAAGAAAAGGAATAGATCTCATGAGAGATCTAAATCCTTTTTCTAGGAAGAAGGGGAAACTATTTCCCTTTCTGCGACAAATGCAACATACCAGCCAGTGTTCCACATAAAAATGCATAGAAGCTCACCTGCTCTTGGTCTCAAGAAGTTTAGAAGGTGGAAAATGTTACAAGCAGGCAGGGCATGGGGGAAATCGGCAAAAAACAAAACAAAACAACCAACTGCACAACAGTCTTCAGAGTGTCACGCAGCTGAAATATATGGAATATGTCACGAGTGATTCTTGTGTGGAAGCAGGGGGAAGTCTTAGTTGATAGTATCAGATGAACAAGCTGTAAAACTTGTAAAATCTCAAAGGGTATACGTCTTTGTTTTTTTGCTCTACCATAAATAAAATGCAAAAAGAAAAAGCAACATTTAAGATTGTGAGAGTGGTTATCGTTAAAATGTACATGAATGTAAAATACTTGCAGATATGTGTATATATTTCTGTAACATATGTATATTTGGTCCATAATGGTCGGAGCTGGAATACTGTAAAATTGCGCACTTTAATTCTTGTTGAAAACTTTAAAAATTTGTATCCTGTAAATTAAAAGCATCATTAAATCAGTAATTATTCTCTGTGATTTCAGTGCTCTTGTGCATTTCTCTGTGTAGTTATACTAGGCTTAAAATTATTTTGTCATCACCAGTGTGGTCAGTCTTGTTGGTAATGTTGAGGAATTAAATGCAGGTGATTTATAAAGCAAGGATAACACACTTAAGGAATAGATAGGGGAATAAAATGACACGTTCTACATAGTGTAGGTTAATATTGTTTATTTTATAGACTATATCATAGTAGAATTACAAATCTAGTGGGCTTCCAGGTTATAGATCAGCCCCTGCAAGATCCAATTAAAAAAAACAACAAGCAGTGGTTGATAGAGTGACACTATACACCAGACTGCATGAGGGATGTGGAATATTTTACGGCAAGACACACAAACACATCCTACAGACTTCCTTCATAGAATCCAGCCCTCCCTAAAATATATATTTTAATTGCAAGTTTGACATCACTCATATAAGGCATTTTCCCTGACCAGCCTCTTGTTTTAGAGAACCAGACAGCCATTTCAGGTAGATAAGACTTGTTAGTGGCCGTGAAGTTTCTCTTCCCACCCTAATCACCTTTTTTATGAAATGTTCCTGAGAATTTCCCCAACTTTCATCTTCCAGCCTCTGGTGTTTTCCCAAAGGCATTATGCATTGATTTGACATTATGACATTATGGTTATTGACATTATGTCCTATGGATGCAAAACACTGGGTATATTAGAGGGCACTAGTTCATTTTTCACTTTTCCCCCATGTCTTAGCTGTCCAGCAAGGCATTAGTAGTACAGTATTCAAAATAGTCAAACTCTTTGATGTCAAAGGTAACTTTGCTCCACTGCTTGTAGGTCCTTCGGCCGTCTGGAGTTTCCACCACAAAATGCTTGATGGCAAGCATGGGAAGTTTGACTTCTCGGTAGATCATTTCCATGCCCCATTCCTGTATGGAGAAAAAGCAGGTCGGTTAGGTTATTGGCAAGGCCCACCCAGGTTTCAAAAGGTGCCACTTAGTTGGGGAAAGCATTAGCCCATGCCAAAAGTAGACAAAACACAAAACCATTTTCACTGAACTGTGACCTAGGAATTTTAAGACTAATCGATTAGGAAAGAACCCTACAGTGTTTCATAATCAAGCCAATAATCTCTAGGGAGAAATGGATGCATTTTGTTTTGTCTGATAGAATACTGAATTTATGAAGTGGCCTCGGTCTAGTATACCTGAAGGAACGTCTCCACCCCATTGTTCTACCCAGACACAGAGGTCCAGCGGCGAGGGCCTTCTGGCGGTTCCCTCACTGCGAGAAGCCAAGTTACAGGGAACCAGCCTTCTCAGTAGTGGCGTCCGCCCTGTGGAACACCCTCCCACCAGATGTCAAAGAGAACGACATCTACCAGACTTTTAGAAGACATCTGAAGGCAGCCCTGTTTAGGGAAGCTTTTAATGTTTGATGCATTACTGTATTTTAATATTTTGTTGGGGTGTAAATATTATTATTATTATTATTATTATTAAACAACCATTCAGATATGTAGTCCAGCTCCTCAATCCAATGTAGTTAAACACCTTGAGGCTAATTGATTTCAGCAAGCTTGACTGTATGTAACTTTGTTCTACATGGGTGGCCTAGAGGTGCAGAGTTTCAAAATACAGACTAGTTGGGGAGAAGAGGGAATTTCAGCAGGTGGTCATGCAACCTGTCCTCTTTTGCATCTTTCACCTTCAGCTGCACCCAACTAATATTTGCAAAGGTTTAATTACTGGAGCTTGGCTGATTGGGTTCTTGGCACTTGCCTACTGATCTGTAATGCATGTTCTGCCTTCTATTCTAGCTCCAAGGACCAGTTAGAAGACTCAGCCACACAACAGGTTTCCTCACGCCCAGTTGGACAGAAGTAATGTGAAGAGCAGGAGGCAGAGTGAGCACAATTCCCTTGGGGCTAGAACCCATAATTAATGGTGAAACATGTAGCCTACTGCCAGGCTTCATACACCCTCGCCCCTTGCTCCCAAGACCTCTTCTGTAGAGTAGCTACTCCCTAGACTAATTACAGATTCCCATGAAAGGGAGAGATACACAGCATTTAAACCTTAGGGAAATCAAGGAATTTACATGGCTACATGTTCAAATATGGAATCTGGCATCTCTTACTGAGATGTCCAGGTTTACAGACCTTGGAAGTTTTAAAAACTGGCTGAAGGTGGGTGTTGTCACAAGAATGAATCTAGTGGCTATGAGACTGGTCGTATCCTTTGTCCCAAATCTTACAATCCTTTACCTAGCCACCCATTCTCTCTCCTCAAATACAACAAAAAGTCCCAAAAGTAGGCGAATTAACAAAAATGCACCCTACGGCAGTAATGCCTAAGCCCTGGTTGCACTTACCTGCCCACAATTACTGCAGCTGATGGAGCTGCCTGGCTTCCAGTCCCTAAACTCGCGAGGAATCATCACATGGCTATGTGATGCTCTGTAGTACGGACTAAATAGGGAACAACAACAAACTGGTTACTTAATTTCTTGCTTGTGAGACTAGCTGAATACACAAATCTGTTGCAACCTAGATACCTATTTCAGTTGCTGAGTAGAAAGGTAATGTGTTTGAGGGTCATTTTCAGAGAGCCTCCTTTTTGTTCTGTTGTAAATACTGCACCACATGCCATAAGCATTACATATACAAAAGCTCTTCCATCCAGGTGCCCACCCCTATGCACAACTACATAAAACTTTACATATCTAACAGGTTCAATTATTTTTTTGAAAAGGCATTCTTCACTTTATGGAGTTTGCTACAGGAAATGCCTTTTGACTACCTAGAAGGTGTTTTAAAAAAAAAAAAAAAGACTGTGCAACTACAAGGCAGAAAGGTCTATGAATAGGTAGCAGCCATAACAACAAAACTGAATTTCCATGTTTAGTAGCAGTATCCCTTTTAAAAATTAAATTCCAGGTGGAAACAAAAGGGAAGGCTCTAATCTATGCCCTGCTTGTGTGTCAGGGAACTGCCATCGGAAGGAAGGGAGGTGAAAGGGCTCACACAGGTTGGGAGAGACTCAGCAGCTGAAGAGGGAACCAGTAGGGGGAGAGGAGCTGAGCTGAGGGAAAGTGAGCTGGAGGGATGGCTCAGAGACACTTCCAGCGAAAACAGTGGGGAGGTTTCAGGACCTCCTGTAGGAACACCCACTCCTCGCCGGAAACTGTCACGCAGAGAGTCCAGAAGACGTGTTTCCGTTAAGGAGCTTTTATGTTGGAAGCGATTCCGAAAGCAACCACTGTCGGAATCTGCTAGTGACTAGAGGAGCCATGTCTGAGGGGCTCCGTCACAGACAGAGGTTTGTGGACTTGAACAAACTCTGAGGGGATACTATTTTACGCACAAGCAGCTCATCATCCCATCACAGCATTCCGACAGTCTTTGAAAGCTGCTTGTGCGGGAGAAGGCATCATGAGCAACCCAGCCGGAACCGGAGAAGCAGGAGCTGGAGCGGGTCCAAGCCTGGAAGAAAGGTACCGGGTGTTGGAGGTCCAGCTAGCGCTGCAGACGGCGAGGCTTGAGGAGAGGAGGGCTCAGGATGCAGACAAAAAGGGGAAAGCCACCCAGCTCGCCAGAAAGGTACCAGGATTGGTGCAGAAGTTTGGGGGTGAGCCCAAAGACTATCATGGCTTTCGGACAGAGATGCAATATGCCCTCAATCTGCAGTTTGATGAATTCCCTGACGAGGAATCACGAGTGGCTTTCGTGATTGGGCATCTTGAAAAGGGGGCGAGAGACTGGGTTAGACCCCTGATGGCAGCGAATAGTGACGTCCTAAAGGACACGATGAAGTTCTTTCGCGCCATGGATCTGATGTTTTCCAGCGATATTGAACAGGGAGTGGTGCGCAGACAGTTAATGGCTTGCAAACAGGGGAGCCGATCTGTCCGTGAGTACTGGACTGAGTTCACCATGCTGGTTCACAGATTGGGGTGGGACTTATCGGCGGAACCCATTCAAATGCTCTTTGAAGAAGGGCTTTCTTCGGCTGTGAAAGACGAACTTTCCCGGGCGCCCAGGGCGGAGTCTATGGACCAGCTGACCAAATCAGCGCTGACCATAGGAGCGCGCCAGGAGGCGAGAGCATTGGAGAGGCGGGAAGGGAAGGGGAACGTTGGAAGGAGTTCCGCATTCCAGACATTCCAGAGCCAACTTTCCCGCCGGCAGAGCCGATGGAAATCGGAACAGCGCGCGCGCGCAGTTTCAAAGCCCAGTGAGGGGGAAAGAAGGAGGGAAAACGCGCCCGGAAATGCTATCTCTGCCAACAGCCAGGTCACTTTGCCAGAGTCTGCCCCCAGAGGAAGGAATGGCAAGGGATGGTAGGAGCTGTGGAGGGAAGAGAGGAAGAAATACCGGAGCAAGTAAAGCCAACGCCTGGCTGCCACCGTCGGGGCACAGCAGCCAGGCCAAAGAGCAGTGAGAGTGCCCACGCCAGAACCTCCTAAACCCGCCCTAGTGATAGAAGTGGCGCTAGAGCTGCCAAACGGACACCCTCTAAAGATAAAGGCGCTGTTGGACTCAGGCAGCTCCTGCAATTTCATGAGCAAAGAGTTTGCAGCTGAACACCAGATACAGACGATCCCTTTAAGCAACCCCCTGCAGGTGACCACGATCGATGGTAGGGAGCTGTTGGGAGGAGAAGTCAGCTTGCAGACCGTCCCAATGATAATGAAGGTGGCAAGGCACACCGAACTGATAGCGTTTAATGTGGCCACCTTGGGAGGAGCTCCCATTATATTGGGGATGAGCTGGCTAGCGTTACATGATCCGCTGGTGGGCTGGCATCAGAGAGTGGTTTCTTTTGGTTCAGCACATTGCTTAGAACACTGCAAAGAGGGAAAGGGTTTGGCAGGGGCCCAAGCCACCCTAGCAGGGACTGAAGTAACGGAGAACGTGAAGGTACCACGACAATACGCAGATCTCCGCGACGTCTTCAGCGAAAGGGAAGCTGACCAACTACCCCCGCATAGACCCTTTGACTGTCAAATCAATTTACTCCCTGGGGCACAGCTCCCTGTAGGCAAGCTGTACGCCATGTCAGACAGAGAGATGCAGGAGCTAAGAGAGTTCATTGACAAGAACCTGAAGAGAGGGTTCATCAGAGAGTCCAGGGCGGTGGGGGCAGCCCAGTGTTTTTGTGGATAAAAAAACACGAACAAGCCGAGGCTGGTGTGTGACTTCAGGGCCTTAAATGCAGTGTCAGAACCAGTGGCCTTCCCTATGCCCAGGATTGACGACATTTTGACAAGGGTGCGGAAGGGAAAGATTTTCACAAAGCTGGACCTAAGGGGGGCGTACAACCTGATACGAATAAGGAAGGGGGATGAATGGAAAACCACCATGTTCACCCCTTTAGGGGCATTTGAATATTTGGTTATGCCCTTCGGCCTACAAGCAGGCTCCGCATGCTTTCAATCGTTTATGAACCACGTCCTGGGGCCTTTGCTTTACAAGAATTGTGTGGCCTTTTTAGACGACGTGTTGGTGTATTCTGAGAATGAGGAGCAGCATGTGAGAGACGTCAGAGAAGTGTTGAGCAGGCTGCAAGCCAACCAGCTGTGGGTGAAACTGGAGAAGTGTCAGTTTCATACCAAGGAGGTGGAATTCCTGGGGTATCGCCTGTCAGACAAGGGATTGGCCATGGATCCCGGCAAGGTCCAGGCGGTGCTGGAATGGAAAACACCCAAAACCAGGAAGGATGTGCAGAGGTTCCTAGGATTTGGGAACTTCTATCGTAAGTTCATCCGAAACTTTGCCCACCTGACGGCGCCCATTACGGACTGTCTCAGCAGTAAGAAGAAGTTCGTTTGGACTGAGGAGGCGGAGCGAGCATTTGAGGAACTAAAAAGGGCCTTCGCCTCGGAACAACTCCTGCATGTGGATTTACAAAAACCGATGAGAGTGGAAACTGACGCATCAGACAGAGCGATTGGGGCGGTGCTTCTGCAGCCAGGGAAGGAGGAGTCAGAGTGGAGACCGTGTGCTTTTTTTTCGCGAAAGCTGAACAAATCCGAGACGAACTACACGGTGTATGACCGAGAACTACTAGCCATTCATGAGGCGTTCCGGAGATGGAGGCACCTGCTAATTGGCGCACAACATAAGGTGCAAGTGTGCACTGACCACAAGAACCTAGAGTATTGGAGGACGGCACGAGTGCTCAACCAACGGCAAGTGAGATGGGCCCAGGAGTTCTCCAAATTTAACTTTGAGATTGGTTACGTGCCAGGCCCAGAGAACATTAGGGCGGACGCTCTCTCACGCAAACCTGAATATTTGGAGGGAGGGAGCACCGAAGAGAGACATGTCATTCCAGAGGACCGCTGGGTGTGTGGGGCGGCATTGGTGGGACAAAGAGAACTGGTAGAGGAAACAGAGAATGATGAATACGCCCAGAATAAACTCAGAGGTCTTAGGGGTGAGGGAGAGGAACCAGGGGGTTTCGAGGAAAGAAATGGAGCTTTGTATTACAAAGGGGCACTGTATATCCCTGAAGGAGACTTAAGGGGGGAGGGTACTCAAGCAGTTGCACGACAGCCCTACGGCGGGGCATTTTGGACAACACAAAACCATGTGGTTGGTCACCAGGGAATTTTGGTGGCCTAAGGTGAGGGAAGATGTACGTGAGTATGTAAGAGGGTGCGAGCAATGCCAGCGAGCCAAAGGGGAAAGGCGGGCGCCGGCGGGGCTGTTAGAACCCTTACCAACCCCAGAACGACCTTGGGAGGCAGTGTCGATAGATTTTATGACTGATCTGCCGAAGTCCAAAGGGAAAACAGCCATCATGGTGGTGGTAGACCTACTAACAAAGATGTGCCACTTTGTAGCTTGCTCGCATGCAGTCACGGCGGAAGAGACAGCGAAGTTATTTGTAGAACACATTTTTAGGTTGCACGGGGTGCCATTGAGGGTGGTCTCAGACCGAGGAAAACAATTTACTTCCAGGTTCTGGAGGAAGCTCATGAGCTTACTGCAGGTGGAGGTCAATTCTTCGACTGCCCGGCACCCTGAAACCAACGGGCAGGCGGAAAGAGCAAACGGTGTCCTCCAGCAATACCTGAGGTGTTATGTCAATGACAGAGAGAATGACTGGGTAGAAAAGTTGGCGCTGGCGGAATTTGCCTACAACAATGCCGAGAATGTGTCCACAGGGATGAGCCCCTTCTTGGCTAATTATGGGTGTCATCCCAGGGCTTTCCCAGGGGAGATGGGGAGAGATGGAGCGTCCCGGCAGCCGAGCATTTTGTGGAAGAAATGGAAGCAATCCATCGTCAGCTCCAACTCAACTTAGAAAGGGCGAAGGAAGAATACAAGAGGCAGGCAGACAAGAACCGAAGGGAAGGTGAAACCATAAGGGTGGGAGATAGGGTGTGGCTGTCAACCCAAGGGTTGCCGTTCAAAGAAGGTTGTAAGAAATTAAGACCCAGGAGGTTGGGTCCCTTTGAGGTCATTCAACAGGTCAACCCAGTGGCTTTCAGGCTCCGGTTACCCAACCACATGAAACTGCACCCAGTATTTCACAGGTCGTTACTGTCACCGTACGAAGGGGGACGAGAAGGGATGGCCACTCGGGGACCGGTCATAGAAGAAAGAGAATGCAGCAGCCATGTGGCAGAAATCCTCGACGCCAGGTGGAAGGGGGATCAGGTGGAGTATTTGGTAGCGTGGGAAGGAGAACCGGAGTCAGAAAACACTTGGGTAATGGCCGAAGATATCAATGACGAGGTATTGATAGAAACGTTCCATCAAAGGTTCCCAAGGAAACCTCAGCCTGTGGAGAGGTTCCGGAGGGAATACTTTGGGACCACTGATGAGGAGGAGGAGTTGGAAGGATTCCCGGACTCGGAAGGGGAAGGGGAGATGGACTCTGAGGAGGAGGAGTACTTCGAGACCAGGAACCGCAACAGGTGGAGAGAAGTGTTCGAGACATCGGAAGATGAAGGAAGTTCATTCCGGGTTTTGCCTCCTCACCGCCCGTAGAGGAGGGGCGAGAGGGGGTGAAAGGGGCCCTGGAGGGGAGGTGGATGTCAGGGAACTGCCATCGGAAGGAAGGGAGGTGAAAGGGCTCACACAGGTTGGGAGAGACTCAGCAGCTGAAGAGGGAACCAGTAGGGGAGAGGAGCTGAGCTGAGGGAAAGTGAGCTGGAGGGATGGCTCAGAGACACTTCCAGCGAAAACAGTGGGGAGGTTTCAGGACCTCCTGTAGGAACACCCACTCCTCGCCGGAAACTGTCACGCAGAGAGTCCAGAAGACGTGTTTCCGTTAAGGAGCTTTTATGTTGGAAGCGATTCAAAGCAACCACTGTCGGAATCTGCTAGTGACTAGAGGAGCCATGTCTGAGGGGCTCCGTCACAGACAGAGGTTTGTGGACTTGAACAAACTCTGAGGGGATACTATTTTACGCACAAGCAGCTCATCATCCCATCACATTGTGTTTGGCTGCTGTTAAAAAAAATATGCTGGATTGTTTACTGTGTTTAGATACCACTTTTTGTCACAGGTGACCTCAAAGAGGTTTGCATCCCCAGAGCACTTCTCATTCTCTTACTGTTACAGTTTCACTGAAACAGTACAAAGCCCTTTGCAGGCTAAGACTTTACTGCTGCATTGCAACGCTTTTGACTGATCCTCAACTCAAGCAGCAGCAGTATTTATAGTTTCTCATCAGCATGCATAGTGCCTTCCACCGGGATGGCCAATCTGTGGCACTCCAGATGTTCCTGGAATCACAAGACCCAGCAAAGCCAATTGTCAGAGATGATGGAAGCTGTAGTCCAACAACATCTGGTGACAGATGGCCTTTTGATATGATCTAGGCATATATTGTGCATATTCTTAGAACTGTGCCTGGATGATCTGAGGCCCTTCTTTTTATTAAAAAATACTGAGGAGGAGGACCAAAGTCCTGTTGGGAATCAAGCCTTTATCAGGAGAAACTGGCCACTCTCCAGGCACCCGGCTTGATCTCCTGTTGACCTCCCTGTCTGCATTCCCGGCAGGATCCAGGCTAGGCACGATAGGCGATCCTTCTCAGAGTGAGAAGAACACACCCCCTCTTTCCTGCCCCCCCAGGCAGGGGAAAGAGATAGACAGAAACGTATTTACATTCCTTTATTTCTGTCTTTGCAGCGTTACAAAAATCATGACTGCTCTCTTCAAGCTCCAGCAGTCGAGAGACAAAATCCTCCTGTACTTCCTGTACAGCTCATATTACACTCTGAGCTAATTCCGGTGCCCTCTGCACTGTGAATTGACTGTCCCTCTGTTTCCCACGGAACAGTCCCAACATTCCCATTATGTTTTGTTTTCAAGCTACCAGCAGCTCGCGGCTGCATTGATTCAATATCGTAACAAGTCCCTTTCTCTTCCATTCTGTGAACAAGCTTAAGTTGGTTGGGCCAGCTCTGACTTAGAAAAACGTTGGGTCAACCTCAGCCAAAGTTGGCAGAGCAACAGCCACACTCTGGGTTGTCTCCCCTGTTGCTTCCTGTTTGGATGAGGCAAGCAGAATGGAGATTCTGAAAGCTTCTGGTCTTCTTACCTTTACTCACCTGAAGTCGGGGTTGATGTTTATGCGGTGCATATTCTCTATTAGGCGCAGGTCGCTGGCATAGCAGACTGCCACATTGCAGTTGATGCAGTAGAAGCACACAGAGTCTGGATCGTGCAGGCGGCGTTGTTGCTCGCGTTCAGCATCCCGCACCCTGCGGCCGACAACAGCGTCACGCTGAAGCTTTTCAATCTAGGAGGGACAAAGGGAGTTAGCTAATTGGGTCTGAGCCGGGAGAGCCTGCAGGTGAGAAGTAGCCAGAGAATCTGGTTCTAAAAAATTCATTCTAGACTCTCCTCCCACCACCCTCCATTTCTTCAGGTTCGCAAGGCTGGAGAGCATTCCTCTCCCAATGTACTCCCACCAATGCTTCTTTTGTTCTACCCATTGAAAACGTAAAATAGCTGCACAGCAAATCATTGCTTAAGTCTTAGCTTACTTTCTTTCAGTGTTTCATAGCTTAATTATTCAGAGACAACATGGTCCAATTAATACCATTTCATGTTTCACATCTTCTTCAGCTTAACTGTTCCTGAAAGACCTGGAGAAAGTAATGGCTAGCCACTATTTCCCCTATACAAAATGGGAGCAATTTCCTCTCTTCCTAGGACTGTCACAAATGAAAATTGCAATAGCCCTCTGTGTGCCTTAAATGAGCAATAACATCTTTTCCCCACAGCAAAGCTACATATTCAGGATGTTGAAGGTCTTGCAGGGCTGTACCACTTCAGAATGCCCCCTAATTAAAAACGAACAGCACAACTTCCTGTTCAAGGAAACCCCAGAGCTTTGGAGAGAAGGTTCCTAACCTAACTTTCTCCCTAATGGACTAGTTTTATATCCCTATCTCCTCCAAAGAGCTTGGTTCCCTCCACCCTTTTATCCTCACAACCCTGTGAGGTAGGTTAGAGTAGCCCAAGGCTACCCAATGAGCTTCATGGGGGGGAGAGGATTAGAAACTGGGTCTCCTTAGACCTAGTTGGACACTCAGGCGCAGGGGCCAAATGCAGCCCTCTCTAGCCAGCCCTTGGGATTTTTCCAAGGCCACACCCGTTCCCAGGCCTGCTCCATACCTTACTTGAATGTTTTTGCAGGAACATGTCTGCGAGATGACTCACTGTTTTCCCTTCAGTCATAAGGGTTTTGCTTAGGCTCATTGTGCCCTCAGAGCTCTTTAACCATCTATCATTCACTGAGGGGTTATGGTGAGTCCTATATGCCCACAGGAGCATCTTTTGATCAATTATTCTGATTGCAGAACCCTTACAATTCTGTTCCTCTATTCCTCTATTCTAGGAGTTAATTTCTAAGTAAATTACTGACTTGCCTTGTTTATCCTACTGCTTTCAACCCTCAAGGCCAGCTGTTCTCAGTCATGTGCTGAGCCTCGCTCTCCCCCCCCCCCCCCGCTACACTCCTCCACCCCATATGCTGGTGGGGGAAGGCAGAGTGTGTGCCTGCCTCAGCTGGCATCTCCCAGGTGTCCCTGAACTCTGATAGTGTCTCACTTGCCCAAACGGAAAGGGGTGTGAGTGAGCACAAATTGACCTCGTGACTTTTGTATGGCAGGAATTGAATTACTATATATAGATAAATAAGAGTCATGTCTGTTCTGTTTTGCCCCCAGCCTCCCATCCCCCTCACTGGCATATGGCCCTCTGAAGGTTCCCAATTAGGGAATGTGGGCCTTGAGTTGAAAAAGCAACAACCCCCTATAGCTACACTGGTTTCTCCGGGTATTTTTTAATGTTTATACATGAGGGAGCATTCAGATGTGCATCTCCCCCCTCCACATTCTGAAGAGATAGTCCATGAAGAGCTCAACCATGTGATTTTCCTGCATGTATTACTTGCCTCAAAGTGTGTTATTCTCTCCCCACCTCCAAAAAAGGCCACCCCCCAAAAAATGCATGGTTTTACTCCTTTACCAATGGCTTCCTCCACCCTTGCTTCTATCAGCTCTGTGCATCCACCAGCCACCCCCTTTCCCCAAGACGTCCTTTTACCTTTAGGCGGTATTCTCGTTGAGGCTGTTGCAGCTGCAGCTGCTGCACCCACACAATCGCTTTCTCCATCAGGACCTCCAGGGTCTCATTGAGCTTCTCACGGGCGACTTCCTTGCTGTTGGCCTTGGCCAAAACACAGCAGGTGCTGTCCGGGGCACGGGCACGTCCCCTGGCCTGAAAAGGTGACGAGAAGAGTGCTTGCGTCCTTCCCTAGAAATCCAGCCCAGATGCTCCTCTTTTGCCTGTCCCCTTAGGTAGGGCTGGGCGATACCCGGCTTTCAACATCACGATATATCACCAGCTAACATCACAATATATCAATATATTGTGTTGTCTGAAATAAGGATGGAACTATGTAGAGGCAAACAAGGTATAGCCACGTGGTCCACTCATCCATCATTTCCCATTATAACCACATTGTCCTCTGTGATGCTGGATAGCCATTATATTGGGGAATTGCTGGTTACTTAAAGGACTTGGGGCACAGTCCCCCACCCCCATATAATTTTTCCCATATAAGAATTTATATGTATATGGGCAAATGAAGAGGGCAGATGACAGGGCGCTGCACTCTGCGGTGTGCCCAGCTGCCCTATAACAAAGATTGATTTTTTTATGGTGATGAGGAGTATAAAAAAGCAACTAAAAGGAAGCAGGAGACCCAGGGCCTGGAATAAAAGAACCAGGGTTTGGGCCTCTGTAGCATGTCCTCCCAGGACATACTGAGCACTGTAAGGCTCCCCATGGCAGAGGTCAAGAGTGAAGTTCCCCCCAAGAGTAGTACTGACTAACCTGCATCATGGCAATCTCGTTCGTCATCAGTCCATAGCGGACGACGATATTACACTCGGGGATGTCCAGCCCCTCTTCAGCCACGCTGGTGGAGAAGAGCAGATTGAGGGTCCCTTTGCGGAACTGATAGATGACTTCTTTCTGCTGTTGCTGGAGGAAACAACCCAAGATAGGGTGAAAAGATGTGGAGCTTGTTGGGGCTGAAGCTTCTCTTGCGTCCTCAACCCCAGAGCGCAAGTGGTTAACATCACATAAAGTTTGGCCTTCAGACCAACTGGGGCTGCCCTCTTGAAATGTGTGTTTGCAGGACATTAAGGGCACAAAAGGATGCCCCTAACATTTTTAGAGCACTTGGGTAGCTCTAAAAGCACCTTTGCATTCTATCTGAGCACATGATCCCTTTCCAGGTCTAAATTTGGGGGAAAAATTATAGCTTTGATACAAAAACTAGCTGCGCACATTGTTGAATGGCTGGTTCATGAGCAGAAAAAGAAAACTCTTGGGTTTCCTTTCCTTTCTGTAGCAGAGTTCTTTTTACAGAAATGTTTTCCTGCATCTTTTATTTCTTTACAGCAGCAGCAGCAGCATTCCAGCTATCTCTTAGTGAAATTCCCATTACAGGAATAAACACCATTTGGTTTGGTTTCTCAGGGTCTTTATTATGTACAAAACTTTACACTGGTCACTAATAATAAAATAAAAACAAATGAAGAAACATAATCTCTTTCTCTTTTTAGCCATCTGGCCAGAGATCTAACGCTGGCTCATTCACGTACTCATTTACGCTGGCCCAGACTTAGTGGATTGCATGCCCTGATAAGGACACCTGTTGCTGGAGGAAATTTCCATTGCCTAGCAACTTGTTCAAGGCCATTTACAAGTTTCTTCTAGAATATTCCAATAGATGTTGTCAAGAAATCTGCTTCCCTGGCACCTCCCCCAATATCCCTGGACTAATTTTGGAATTAAAACTTTGTGTCTGTGTGAAGCATGGAGAAAAGCACAAATCTAATAGACCACCTACTGTTCTAATTCAATAATTGGTACACCTGCCAATTCAGCTTCAAAGCCAGGAGGAAGCCAGGCCCACCCTGCAGCTGATGGTGACCTGTGTGCTCCGTTTTTATGTTATACAGGATCTGTTCTCAGAGAAAATCTTGGTGGTTGCAAGACAGCTGTGGAGCGTGCCAAAGACTGGGATTCTTTTGTATTTGCATATTTTTCTTCTTAGTTTTAATGGGCTGCATTGCCCTCTCTCTTGAAGTCAGTTCACACAAGCGTATTCAGTCCTTGGCAGCTGCAACCTCAGTTGAATGAATCAACCATGGCAAGCAAAACTCTTGCCACATGGTGTTACCTCTAACACAATGGCTTTCAATGGAGGCAGTTGACGTGTTCCTCTAGGATATATCAACCCAAGAAAAATCGAGTAATATGCATGCAACTATGAATCTACCCTAAGGTCCCCTTAGGGTCCCCAACATCCCTCACTTGATCTGTGGGAGAACTGTTAATGTTACCTGGGTCATGTGTTTTGTCTGACTGCTGAAGCCAGCCCCGGTCAACACAGCAGCCTTGATCCCGAGTTCACGCAAGTTCTGGTTCTCCTGTACCCATTGGTGAAGGCAATGAGCGCACTGACGTGTCCGGGTGAACACAATGCCCCGCGAGGTCTCCAGTTCTTGGAATTGATTCTGGAGGACTTTCTGCAGCTCATCAAGTTTGGGATTCTCAAAGCCCTTGTCTTGAGCAGTGGCCAAGAGGCGTGCTTTGTAGCCTGCAAGACAGGTGCACAGCACACAGATCTCAGCTCTTGAGTCTGATGATTAGGAAGAATATTGCTTTATCTTACAGATTAAAAACAGTTAGCACAACCAATCAACAATGTAACAGTAAGTGAAAAAACAAAACCCACAAAACTTCAAATGACCCACTGCAGCTTATGGCAACAGTGTCTATTGGAGAGCAGTCAGTCTCATAAACAGTTTCTTTTCACTTGTTAGCTCCCCCTCTTTTTTCTTTCTTTCTTTTTCCAATTTGCTTAATTTATTCCCATTTCGTGTCAGATTTGGAATTCCAAGCTTTACCCAAAAAAATCCCCAAAACTTTTTAGGGCAGACTGAAAACAACTCTATGCATCCAGCTAGAGGAAGCAACTCACGGCAGGTTCAGGCTGAGCAGTGTCTTCCTCTGTTTGCCAAAGCACACACAATTTTAGAATGTGTTAAAAAAAAAAAAAATACAAGGAAAAGTATTTGTGTACCAGTAATGGCTTTCTCAGAGTCTCTGTGATTTTGGGCGAGGGAGGCCAGGGGAGAAGAGTAGAACTGGTTGCAAAACAAGTCGCGGCGGAGAATGGTTTACCTCTCAAGGCCTTCCAGCTTTTGAGAACACACAGGGTGTGGGGTGGGTGTTTGTGGGCGTGTAAAAAGATGCCCCTGTTTATTCTAAAAATGGCAACTTTTCATTTGTGAACTCCTCCACGTGAAAGAGAAAACTATTCCAATTCAGAGAGATCATGGCTTCAATGCCTCTCATGAGACTGTCCCAGTCTTCGGCCCCCTTTCACCACCCCTGAATCCCACCAGCACAAAGGTAGGAGAATGGCTCTTTTGCTTTCCCCAATCCATGTGGTTCTAGGATGTAGCCACCCCCAGCTACTAACCAAATGTAAGGGGGCTCAGAGCTGCACAACAGGAGGGTGGATTCAAAAGGACAGTTTGTATCTGGCCTAGCCTCTGCCCTCCACATTCCTTGAGGAAGAAGTGCATCTTGTCATCGATGTTCTTGCACTCAGGATTGAGGCGCTTCAGGATCTGGGCCAGCGCATTGGCCATCTGCTCACTGCTCAGCCCTGTTTTCTTGATCTGCAGTTTCTTCAGAAAATCCTTTGTGGTCATGGGCCCTCTGGTCAAGGAGTAGCACACGGCATCCTCCGTCAGCTGCACATCAATACTGCTGGGTGTTGACTTGCCCGACTGTGGCTGGGGGGTAGATGTCCCAGAGATGGTGAGGCCTGGGGCCCAGTGTCCAACTTCAGCCTCTTTGCTGCAGCGAGATCACTGGCCCCTGCCTATTGCTTTCCTTGCTCCACTTTGTTAGCTGCGGCCCGCAAGGTGGATGATGTGCCAGCATCCAAGGGCATCCCCTTGTGAGTTGCTAACCAAGCCCTTGTGTTCTTTCTTGGGAGGAGTTTTCTTTTTCATCATGAAGAGTGTGAAAGATGCTTCACTGTCAATGTCGCTGTCCTCAGACGTCTCAGACTCATCACTGGTGTCTTTCTTTTTCTTTTTGAGAGCCAGTGTGGTGTAGTGGTTGAGAGCGGTAGTCTTGTAATCTGGGGAACCGGGTTCACGTCTCCGCTCCTCCACATGCAGCTGCTGGGTGACCTTGGGCCAGTCACACTTCTCTGAAGTCTCACAGTGTTTGTTGTGGGGGAGGAAGGGAAAGGAGAATGTTAGCCGCTTTGAGACTCCTTAAAGGGAGTGAAAGGCGGGATATCAAATCCAAACTCTTCTTCTTCTTCTTCTTCTTCTTCTTCTTCTTCTTCTTCTTCTTTTTATTCTGGGGAGTCGGGGCCTTCTTCTCTTCTCCTCCTTGCTATCTTCGCTACTCTTGCTTGCTTCGTCTATACCTTTTGGGATGCCTTCCTCTTTGGTCACTTTGGGCTTGCCCACTGCTTCTTCCACAGAGCTGCTGGGTCTGCCAGACATGTAGTCAACCTTTTGCCCTTCAAAGTCCCCATCATTGCTGTCTTCAAAGCCTTCATCGTCAGATCCCTTCTTCTTTTTCTTCGTCAGAGGGGCTTTCTTCTTGGCCTTTGTGTATTTCTTCTCATCCACATCACTGAACTCGCTGTCATCCGAGCTCATCTTCCAAGTCATGGATTTTTTTGGTAGCTCCCTTTTTTTTGGTCTTTCTTCTCCTTCTGCTCTTCTTCATCACCTTGGTCTTTCAGCCGCTGCTGCTGCATGATGCTAAAGTGGTTCAGAACCTTGTTCTGCCTCTCTCACTCCTCCTCAGCTTCCTCTGCAGTCAACGTGTGACGCTTGGCAATGGGTGTGAAGTTATGCCAGTTGTTGACTGGGAAGATTTCAAAGGCGCCACCTGGACACCGGGTGAAGATGTAGTAGGAGGTGTTTTCTATCACCCCACCCTTTCTCACACCTTTGAACTTGCGCCCAGTCTTGCCGTTGACTTTCAGGATCCAGGGCTGGTTTTCAAGCTTGAACTCCTTTAATGTGATGCCATATTTTTTGCACCGTGCCTCCTCACGCAGGTTGCAGTTGAACTCGCTGCCAGCTCCGAACTCCGGCATCTCTTCTTCCTGGTAGATCTTCTTACTGCTGAGATCTCACTCCATCTTTGCTTGGTGCCAAGTGGCATAGTTCACTTTGTCAGCAGCACTGAATGCCATAATGTTATATTTTTTTGAGGTGTTTGGGGGGAAATGGACCACATATCCAGTTGCGGTCTGACTCCTGGTGCCCAAAGAAGTCATTCCTGGATGTGCTGCATCCAGCCGAGTCTCTCCAAAAGAAAGTGTCTGCTGGGCAGCATCTCCTCCTCTTTTTTCTGAAGTTTCATCTTTCCACTTCCATGTAGTTCTTTTTCTTCAAGAGTCTCTCTTCAAGCGGTAGTTTTAAGTGCTGACCTAGCTGATCACATGGAACTGGGAACTTGTTCCTGGCCTCTGTTTATATGGACTCTTTTGGCCAACTCACCCACCTCATTTCAGAGAAGGAATGGACCAATCAGTCAGTTTTGGTTTCTCTCCATTTCTCAGTTTTTCAGTCTTTGATTCAGTTTTCTTTAGTTCTGCAGCAATCTGCATTTTCTTTTAACAAGGTCTCATTCATAAACATTTTAGTGTGAATTTTTCCTAACAAACACATTTTGTATGCAGTTTTGACTAATGCACACACTTTTGCAAAAAACAAAAACAAAAAAACAACAAAAACCCAAACCCCTAATATAATACATTATTGTACATAATTTTCACTAATATATGCATTTTGGTACACACTTTCCTCAATATATTCATTTCTGTACACATTGGTTGGAGAACTGCATTGCAAAATTCAGAGAAGTGTGAATTTTGAAGGATACCTGCTTTAGTTTGTGTATTGGCTTGAGAAGTTCAAATTAAAATGCAAGCAGAACAAAGTGGTGGTGTTTCTGTGAATCAAATTTCTCAGTGTAAGACAGTGTACTTACTGTCAAAGAGCCGGACCAAGTACTGCTCAGCAGGGTTCTGCAACACCTTAGTAGCATTTTCCAGCAGGTAAAACTCATCCAGAATTTTGTAGGCGTCGATCATGCGCACAGTGTCGTTGACCATCAGGGCATCATTGTATTTACGTAGGTGCAAGGCACACACTCGGGTCTTTTGGCAAAAGCGTTTTGCTCCTGACAGTGTGAAAGAGACAAATAAGATAATGGTTATGATTAATCATACAGCTGCCCATCAACCAACTTTCCCTGAGTGGCTTAGAACAGAATTATCAACAAAAGCAATATGCAATGATGATTAAAACAACAACAATAAAAGATGGCAAAAACCCTATTTGCAAAAAAAGCAGCATGAAATAGTTTACACCCCAGATTTATAATGCCATTAAAAAGCCTGGGTGAATACAAAGGCTTTCAGCTGTCAATGGAAAGACTATATATAACACACCAGGTAAACCGTACTGTGGGGGGAGGGGCGGGATTCCTGCACTGCAGGGGGTTGGACTAGATGACCCTTAGACTCTCTTCCACCTCCACAGTTCTATAGTTCTATCATTCTATGATAAGATCATTTGTAACAGACCCTATATTCAATCCCCGAAACTTTCCAGAAAAATATCTTAGGATGCAGGTATAATAATAAAAATAAAAATAAAAATAAAAATACATTATTTATACCCCACCCATCTGACTGGGTTTCCCCAGCCACTCTGGGCGGCTCCCAACAGAATTAAAAGCACAATAAAACATCAAACATTAAAAACTTCCCTGAACAGGGCTGCCTTCAGATGTCTTTTAAAAGTAAGATATTTGCTTATTTCCTTGACATCTGATGAGAGGGTGTTCCACAGGGCAGGCGCCATCACTGAGAAGGCCCTCTGCCTGGTTCCCTGTAACTTCACTTCTCACAGTGAGAGAACCACCAGAAGGCCCTCGGTGCTGGACTTCAGTGTCCAGGCTGAACGATGGGGGTGGAGATGCTCCTTCGGGTGTACAGGACTGAGGCCATTTAGGGCCTTAAAGGTCAGCTCGGAAACATACTGGGAGCCATTTCCAGGAAGGAAGCCACTTAACCTGCCTGTGGACATGTTTCCTGTCCCTCCCGTCATATTCGTGTACTACAAAGCTGCTTACTGAGCACTCACCTTCCTTCTCAAGCGCCACAATTTGCTGCTCAAAGATCTGGGTACCAAAATCCATAGTCAAGTCAGGCTCATTCAGGTAACTATATATCTGTGCCATTATCTCTATCAGTTGTTCTGCAAAGGGGTCCTGAAGATGACAGATCAGAGGAGCGTTCGTATTCAGACAAGGAAAATGTTTTACTTTGCTCAGAGCTCCAGAGTCACCTTCTCATCATGGTGCCTCTGGTGCCTCTTCACAGTTGCCCTGTAGTTGCAAGGGGACCTTACCTCACGCCTTTGTTGGGACAGGTTATACTGCTTCTTGGGTTGTGGGCCGTAAGTATCAACGTAGAACTTGTGTTTATCAGAAGACATGATTCTCTCAGTGTCCAGGTTGGCACAGATCTGAAAAGGGTTTTATATATATATATATATATCTCATTTATTATTACATTTATATCCCACTTCCAAGGAGCTCTTCATCCATGGCTTTCCCCCTCCCCATTTGATCCTGGCAGCTACTCTGTGAGGTAGATTATACTGAGATGAGAGACTGTGACTGGCCCAAGGTCACCCAGTGAGCTTCATGGCTGAGTGGGGCTTGAACCTTGGTCTCCCGGGTCCTAGCCCAACACCCTAGCTACTAGGCTATACTGGCTCAAAGAATAAATTGTAGGGAGTGGTTATGTCAATCACGCGAGCGTTTGAGACATCGGCTAAATCCACGATCAGACCTATAGCCCTTAAAACACCAGTAGGAGTTGACTTACAAGTGATAAAAGTGGAAGAAAACGGGTGAGGAACCCAAGTATGCCTTTGTCACTTGCAGACATGTCAAGTATCTGCAAAAGGTTTTCTCCTTAATATGCTGTGGCTGTGTGTGTTTGTGGAGCATTCCCTCACTTGCAGTTGAAACAGTACTATATGTTACCACCTCATCTGGAGCATTGCAAGATACCTTATACCAGGTGAGATTATTTGTCAATCTCCCCAAGTAGTACTGCCTTCTCTGACTGGTAGAAAGTTTTAAGGGTCCAAGGCAGAGAGGTCTTTCCCATTACCTGCTGTATAAGACTCTTGCAGCTGCAGATGCCAGGGATTTAGTACTCTAACATGAACTATGCTCCTTCTATGTATTTAGTGTTTGTGTGAAACGGGCCTGCAGCTGCAGACCAAAGCAGCCTCTGAATAGAAATAAGGTTAAAAAGGGGGAAAGCAACAATGACAATGCTTCCAATATTTGGGCCAAATGTCTTCCATCGGACTCACCTGCAGAATGTGTTCCCGAGCTCCCTGCAGGGAGCTGGCACCACCCGTACCTAGTGAGGCTGTAAGCCCCAGGATCTGTGGTAAATTCTTTTCGCCCTTCAGCTTTCGTTCGAGGTAGCCCTCCATGATCTTGTTGTAGGCGGTTCCTTTGTGGGTGTGATGGCACTCGTCAATCACCAACAAGGTGAAATCTGCACAGATGACGACGACAACGACATCACAAAATATACAGCCAAGTATGGAAATATAGGCTGTTAGATCTTTAATATCTCCTTAAAAAGTTCATTTCCAAATTTTGTCTCTTCCTCCAGCATAGGAAAAAACCCCCACATGTGACAAGTTAAAACGGGTTTATTTATGAACACTTCAGAGGTCAGATTCATGTACTTCAGAAAATTGCGCAGGCAGTAAAACTTATCTTAGTTACAAAGTGGTGAAAGTTCCTGGCATAGGAACTCGAGAATGACTGATGACCAGTTCAAACCTCTTCACATGCTGGAAGATAATAGGCTTGATTACCTATTTCCTCCCCAGGTAAAGCAAGTGTCATAGCTAAACCTGGCAGGACAGCGTACTCCATGGTATTAACCCCTTCACGCATTAATTAGACTTAAGCTTGTTGGTTATATGAGGCTTGTTGCCCCAGAATTATGACCCAGCAGTGGAGGAGCAGCGTTTCCTTCCTGTCCTCCTTGTGGGCATTCCAGAAGCGACTGGCTGGCCACTGTGGAGAAAAGGGTGCTGGACTAGATAGGGCTTTGATCTGATCCAGCTGGGCTCTTATGCTCATCCCACAAGAGGAAGTTATGGCCATCAACTGGGATCACATTAAAATAGGATTAGACAAATTCATGTAGGACAAGACTATCAATGGCTACTAACCATGATGGCTATGTTCTACCTCTACTGTCAGAATCAGTATGCTTCTGAATACCAAGTGCAGGATGGGAGAGAGCTCTTGTTCTCAGGACCTGCTTCTAGGCTTCCCATAGGCATCTGGTGGGCCATTGAGAGAACAAGATGCTGCACTAGATGGGTCACTGGTTTGGCCCAGCAAGCTCTTATAACACCTCTTTCCCACCAGATGCTCACCTGTCAGGTCCACGTGCATCTCCTCCTCTTGGCTGATAAGGGCATTTTGAAGGATCTGTGCTGTGCAGATTATTAAGTCACTCATCTTCAACACTTCTGAGAAGAACAGCTTCTGGTTGCTGTCGCCACTGATGGCTGTAATGTTGAAGCAATTCTGCAAGACGCTAAACTCATTCTTCAGGTGTTGGTCCACTAGAGGCACCTGCCAGGGCAAGAATACAGCAGTGAAACATTTTCCGGGAAATGAGACTGAAACCTTGTCTTTTGGTAAGGGACTGTCTGTCTCCCAACCACCCACATCACCTGGTCCTTACCGTGTTGACTAACACAGCCACCTTGCTCTTCTGTACGCTCTCCATGTGCCTCTTACACACATACACAGCTGCCCGAGTCTTTCCGGAACCCGTTGGCAGCCAAATTATGATATTTTTGCCCTCCAAGGCAGGATCAATGACTTCCCACTGATAATCCCGAAGTTCCATGTGGCCACAGTTTTGAGGGCTGGTCTATGGAAAAACTTGGAAGACCAAGAGTCAAGTCAATTCAGAATAGCACTCAGACACAAGTTACTCCTTCCATAACTTGTTGACAAGACTTTTCTGGCTGGGAAACTCTATGGTTATCAGGAGGACTCCACATTGTCAAGTTCACACAGCAAAGAGATTCAAACACAATCTCTGCTTACTCCTCCCAGCCTCATCATTACACACCATACATTTAAAGCACACCCTCCACTGCAAAGAACCCTGGGAACTGCAGTTCACCCCATACAGTGCTACAATTCCAGCACCCTTAACAAACTACAGTTCCTAGTATTATTATTTTTTGAGGGGGGAGGGGTGCCTTAAATTTACGGTAGGTATGCAGATAATGAGACTGGAAAGTGTAAAGCTTGGAAACATTGAAGAGTATGTTGGAAAAGATGGGCAGAAAGAAAAGGGGAAGAAAGCCCTGTTTTTCTTGAACCGGATAGTTGAATCCAGCCCAGGGCATCTAGGAGGATGTAGCAGCCAGGAGATTTAAGTAGGTCTGGAGACAACAACTGAAGCTCACCCCCAAGATGTGGGTACCTCTAAGCACACAGAACAAAACAGATGCCAAATAAAATTTTAATGGGTTCCCTAAAGTGGGTTCCCTAAAAGCTGGACTTCTAGGTTCCCATTTACCATTGAAGGTATTTTAATACTGAATGCCATGCTATCTATCTATCTATCTATATACACATTTATAACGCTGTGAAGCTGCCTGACTTTTCTATACAACGTCATCATCTTTAGTGGGAGACGAAACTTGTGCTCACAAAGAACTGAGCTAAACAGATTGCCGTAACTCTGCTTCTCCCCACACAGAATGCACTTGGGTCTCCCCGAAGCGAGACGCTTCTACCCCCCTCTATTTCCCCCTCATCATCACACACCATACCTGTCTCCGTTTAGTTCTTCTAGACAAGAATGCCACTGCCGTTGCCACTGTTCGGCTCCTTCTTCAACCCAGCTTGGTGAAAATCCCTGGTTCCACCAGTGTTTTCTTTAGTTTCCTTCTTGCCAGAAATCGAAACCTAAAAGCATTTTGCAAACAGTCTCTTTCGGAGCCCCAACCAAGGGGTATCTTGACAGCAACAAACCAGGCCTTTTCAGATTGCATATCATCGAGCAAACCTGCTTGTAGGGTTCCCTTAATTCCTTAACATACACAAACACACACACTTATTTACACACAACCAAACACTGTTCCAAAAGTTGGTTCCTTATACATACATGCAACACTTATTTATTATTTATCTTATTTTTCCAGTATTGTTATTCATGTTTTTATATTGTTAAACATGTTTTATGCTGCTTTTATAATTAAGTGTTTTAAATTTGCTGTTAGCCACCCTGAGCCTGGTTTTTGAACCGGGAAGGGCGGGGTATAAATAATTTATTATTGTTATTATTATTATTATTATTATTATTATTATTCAGGTCAGTTCTCTACATCTCTAATTAGTCTGTGAATGTTCTTTTTTTAAAGTCCTCATGAAAGTTCAATAAATTCAATTCATCAGTATTATAGTGCAAATTTATCCCAATACATACTTGTTTGTCTCCAGTCTTCCTTAATATAAAGCATTTGTGTATTATTATTTCATTATTATTAATAATAATTTTACAATATTATGCTATAATAATGTAATAATAAAAACATTTTTAGTAATGTGTGCCTTTTTTTACACTTCACTTGGCTAGAGAACTGCACTGCCAAATTCACAGAAGTATAAATTTTGAAGGACTGCATTTTGCTTTGAAAATTATTTTGGAAAGCACTATTAGGTAGGTTCAACTATCTGTGCACATTTTATCAAAATTTCCCCTCTCCCCAGCCATGACACCAATCTGCATATGTTTTGCAGGTGCAAATTTATATGTAAAGATGCAAGTTTAGATAAATTTTTAGAAGGGGAAAAAACAAACACTAGTTTTTGCTGTCAGGGTATTTAAGATTTTCCATGTCCGCTGTATGTGGATTGCCCATTTTGTCCCACCCACAATCAATGGGCAAGAATGAATGTTTGCTGTGATGGGATGATGAGCTGCTTGTGCGTAAAATCGTATCCCCTCAGAGTTTGTTCAAGTCCACAAACCTCTGTCTGTGACAGAGCCCCTCAGACATGGCTACTCTAGTCACTAGCAGATTCCGACAGTGGTTGCTTTCGTAATCGCTTCCAACATAAAAGCTCCTTAACGGAAACACGTCTTCTGGAATCTCTGCGTGACAGTTTCCGGCGAGGAGTGGGTGTTCTTACAGGAGGTCCTGAAACCTCTCCACTGTTTTCGCTGGAAGTGTCTCTGAGCCATCCCTCCAGCTCAGCTCCTCTCCCCTGCTGGTTCCCTCATCAGCTGCTGCGTCTCTCCCAACCTGTGTGAGCCCTTTCACCTCCCTGTTGGTTTCCTCTTCAGCTGCTGCGTCTCTCCCAACCTGTGTGAGCCCTTTCACCTCCCTTCCGTCCGATGGCAGTTCCCTGACATCCACCTCCCCTCCAGGGCCCCCTTCACCCCCTCTCGCCCCCTCCTCTACGGGCGGTGAGGAGGCAAAACCCGGAATGAACTTCCTTCATCTTCCGATGTCTCGAACACTTCTCTCAACCTGTTGCGGTTCCTGGTCTCGAAGTACACCTCCTCCTCAGAGTCCATCTCCCCTTCCCCTTCCGAGTCCGGGAATCCTTCCAACTCCTCCCCTTCATCAGTGGTCCCAAAGTATTCCCTCCGGAACCTCTCCACAGGCTGAGGTTTCCTTGGGAACCTTTGATGGAACGTTTCTATCAATACCTCGTCATTGATATCTTCAGCCATTACCCAAGTGTTTTCTGACTCCGGTTCTCCTTCCCACGCTACCAAATACTCCACCTGATCCCCCTTCCACCTGGCGTCGAGGATTTCTGCCACATGGCTGCTGCATTCTCTTTCTTCTACGACCGGTCCCCGAGTGGCCAGCCCTTCTCATCCCCCTTCGTACGGTGACAGTAACGACCTGTGAAATACTGGGTGCAGTTTCATGTGGTTGGGTAACCGGAGCCTGAAAGCCACTGGGTTGACCTGTTGAATGACCTCAAAGGGACCCAACCTCCTGGGTCTTAATTTCTTACAACCTCCTTTGATCGGCAACCCTTGGGTTGACAGCCACACCCTATCTCCCACCCTTATGGTTTCACCTTCCCTTCGGTTCTTGTCTGCCTGCCTCTTGTATTCTTCCTTCGCCCTTTCTAAGTTGAGTTGGAGCTGACGATGGATTGCTTCCATTTCTTCCACAAAATGCTCGGCTGCCGGGACGCTCCATCTCTCCCCTCTCCCCTGGGAAAGCCCTGGGATGACACCCATAATTAGCCAAGAAGGGGCTCATCCCTGTGGACACATTCTCGGCATTGTTGTAGGCAAATTCCGCCAGCGCCAACTTTTCTACCCAGTCATTCTCTCTGTCATTGACATAACACCTCAGGTATTGCTGGAGGACACCGTTTGCTCTTTCCGCCTGCCCGTTGGTTTCAGGGTGCCGGGCAGTCGAAAAATTGACCTCCACCTGCAGTAAGCTCATGAGCTTCCTCCAGAACCTGGAAGTAAATTGTTTTCCTCGGTCTGAGACCACCCTCAATGGCACCCCGTGCAACCTAAAAATGTTTTCTACAAATAACTTCGCTGTCTCTTCCGCCGTGACTGCATGCGAGCAAGCTACAAAGTGGCACATCTTTGTTAGTAGGTCTACCACCACCATGATGGCTGTTTTCCCTTTGGACTTCGGCAGATCAGTCATAAAATCTATCGACACTGCCTCCCAAGGTCGTTCTGGGGTTGGTAAGGGTTCTAATAGCCCCGCCGGCGCCCGCCTTTCCCCTTTGGCTCGCTGGCATTGCTCGCACCCTCTTACATACTCACGTACATCTTCCCTCACCTTAGGCCACCAAAATTCCCTGGTGACCAACCACATGGTTTTGTGTTGTCCAAAATGCCCCGCCGTAGGGCTGTCGTGCAACTGCTTGAGTACCCTTCCCCTTAACTCTCCTTCAGGGATATACAGTGCCCCTTTGTAATACAAAGCTCCATTTCTTTCCTCGAAACCCCCTGGTTCCTCTCCATCACCCCTAAGACCTCTGAGCTTATTCTGGGCGTATTCATCATTCTCTGTTTCCTCTACCAGTTCTCTTTGTCCCACCAATGCCGCCCCACACACCCAGCGGTCTTCTGGAATGACATGTCTCTCTTCGGGTGCCCCCTCTCCCTCCAAATATTCAGGTTTGCGTGAGAGAGCGTCCGCCCTAATGTTCTCTGGGCCTGGCACGTAACTAATCTCAAAGTTAAATTTGGAGAACTCCTGGGCCCATCTCACTTGCCGTTGGTTGAGCACTCGTGCCGTCCTCCAATACTCTAGGTTCTTGTGGTCAGTGCACACTTGCACCTTATGTTGTGCGCCAATTAGCAGGTGCCTCCATCTCCGGAACGCCTCATGAATGGCTAGTAGTTCTCGGTCATACACCGTGTAGTTCCTCTCGGATTTGTTCAGCTTTCGCGAAAAAAGGCACACGGTCTCCACTCTGACCCCTTCTTGCCTGGCTGCAGAAGCACCGCCCCAATCGCTCTGTCTGATGCGTCAGTTTCCACTCTCATCGGTTTTTGTAAATCCACATGCAGGAGTTGTTGTTCCGAGGCGAAGGCCCTTTTAGTTCCTCAAATGCTCGCTCCGCCTCCTCAGTCCACACGAACTTCTTCTTACTGCTGAGACAGTCCGTAATGGGCGCCGTCAGGTGGGCAAAGTTTCGGATGAACTTACGATAGAAGTTCCCAAATCCTAGGAACCTCTGCACATCCTTCTTTGTTTTGGGTGTTTTCCATTCCAGCACAGCCTGGACCTTGCCGGGATCCATGGCCAATCCCTTGTCTGACAGGCGATACCCCAGGAATTCCACCTCCTTGGTATGAAACTGACACTTCTCCAGTTTCACCCACAGCTGGTTGGCTTGCAGCCTGCTCAACACTTCTCTGACGTCTCTCACATGCTGCTCCTCATTCTCAGAATACACCAACACGTCGTCTAAAAAGGCCACACAATTCTTGTAAAGCAAAGGCCCCAGGACGTGGTTCATAAACGATTGAAATGTTGCGGAGCCTCCTTGTAGGCCGAAGGGCATAACCAAATATTCAAATGCCCCTAAAGGGGTGAACATAGTGGTTTTCCATTCATCCCCTTCCTTATTCGTACCAGGTTGTACGCCCCCCTTAGGTCCAGCTTTGTAAAAATCTTTCCCTTCCGCACCCTTGTCAAAATGTCGTCAATCCTGGGCATAGGGAAGGCTACTGGTTCTGACACTGCATTTAAGGCCCTGAAGTCACACACCAGCCTCGGCTTGTTCGTGTTTTTCTTATCCACAAAAACACTGGGCTGCCCCCACCGCCCTGGACTCTCTGATGAACCCTCTCTTCAGGTTCTTGTCAATGAACTCTCTTAACTCCTGCATCTCTCTGTCTGACATGGCGTACAGCTTGCCTACAGGGAGCTGTGCTCCAGGGAGTAAGTTGATTTGACAGTCAAAGGGTCTATGCGGGGTAGTTGGTCAGCTTCCCTTTCGCTGAAGACGTCACGGAGATCTGCATATTGTCGTGGTACCTTCACGTTCTCTGTTACTTCAGTCCCTGCTAGGGTGGCTTGGACCCCTGCCAAACCCTTTCCCTCTTTGCAGTGTTCTAAGCAATGTGCTGAACCAAAAGAAACCACTCTCTGATGCCAGCCCACCAGCGGATCATGTAACGCTAGCCAGCTCATCCCCAATATAATGGGAGCTCCTCCCAAGGTGGCCACATTAAAAGCTATCAGTTCGGTGTGCCTTGCTACCTTCATTATCATTGGGACGGTCTGCAAGCTGACTTCTCCACCCAACAGCTCCCTGCCATCGATCGTGGTCACCTGCAGGGGGCTGCTTAAAGGGATTGTCTGTATCTGGTGTTCAGCTGCAAACTCTTTGCTCATGAAATTGCAGGAGCTGCCTGAGTCCAACAGCGCCTTTATCTTTAGAGGGTGTCCGTTTGGCAGCTCTAGCGTCACTTCTATCACTAGGGCGGGTTTAGGAGGTTCTGGCGTGGGCACTCTCACTGCTCTTTGGCCTGGCTGCTGTGCCCTGACAGTGGCAGCCAGGCGTTGGCTTTACTTGCTCCGGTATATTTTCCTCTCTTCCATCCACAGCCCCTACCATCCCTTGCCATTCTTTCCTCTGGGGGCAGACTCTGGCAAAGTGACCTGGCTGTTGGCAGAGATAGCATTTCCGGGCGCCTTTTCCCTCCTTCTTTGCCCCCTCACTGGGCTTTGAAACTGCGCGCGCGCGCTGTTCCGATTTCCATCGGCTCTGCCGGTGGGAAAGTTGGCTCTGGAATGTCTGGAATGCGGAACTCCTTCCAACGTTCCCCTTTCCCTTCCCGCCTCTCCAATGCTCTCGCCTCCTGGCGCGCTCCTATGGCCAGCGCTGATTTGGTCAGCTGGTCCATAGACTCCGCCCTGGGCGCCCGGGAAAGTTCGTCTTTCACAGCCGAAGAAAGCCCTTCTTCAAAGAGCATTTGAATGGGTTCCGCCGATAAGTCCCACCCCAATCTGTGAACAAGCATGGTGAACTCAGTCCAGTACTCACGGACAGATCGGCTCCCCTGTTTGCAACCCATTAACTGTCTGCGCACCACTCCCTTTCAATATCGCTGGAAAACATCAGATCCATGGCGCGAAAGAACTTCATCGTGTCTTTTAAGACGTCACTATTCGCTGCCATCAGGGGTCTAACCCAGTCTCTCGCCCCCTTTTCAAGATGCTCAATCACGAAAGCCACTCGTGATTCCTCGTCAGGGAATTCATCAAACTGCAGATTGAGGGCATATTGCATTTCTGTCCGAAAACCATGATAGTTTTTGGGCTCCCCCCCAAACTTCTGCACCAATCCTGGTACCTTTCTGGCGAACTGGGTGGCTTCCCCCTTTTGTCTGCATCCTGAGCCCTCCTCTCCTCAAGCCTCGCCGTCTGCATCGCTAGCTGGACCTCCAACATCTGGTACCTTTCTTCCAGGCTTGGACCCGCTCCAGCTCCTGCTTCTCCGGTTCCGGCTGGGTTGCTCATGATACCTTCTCCTGCACAAGCTGCTTTCAAAGACTGTTGGAATGCTGTGATGGGATGATGAGCTGCTTGTGCGTAAAATCGTATCCCCTCAGAGTTTGTTCAAGTCCACAAACCTCTGTCTGTGACAGAGCCCCTCAGACATGGCTACTCTAGTCACTAGCAGATTCCGACAGTGGTTGCTTTCGTAATCGCTTCCAACATAAAAGCTCCTTAACGGAAACACGTCTTCTGGAATCTCTGCGTGACAGTTTCCGGCGAGGAGTGGGTGTTCTTACAGGAGGTCCTGAAACCTCTCCACTGTTTTCGCTGGAAGTGTCTCTGAGCCATCCCTCCAGCTCAGCTCCTCTCCCCTGCTGGTTCCCTCATCAGCTGCTGCGTCTCTCCCAACCTGTGTGAGCCCTTTCACCTCCCTGTTGGTTTCCTCTTCAGCTGCTGCGTCTCTCCCAACCTGTGTGAGCCCTTTCACCTCCCTTCCGTCCGATGGCAGTTCCCTGACATTTACGTACATATTAAAACTTTAAAAAGGCTTGTCCAACATCTAATGAGGCTAGCCCCCTCACTCTCTTCTCCCACACTTATTCACATGCACATCCATGCAGTCTTTCTCTCTTCCTCTACTTCCACTCACACAATCTCACTCCATCCACCCAACACTCACTCAGTCTCATTGGCATAGCGTGGGTTGCCTGGGTGCCCAGGGCCACCCAGAGGGAGGCAACCGGACAGAGTACACATGCGCAATCATGTCACCCAGCAGATTGCAGCTGCATATTCAGGAAAAGAAGCGTTCCATTGTCTGGAGAGGTCACTTCCTGGTTTGCATGGAGAAGCCATTTCCAATGGAGCCCAGAGATAGAAACGCGCAGCTGCATGGAGGCAGCACTGGGTAATGAAATTCTGCACCCCTATCTATTTTGTACCTGGGGCAAGTGCCCCTGTGGTGCCCCCCACGCTACACCACTGCTCACTCCCCCCCCTGTACTCTCCATCGGCATGAATTTAGAAATCTCCTTTCATTAGTCAATATCATCCATACATGAAACCCAGCAACCACAGCTCAAAGCCATTTGTGCCACAAATGGAAAGTAAAAGAGAGAAAAAAACCATCACCATGTGCACACCAGTTCACTCAAGAAAGTTAGTCAAGTCACACGTTGTGTATTATATAACTGAGAAATTAAGCATGTGTAGAGAGGACTTTCCAGAAAGCATCTGCTTTAGGGATGGGACCAGAACAGTCAACCTTGGGGAATAAGAGAGAGTGAGAGATCTATTTTTAATAAGCTCTAAGTACGACTAAACAACAACAACAAAGCGGTTGTAACAGAAATGGGACTCTCTCTGAATTCCAGATGGTAGAGACAAACAATAGGGAAATGATCTGTTGTGAACAAAACCTGGTCTTGTTCCCTTATGGGGTACACAAGAGCCCTTATAGAGTCCTTTGTAGGTTCTCCATCGGTGGAGAAAATAAGAGGCCAACCAGAGAATATTGAGAAGCAAAGCAGCTAGCAAGCCTGATCTTTATTAAACTGTTGCAACAGGGTGCTCCCCTCACACGCAGGAGGACAGAGGAGAACCCAGAACAAAGGTGTGCCTCCCCTTATATAGACATTTTGAAATTTCCTGCCCTGGAGCTCAAGACCACCCCCAGAAACACCATACCTACATCATAGATAGTAATCACGTAATTCCTGAGACAATGGGAAGGTTCCCTCACCCTCTCTCTCCCTGCAGAGAAACATTTGGTCAGTTTGGGAATCAAAATGGTTTCAGGACTGTATTCCTGTGCTGCTCCAGACATGTGGTTTCTATATTTATGTACGTGTTTGCTTGGTACATTTATGAACATGTATTATATATCTAAGACCTTAAAATTCTTATAACAGATCTTATGTATTTAAATTGCCCTCTAGAGATGGTTGCCTCACCTGGCCTCATTTTAAACAGCTACCTTCAAAATGTTGCATTTCTCCAAAGATATAGCTGAGCAGCTTTGTCTTCCACAACGGGGGCACGGAGGGCGGGGGAAATGAACTGGGGAGGCATGGGGAGGGCATATCTATTTTATTTCCATTTCTTCCACCCCGCAATTCAGCAATATGCTCTAGCGGGCCAGCCAGCTGCGTAGGACAACGTCCTCACGTGCTCACGTTCCGCTTGAGGGAGACACGTGCACCTCGAGAAAAGGGGCATCGCTCCGCGTTCTGCGGCAGGACGCGCCCCTCCCTGTTCCTCCAAGCACCCTCTAGAGGGCGCTGCGGGGCGTCCCGAGCACTACAACTCCCGCCGTGCCCTGCGGCGGCGCGCGCGCAGGGGCCTCTGGGAGAGAGCGGGCCGGCGCCAATGGTCGTCGTCGGCCGCGGCGGCGCGGGGGAAGGTGGCAACGCGGGCGCCCTTCCTCGCCGCCGCCTCCCTCCTCCATTCATTGCCGTCGCCTGCCTCTCCCTCCGGCCCCCTCCGGAGCGGCCGCCTCCGCCGCCATGGAGGCGCTGATCCCGGTCATCAACAAGCTGCAGGACGTCTTCAACACGGTGGGCGCCGATGTCATCCAGCTGCCGCAGATCGTGGTGGTCGGGACGCAGGTGAGGCGAGCAGGCGGGCGGGGCCTGCGCCAGGGTGACCTCCTCCGCGTCCGCCCAGCCCAGGGAGGGGTCGCCCTTCATGGCCCCTTGTGAGGGGGGCTGGGCGTGGAGGCGCCCATTGGGGCTGGCTTTCGTTTTAGGATTATTCTGAGGGGAGGTTGGGTTTGCCCTGCAGTGTCTGGGCGGGAATGGACGTCGCTGCTCCTTGCTGCTCATGTTATGACTCGCAGCAGTTCCACGTATTTCCCTCATGGTTTGCGGTGGGCTGGCGCGCAAAAGGCGCCTCGCGACCCCTCGGCGAGTCTCCCCCTCGCGCCCAGCTTCCAGGCGAAGGTCACTCCTTGGGCGTGAGACCCGGGGCTTGGAGAGCATGTGACGCTTCCACAGAGCACCGGTTCGGTTCTCTTTTTTGCTAGTCGAGTGGCAAATGCAAAGAAGGGGGAAAGGTGGCCTGTGGCCCCTTAAGAGACTGGCCGGTTCATGGCAGCTTAAAGCTTTATTTTTGGTGCCGTAGCTCTGTGTGTGTGTGTGTGTGTGTGTGTGTGTGTGTGCTTGCGCGCCCCCGCGCGCGCTCTTAGCTGGAACAGACTAGCCCCTTTGGAATTAGTCGAATGTGTAATACGGAAGAAACAAACAAGGAAACTGATAACGGGGGACTAGTGGAACAGGGTTGTGCCTTCGTTGTGAAGCTTCTTCCCAGGGTTATCTGGCTGGCTGCTGTGGGAACTGGTGTGATCCAAGAAAGCAATTTTGATGTCATCTTAATAATAATAATAATAATAATAATAATAAATAATTTTATTTATATCCTGCACATCTCTGGGTGGCCTACAACACATATAAAAATATAACAAAACATCAAACATTACAAACAAATCAGAAAAGTTCTTTATCATGTAGATTTGAGGAAATATTGAAACTCCCACTGTTTTCGGAATTGGTCTGGCCTCATGTATGCTGACCCTACATAAAGTGTGTTCTCCTCACGGCAACCCAGAAAAGTAGGTCACCATGCTGGTTTTTTACAAACCAGGGAACTACCTTGTCAGTTCAGTTGAGATTGATTGTGAACACAGACATATACACTATCTAAATCCTGTTGCACCGTCTACTACTGAATTGATTATTTGGGGTTGAATGGTGAGAGGTGATAAAGCAAGCTAGAGGGTTTAAGAAACTATCCAGATAATGGTTTAGAGATATGATATGGTTCTGCTGCTAAAACTGAGCAGGGCCTTGTCCTTTCATCTGCCTGTCTTGGTGATGAGCTGAGAACCATACATGAGCCTCTCTCAGCTTTTCCAAGGAAGGGCGTGGTGTAAAAAACAGTAATCAATACACAAAGGATGAGAACCTGGAAACAATGTATTTTAATTGATGTGAGGTATCAGGTGTGTGTGGGGTGGGGTGGGGATTAAGGAAAACAATAAAGATTTGAGAATAAGAAAAGTCAGAAGGTTTGTAGGCATGGGGTTATCAGGGTGATAATGTGAAGGGAATGGGAATCAGTGGCAGACTATTATCAGGGCTGTATGTACAACATACTTTTAAAAAACCTCCTTCCAGGTAATTGCATTGTCAAGAGAAGCTAAAATCTATGAACTGTATACATGCTTTTTGGGGGGCAAAATATCAATCTGCATTTGGGGGCTATTTTGATGTAATTTACTCTAGATTTCATGGTTATGGCAGGAGCTAGGATATTGAAGTATCTTACCCCTTCCTCCAGTTCTTTGAAACTCAGCCATGTACAGTGGTGCCCCGCAAGACGAATGCCTCGCAAGACGGAAAACTTGCTAGACGAAAGAGTTTTCCGTTTTGGAGGTGCTTCGCAAAACGAATCTCCTATGGGCTTGCTTCGCAAGACGAAAATGTCTTGCGAGTTCCTGCGGGTTTTTTTTCCTCCCCCCCCCTTTTCTAAGCCGCTAAAAGCCGCTAATCCGCTAATCTGTCAATGGGCTTGCTTCGCAAGACGAAAAAACCGCTAGATGAAGAGACTCACAGAACGGATTCTTTTCGTCTTGCGAGGCACCACTGTATCTGACTTCAGATATATCAGCCCACAAGCTGTGAGATATTGGCTCATATACATATGCGAGTAGTAAAGGATCCTAACTCTGCTTTTACCTATAAAATATGGAATGTAATTTATACATATATACACTTTTCATGCATGTTGCCTTTTTTATTCAGGTCTAGGAGAACATCTGCTGGTAAATTCCATATCTTTTCTGCTGGGATGTAGGTCCCATTGAGCTCAGTGGAACTCTCTTCTGGATAAACATACTTTAGCTATATGGTTTCCAATATGGACTGTAAAATGTAAGCCTTTCTTGAGTTCTGTGACCTTACTGCCCAGGGATGGGAATCCTCAATAGCTCGACCTTCTAGTATCTGCTCCCCCATCTAGACAGGTTTAACTAGAGCCCGGGGGACACTCAGTTTTAACTTCCCTTATTTTTGTCCTGATTTATCTCTCCACACCCCACACCCCCAGAGGTCATTGTTCCTTGCCTCTCTTCCCTGTTATTTTTGGAATGCTCTTTTTAAAAGGACAATGTGGGAAATAGTGTAATAAGCTGTTCTATCTTTTATCCAAACTCTTCCCCCCATTCATTTATGATTTTTGTGCAATTGGTTTGGTTGACCTTCTTTGGTGAATAGGTGTGCCTTTCAAAAAATGCCAACTCCCTTGCGCTCAAAATAGCTACACCGTGATCCAAGCTGCTATCATGGGAATAATTTTGCAGGTACATTTGAAGCTTCTTATACTGACATTGTTTCATTGATAACAATGTAGTTAACAGAACTTGGGGTTATATCCAATGCTGCTTTTCCAGCAGCACAGCAGACTTTTGCTTGTGCAAAGCAAATTTCCCTCATTCAGGAATTTAGTGTAGTGCTAATTGGGTATGTGTGCATGGAATGTGGTCCACTCGTGTCAAAACTTTCCCCCTCTCATTCCCACCCCCCAGAGCAGATTTAGGGGATGGGTGAAGATGGGTCCTCTCGTGTGAGATCTCATTCCGTGCATGTAGCAACTTGGTTGAATTCTGTCCATTGAGAACAATTCCTAGTTCCCCATTTTTAATATGTTTTCAATTTGTAGAACTAACAGGGCAATCCTATGCATGTTTACTCAGAAGTAAGCACATCTCTGCTGTCATCAATATCATTATAGGATAAAAAGAGGAAAATGTGCCCTATGCTTGTTATTTATCATTATAATTTAATTTAAAGTTGGCTGTACTCCAGTCATCTAGAGCAGGCATCCCCAAACTCGGCCCTCCAGCTGTTTTGGGACTATTACTCCCATCATCCCTAGCTAACAGGACCAGTGGTCAGGGATGAAGGGAATTGTAGTCCCTAACATATGGAGGGCCGAGTTTGGGGATACCTGATCTAGAGGGAAGATAAAACATACTCACTCTATCAGGCATGTGAAGCAGGACTTGTGTTTTCCTAAGTCTGCTTCTGGATGCATTAAGTGGGCATTTATAGTTGTGTTCCTCTGCTTAGAGTTGCTCTGGTATCATTGAAGAATTAGTGGGAATTAGTGGGTAGGATGAGAGATGATCTGGCTTGTAAATAGGCACACTTCTAGTTGCCAATTGTAAGTCAGAAATTGTGTGCTGATGACTAGGAAGGAAAGCTCTCTCTCTGTCACACACTTACACTCACACACACTGTACTTTCTTTTACAGAGCTCATTGGGGTTTTATTCTCTTTCTTCACCTTTACCCACTTAACAGTCCTGTTTGGTAGTTTGGGCTTGGAGAGGGTGATAACCCGAGGTTATCACTCAGAGTGTGTCTTGGCCAAGGTGGGTTGTGTGTTGAAACTCTACATTCCTAGACTTGGTCAAAGGGTTGAGACATGCAGAACTGCAGGTCCTAAAACAAGTTTATTGGAGTTCTAGTAGGATACACTAACGGGTAGTGCATTTTGCTTTCAAATCCAGATAATCTTTCAGTTTAAGATGAATCTCTTGTTTACGTCTTTATCTCAATATACTCCTTTTCTTGTACTGGGGTTTCTGTATTCTAATGCATTTGCAACATGAAATCTTGTGTTAGCCTTGGATGTTGCTTCATTTTGCATTAAACATTTTTTGTTTCCCCCCTGCGTGCCTTCCTTCCCCCATGCCTCTCCTTGCTTCATGCTTCACTGATACTACTTTTCTTTGGAAATATGCTCTGTTGAACTTAAGTGACCTAATTTTTATTCTCTGTAGGCATGGTTTAGTCCTACTTAGTAAGTGTTTCCCAGTTGGAATTGGAGCAGTATTACACAGAGGTCCTTGACTTACTTTTTTCGCTATATTCTATGCAGATAAAAAATTAATGTTACAACTCATTTTTTTAAGATTGGGTGAACTCTGTTTAGTCGTTGACAGATCTAGGACTCTTTCTAGTGTACGTTGGGGAAATGCAATGAAGCATCTGGCTGGCATAGTGTTCCCCCTCATGGTTGCTTTTGAGGAATTGTGCTTTGGATGTACACATGCAAGTGGAGGCTATCCCATTTTTTTTCAAGTGTTGGAGGAACACACATCAAGAAGAGAAGGGATGTAGCTCAGTGGTAGAGCATCTGTGTTGCATGCAGAATGTCCCAGCTTCAATCCCTGGCATTTCCAGGTCGGGCAGGACCCCATCTGCACTATACAGTGCATTTAAGCAGTATTATGCCACTTTAAACAGTCATGGCTTCCTCCCAAAAATAATGGGAACTGTAGTTTAAGGATGCTGAGAGTTGTTAGGAGACCTCTATTCCTTTCACAGAGCTACTTCTTCCCAGGGAACTCTGGAAATTGGTTTTTCAGCCAAGAGAGACTCCCTCTTCCCGAACGACGCTATGTGGTTAGAAACATATCATCAGCATTTCTGTCTACGTTGATAGGGAAAACCAGGCTTAATTTTTGATATTTATCTTCTAAATTGGAAGAGTTAAAGTTGGTAGCCCTCTAAGGTATCACTTTACCTGGGCGAGGAATTCTTTTCATGCTTGCCAGATAGATGCTTGAAATGGCCTGAGGCTTAGGCCTGTGTCGCTTTTGTCACAACACTTTTAAAAATGTCTTCAGGTGGGTCAAGAAGTAGAGGCACTATGTGGGATCTCTATGCATGTTTAGGAATAGAGGTAGAAAGTAAAAAAAAAATGCTAAAAGGCTAAAATGCAGAGCAAATGATAAATGATTCAAAAAAATTGAATTGTGAGTATTTTTCACATTTCAGCTATAGTATCTCTTTAAAAAAAGATCTAAAAATCAAAATTTAATGCCAATATATTATAAACTTGACCAATTTCTGTTGAATGTAATCCATCTAAAGGCCTGGCTCACACATAATGCTAATACATGGTTTATTTAGCCAAAGTTTGGTTTGTAGCAGAGCCGACTAGACTAACAATGATTTGTTTTTTGGCCCCAAACTATGGTGTAAAACAATGGCTTATTGGTTTATGAACCATGGTATGCTTTAATTATCATTTGGCATCACAGTACAGGCAGTGACCATTTTAAACGAGTATAATGGACGTGTGTCTGCTGACCTGCGGATCCTTTTGGACCCCAAAGAGGGAGGAATGGGGGCAGGGCGCGCTCTGGGAATTGCCTGCATGTCAAAACCCAACAGCCTTTCTTAAACATGCTATGTTCAATTTGATTATTTAATTTCTGTACTTCTTAACGGTATACAGAAAACTGAAGCAGCAACAGACAACTTAAAATATTACAAAAATATGGTTACATATTAGAATGTTACATTAATACAAATACATATATGGGTTCTCACACAGGGTCCGTGCTATGGCAGCATGAGGCAAGAACAGCTGTGGAAAACTAACCAAGATTCGGAGAAACAAGCCTGCCTTGTGACTTGTGGTTTAACCATGTAACCATGGTTAAAACAGATCATGACTTTGCATTATCTGCAGACACAACCACTGACTGCTTTTCTTTATATGAAAATAAAATCCTGGAAGGCAGTCAGTCTTCAAACAGGAATTTGTTTATATACAGTTCCTTATTTATACAGAGTTAAATTCATGAATTTCCAGTAAAAAGTCATTAATTTCACACTCTCATCCTGAACACTAACCAAATGTAATTCTATTGTGCAAAATACATGTGAGTTGCATTTACAGAGGTTTTGAAATACATTGCAAGTCAGTATGCATTCATTGTTAAAGCAACAAATTAAAATGTGTGTGTTTTAGAAAATGTGTTAATTCCTGAATGGATGACTTTGTTTGAATCAGTGATTTAAGTAGATATCTTTAATACCAATTTGAATCAGTACTTAGTACAGTGTAATTCTATGCATATTGACTCAGAAGTAAGCCCCATTGAATGGTGTGGGGCTCACTGTGAGGAAAGAATCTTCTCCAACCTGGCGCCCTTCAGATATTTTGGATTATGACTCCAGTCAGCCCCAGCCATTCATCTGGCATTTCTCAACCTGGCAGAATAAAATCTAATTGCTGATCTCAGTTTAACAGGCCTGGTAAATTTCCTTGAGAAGCTTGGGTTTCTTGTTTTTACGTCCTTGCAAGATGATGCTTTTCCTGTTCTGGTCTATAAAGCGAGGAAGAGCAGCAAAGTGAAACTGACACTAATTATCTGTTTTTATTGTAAATTCTCCACAGCTTGAGTGTGCGTGGATCCAGTTGAGCTGTGTGCTACAGTGAGTTGACAGTGTGCTACAGATTCACGCTGCTTCAGTTAGTCTGTTGTAACTAGTTGGGCATAGACACGTTCTAGTCTAGGGTACATTAAGAAGGTGTGACAGCTGCTATTTCCCCCTTTCTTGCTGCCAAGGTTGCCCCCATTCAGTGTATGGAGGAGTGTTGCTGAAATCCAGATGAAGACTCTTGATGAAAATGTATAATCTTATTACTAAAGATTCTTCTGTTCTAGCAGGCTTTTGTTGTATGAGGAAGATAATGGCTTTTAAACTTGATTTTTAACTGCTGATCTTGTTTACTTGGTTTGTTTGTTTTATGAAATTGTAATTTTAAATGTTGTACACCACTGCTTTGAATTGTGTTCTTGCACCAGAAAGGTTGGATGTAAATAGTTTAACTGATAAATAAAACCCTTTCCCCCCCTTGAAAATCCGTTTTGTCAGTAACCAAAGAAATGGCACGTTGATGTATCCTCAGTGTAACTACAGATGCTTAATTAAGCTGATAGTGGAATCGTAGAGTTGGAAGGGACCCCAAGATCTGCTCCTTAAGAACCCTCAAGGTGGTAAAGGAGTAGATTCCTCCTCCCCAACATACTGATCACTCTGCAGCGGAGGTGACTAACTTGTGCCCCTCAGTGGACTATCAATTCCCATCATCACAGCCAGCATGGCTAATAGTTGGGGATGATGGGAGCTGTAGTCCAACAACATCTGGAGGGCCACAGCTTAGCCACACCCGCCCAGCAATTTTATTTATTTATTGTTGAGGAATCCGATGACTTACTTAGAAGTCTTTAAGCAGCCTCGGAAATAAGTCCTTGCAAAAAATTTATTAGCCTGCTAGGGGCTAGCAAAGGACAGAGGGAGTGAGTCATTTTTGTCCCAGGCATGGAACTAAACCTGTTTTCTATGAAGTATTCCACATGGTTTCTGTCTTGGGTGCAGAGGAGGGTTGGAGCACCCCATCCATCCTGCCCGCTTATCAATTGTTGTTGCTTACAGCTACCAGACTAGTGCTGAAATACAAAAGGCACGGTGCAAGTTGCTGCAGACAAAATACCTTGCCTTTTAAGAAGTACCCCTTTAATAGCAAGTAGAAGAAATGCATACAGTGGAACCTTGGTTCTCAAACTCAGTCCTTTCTGGGAGTCCATTTGACTCCTGAAACTGTTCCAAAATCAAGGTGCGGCTTCCGATTGGCTGCAGGAGCTTTCTGCACTCAAACGGAAGCTGCTTCAGACGTTCGGCTTCCAAAAAAAGGTCGAAAACCGGAACACACACTTCTGGGTTTTCGGCGTTCAGGAGCCAAAACATACGAGTACCAAGGTATTTGGGAACCAAGGTATGACTGTAGTTACTTGGAAGTCCTACTACTGCTTCATGAATTGGGGAAGTGAGTGCAAGCAGTTGTTGTCTGTGTGTGTGTGCGCGCGTGCGTGCATGCACACACACAGTCTTGGGGCTGCCGCCCCTGTTTGCATTGCTCACCAAGCCTCACGGCCTCCTCCTCTTACACCTGAGCCAGATCTCCATCCCCTCACAACTCCTTCAAGTTCCCCATATCCTCAAGACTTCCGCTGTGTCCCTCCATTCCTGTTTGAGTCAGACCTCGGCTGCTGTTTAAAACCACCCCTTTAAAACCTGCCTCTTTTATTGCTCCACTCCCCTGCCATGACTTCCTGAAATATTGCAATGAGATGTCCTCCAGTGGGGGTTGTGCAATGGCAGCCTTGCAGTTTTGTGTCTATAGGAGGTTTATGTAAAATTCATTCATTCATTATCTCTTTCTCTCTATATATATATATATGTCAGAAGAGAGAGAGAGAAAATGTACAGTACAGCATTTGAAGGAGACTGTTGAGGTTATGGATGTATGCAGAAGTGTTTACAGTAAAAAACAACCCAAACAAACAACAATAAGCAGTAAGACCAGCAGCTAAAAAGAAAAAAATTGACCCATTTATATTGATACAAATGGAGATTTTGAGGCCAGGCCCAAGTTGTCATTTAGGGCTTTAAAGGTTAAAAATCAGTCTCTGGAATTGAGCCCAGAAACTAATTTGCAGTCAGTGTAATTTATGCTCGATTTGAAGAAGGAAATTTATTAGAGCTTATTGGAAGTATATGTCAACAAGTTTTGGAGTACTGAGGATCACTGTAAGGACAGATTATGTCAGAGATGGGGAACCCATGGTCCTTAAGATGTTGGACTCAAACTCCCATTTGCCCCTGCCAACGTGGTCAGGCGAGGGATAGTTTGAGTTGGGTTAGACTGTAACTAAATACGGTTAGCCTTGTAATATTTTTCAGTAACTTTTTATGCTTTTGTAAACTCTAAGCTCTGGCATATAACATTGTAAGTGCCTTTTAAAAATCATAGCTGAGCTTCTGATAGTTCTTGGATTGTTTTCTGAACGAATGCTTCAGAGCATTATGATCCGTAATTAGCTGCTTCTGATAGGTTGGCCTGTTAGTACTGCAGCAAAGGTTCATCAAAATTAGTGATGAAATTATTTAATTATAGTTGCAGAAAGGATTAATAGCATGTAATGGTGTACTTGCATTAGCGCCCCATCTTTTAAATGTTGATTTTTTCCTACTTATCATGGGGCTCTTTCTGAGGCTTTTTCTCCCTCACCAGTTGTACTCACTGTAGAATTGGGAACAGAGTCTGGTCTGGCACACTTCCTCTCTCACTTTCCAACCCCATCTGTTGTATTACTTGATCTAGGGGGGGCAGCTGCCGCCCCTACACCCATGCCTGGGAGGCAGCTATAGTTTCCCTCCCTTTCATGCTAGGTTTTCATGAAATGCTATGATGGGATAAAAGCAGAATTGCCAACAGAGGGCAGTCTAGATCTGTTGCAACAGATAGATCCATCTTTTTTTTCAAAGCCTGATTTTTTTCGGGGAGGTTTTTATTGACACCTGTCCACAACCTATGAAACTCCCAACTCTGTCATTTGTTCAAGGATATTGGAATAGTAGAATGTAATATGCAATTCCTTTGCTTCCTTTTCTGTTTTCAGAGCAGTGGGAAAAGTTCTGTGCTGGAAAGTCTGGTGGGGAGAGACCTGCTCCCACGAGGCACAGGGATTGTCACCCGGCGCCCCCTCATCCTGCAGCTGGTGAACGTTTCTGCAGAGGATCTTCGGAAAAAAACTGGAGACGAAAACGGTAAGGGCTGCTCATAATGGGATGCGATCCTTAAAAGGAAACTACTGTTCAGTTGCCGTTATACAGTCATGCCAAGTTAAGAAATAGCCAGCATTTTAATTTTAAAAGCCGCCGACGCCTTTCCACGGCCTGCGTGTGTTTCACATTTTTCTCTCTTTTTATATCCTGAGGGCAAGGCACAGCTGCTTTGGATTTGTACCACCTGCACAACAAGGAAAGCTTGCTTGTGCCCTTGCCATTCCTGTGGGTGGTATTACTGTTACTCACTCATAGCATTCAGCAATTTTAGAACTGAAGTTGTGTGTCTTCTATTTACAGCTGCCTCATTTTGGGGGTAGTGGGCTACATCGCAATTGCACTTAGCATTTTAATGGAATGCATAGGAAGTTGCCTTATACCGAGCCAGAACATTGGTCTGACTGGCTCAGTGTTGTCAACGCTGATTGGCTGAGGCTCTCCAAGGTTTCAGAAAGGAGATGTTTCTAGTCCTACCTGGAGATGCTGGGGATCAAATTTAGGGCCTTAGCAGATGCTCTGTGACTGAGCTATACCCCTTTCCTATGCTAATAGCATTTGACAGAGATTGCTTCAGTTCTCAACGCTGGAAGGTAGGGCAGTATTATAATGATGTTGAGAGAATAGGGGCTTACCTAAGGCCACCTGGTGCAGAGGATGGCAGAAAGATGGTCCAAATAGTTGGATGATTAGGAATAGATTTATACGTGTTTCTGATTGCCATAAAAAATAGGAACTGAGAATCATTGCATTCACATCCATCCATCATTATTGCAGGGGTTTTTTCCATTCATCTTAGCCGAAATAATCATTTTGACAGGAGACAATTATTCTCACAGTAACTGGATAATCTTCATTTGTTAGAGAGATTGCTTTGTTTTTGGCTTAGAATAACTGATGCCTGTTTCCTGTAATGGGTTGGAGAGCCCTCAGATGTTTTTAGGGCGGGAGATGGTGGGAAGAGAACTGTGTGCACTGCGCTGGGCTTCTTGGAGGAAAGGTAGGAGAGAACTGTAATAAATAAATGGATTGCAGCTCTCACTTGTTGCTACTTTATTAATGTGTATCCTGCCCTTCCTTCCAAAGCAGTCTGGGGTGGGACATACACAAGAGATAAATCAATCAAAACATCGAAAAACATCTCCAAAATATATGCAGACTGGGAAAGATCTCTACATAAAAGTCTTGTTGGAAGATGCAGGCCTTCAGTGGGCATTGTAAAGGCAGCAGGAGGTGTTAAATAGAGGCCTGTCTAATATTTAAGGGGAGCAAATCCCAAAAGGTAGGTGCCACAACACTAAAGGCTTGATTCCTATATTGTGCAAAATGGGATTTCCTGATATCTGCCGGAGGCCCCCACCAGTAGGCTGCAGTGAGCAACTGGGTATATAATGGGCAGGGTGATCTTCCTCTTCTAGCTGCTACACCGTATGAAAAAAAAAGAATTCTGAAGGAATAAAGAGACTTGGAGCCACTTGGAGTTTTTGTCAACCAGTTTCATAAGCTGCATCAGAAGCTATTTGACCTGGAAAGGAGTGGTTGTGTCTTGTCTTAACTGGTTCAAAGTTTTGTGCTCTGGTAATGCCTCCTGTTTATTTAAGGATATTGTCCATTTGCCTTCGAGATCACCAAAGCTTTCATCTTCCCTTGAATATCCATGATTTTAATTGAGGGAGGGGAAGAGATTGTGTGGAACCTTTTCTAATTATAGGAACAACAACTAAATCATTGACAATATGTTAAGATGATTAAGTGCTTTTTCCAGTTCCTGTTTCTGATTTAAATATCTTTAATGCTGCCATGTAATATTACATTCTGAAAATAATGACCTGAAATCTTTGCCAGCCTTTGTAAACTGCATGTAATAATTGTTATTGCTTGGAGGAGCCATTTTGCAGTGCAGTGTTGGATTTGTGTATACCTGTAAATCTATTTCAGGCTTTGGAATAAATCTTAGCCTGCTTGCTGTATTTGTGCTGGTTTATTTGAAAGGAGAATCCTCACAAATAATCCACTAACACCTGCCAGCTGAAGGTTTATAACGCACACCCTACTTAAGCTGCCTCTAACAACAACTGGGATTTGGGGAATTATTTGTTTTGAAAGCATCACCTTCTTTGTTTGTGGAATCCCCCAAATTCCCTTGTCTTGGCACAATAAGAGTACAATGCAGTTGAATGAAATGGTTGGCTAAAATAAACCAGAATATGTTGCATTTTTTCATGCTTTATAAATGCTCCTGTTCTCTTGGCTAATTTGTATCTTAAGCCCTTGATATGAGGTTATAATAATATTTTCCTTTTCCACAAGTGAAGGAGAGTTTGGGACTTTCCGTATAGCTTCCCCTTTATATATGTTCTTTTTAATATCCTGTGCAAGCTTTTTCAGCAGGAAAGTTGACACTTCTGTGCTGTTGCCTTTATCTAGGATATATATGAAACAGTGCTTGTGTTTCTTATCCTAGTAGCATCAAACATCAGCTCATTTTCCGACTAGCTGCCCATTATACCTGTTGGTATAAAACTATTTGAGAGATGCCAGAAAGTCAAAAGGGAGGATGTCTGTTGAATCTCTGCTGGAAGCATGTTTCACAGCATGGGACCAGTGACACCAAATGCTCGATTTCCAGTTGTGGCCAGCCAGGCCTCTGTAACTTGCAGCATTCCTCCAGATAACCTCCAGATGGTCCTTAAGGCATCCTAGACCCAAGTTGTTTAAGGCAAAATGACATCATAGAATCAAATGCACAGCCTGCCATGATGACACCATGTCATTTTCTGTCACTTCTTCTTGTTGGCTCCCGGATTCAAAGGATGTGATAACCAGGAGCCTGGTCTTTGTGCTCATCTTTCTTTCGCTTGGTTTGGGTAGAGGAAATGGGAATAAGCAAGGGATTGTCTCTTCTGGTCTTCCAGGTCTAAGCAATAAAAAGAGGGAGTATGCTTGTGTGGAGAGAAAGGGCGTTATTTCTTTACTTATCCTTTCAACAAAGCCCAACTTCCATTCCAATGGTTTTCTTGAACCCATTCCACTGTCGCAATTTAATATCACCTATAACCCATGAAGCCTTAACTTACCAATAACCCTTGTAACTATAAGCATATTAAAAAGCCAGCCAAGTGAAGTTATAGTATTTAACAAATAAATTAGTGTTTGTTTATGACTGTATTGTGCGGTATACAAACTTATGCGCTTACCTTAATGTAAGCACATTTTAAATGGATATACACTTTGCTAACTCATTACTGTTAAATACCAAAAAGTTTATTTTACACTACTAAACCAAGAGAAAGCAATTAGGTACCCTCTTGAAGCCCTTTTGCCAAATTGCCCTTGTACTTACTCCACCCCAGTTAAGCCTCACCAGTGCTATAACTGATTACTTTTGTTGAAGCTCCTGATTCAACCTCAACTGAAGGCAGCCCTGTTCAGGGAAGCTTTTAATGTTTGATGTTTTATTGTGCTTTTAATTCTGTTGAGAGCCACCCAGAGTGGCTGGGGGAACCCAGCCAGATGGGCGGGATATAAATAATAAATTATTATTATTATTATTATTATCTACTGACCTACTAAAGTGCAGATATCTCCCCCTGTCCTGTCCTGGAATCTTTTTCTGTCTCTCCAGACATCAGAGCCAGGCGTTCTTAACTGCCTCTCACTTCTCCTTCTCCCCTTATCTCTTCAGCCTAAGCCCAGTAATTCATCTAACCCAGCACATCTTTGACCACTTTGCTTGCCTTTCAGGTCTTCTTTCTTCTTCTTTGATGCTCTCTGCTGCCTCCTCCTTCTGCCTGTCCAGCACAGGTGCCAACCAGCCTGGACAGACCATCCCAACTAACCGCTGCTGACCAGTACCTGGCCATATATATGCTTCTTCTATCCCCTCTAGTCCAGGCCCAGCCAATCACACTGCCTGAGTAAATATTCTAAACCTGCAGCCACCACCCAGAATATGCCTGTCTTCTATCACTTTGCATACTGAGAGTTCTATCTCCAACCCTCACCAAGTGTCAGTTAAGGAGTCCCAGGGAAAGTTAAACCGACTTTCACCTGAACAGGCAGAAGGCTTCCCTCATCAGATGCATTACAGTGTATAATATCACAATACAAATGCTAGCATGCACTACACACTACCCTTTAAAAGACAGTTTAAACAAGCAGGATTTCTTCAGAGCTCTCAAGGTTGCTTTTACAGTTCATGGGCCTTCATATCATTCCTGTTAGAATGCAATGCCCCTTACAGATAAGATTTTCCCAGGAAAGAGGCAAGCCATACAGATTTCTGCATTCCATTCAAACCCACCACATTTCCATTCTTCCTCAACCTCTGCTCTCAGGCAGTCTCACAGGAAGAAGGCCATATAAGTCCATAACTTATATGACTTCAGACTCCCCTGACCTCGGTGACTGAATACTCTGAGCATTGACTTTTGAAAGTTGTGATACCTTATACATCTTTTTAATAGTTTTAATGTTCTCATATGGCTAACACAGCAAGATGTATTTAAAAGGAGCTAGCCAAATAAGGGATAAATGTAACAAACAACACAGTAGTGTATCTTAATACAGTGGTACCTCGGGTTATATACGCTTCAGGTTACAGACTCCGCTAACCGCTAAGAAATATTACCTCGGGTTAAGAACTTTGCTTCAGGATGCGGCGGTGGCGCAGAAGCAGCGGGAGGCTCCATTAGCTAAAGTGGTGTTTCAGGTTAAGAACAGTTTCAGGTTAAGAACGGACCTCCGGAACGAATTAAGTACATAACCAGAGGTACCACTGTACAGAGATGCAAATTATGAAGTACGGTAGTGATCGCTGATCTTGTGTTGCTGTAAATGCAGGCAGACCATAACTCCCTGATTCTTAGGGGGTCTTTTATTGTTGATGAGAAATGTGTAAGTTTGGGGAGAAAGTGGTAACAAGACATGCTCTCCCTCCCCCCCCCATCAGCTTGGTGTAATTAATTCATGCCCCTGCAACTCTTGACTGTCTGTAATGTTTGTGAATTTTGGCTTTGTTTGGGTCTAAAACAGCATAATAAAGAGACTTAACAGAGTTTTTTCTTTTCTTTTCCCTCCTGCTAATCCTGCTGTGAAAGAGTCTGGAAGTGAAATGTCTAGCCTCTTAAGTTTTTAAAGTGGCCTTTCACCTAAGAATTTCTTCTCATAGATAATTTTCTTTTTTCTGGCTGGGTGAGTTAAGGAGGAAGGAAGAACAAGTAGCTCTACAAGAAATTGATATTCTTGTCACTCCTTTTGGGTTCAAAACAAAAATGTCATTCTTAGGGAAATAAATTAGTTTGAAGATGAGAGCAGCATTAAATTTGGAACATGACATTAAACGAAGTAGTGTCAAGGTACCCTTTCACTGAATTTTAAGAGCTCAGGTTGAATGTGGAGTGTAGAAATCGTTATCTTATATAAACAATACAGTTTATATATCAAGTTATCAAGCTTTTTGGAACAAAGTCTGAGATAAATAAAGTGAAACTGGACAATCATTTCCTATTCATAAGCCGAATTTATAAATCCAAGGTAGTTCTTTGTTAGCACAATGTATGAATGGTGGCCGCAGTTCACAATTATGGACTGCAATAACATACTTTTGCAGAATTTGTGGTGGTTTGTTATGTTAGATTTGTTGTTTTTTGGCCAGAAACGTAGGTGGCCAAGAGAAATTGATGTTAAAAAAAAAAGAGAGACAAACTTGGATGGCGAGGTTCACAATAAAGAAACAAACTGTTTGCTACAGTTGTGGGTTGTGCATCCTTAAGATCACTTTGGCTCAGCATGCAAAACAGAGTGCGATGGGAAGCAAGATAGCATCTGCTCACCCACCAGATGGCACCTGTTCCTCTCCTTACGCTAGTTGGGTATAAAGTTGTGCAGGACCTACTTGCAAAAAAGAAAAGAAAAAGAAAAAGAAAAGTCCAGTGCAGCTTGTCCTGAAGTATGCTGGCAGTTTCAAGATTTTATGCAAACACCTCTGTGGTTCAGCCCTGTGTATGATGACCTTCATTGCACTGAATATTGAATAGCGTATATGATATCCAGTATGTGAGTGTCTGGGTTTGGAGGCAATACACCCACAACTAGTAACTAGCTTCTACACGTGTTAAAGCCTTGCCCAAACTGAGCCACTGTGATGGTTTTTCATTTCCTTTAAGTGGTGGTATCTTTCTAAACTACTCATCCTTGCTCATTTTCCCCTTCTAGCTTAAGTAAAATCTATTTGCCAAATGGTGGTTTGTCACTTTGCAGTATTTATGCTAATTAGAGGGAGTTACTGACAGCAGCAGTTATCTCAGTTAATATGCACTGTTAGGATCACCTTGAAATACGTCTGCTGCTAAATTAAGACTGGTTTTCAGAATGTTACATTCTAACTCTGCATTAAGCATGCATGCATTTCTCGTGTGGCACATATGTCTTAATGTATGTTGTGATTCCTGCAAGACTGATAATGTGCTATCACAGAGGGTCTGGAGGGAGGGAAAAATAACCAAACTTTTGATGCTGTTTCTTTTCAACTGCAGACCCTGCAACTTGGAAACATGCAAGGCACCTTTCGAAAGGTTTCCTATTCACTTCTTTTCCTCCTACACAGAATCTGCATGCTTTTGTATTCTAGCCACATGCATACCATGCCACTTTTATTGCTGCCTGCTGTCCTTTATTTGCACATTTACACTCTGGCTGCTGTGCTGAATAGCTGTTGTTTTGCTGGGCCCGCTGGCTTAGTTTGCCGTTTCCTTCTTTCTGCCTCTGTGTCAAACTAGAATGCAATGTAGAAATCTTGACCTATTTTTTAAAAAAAGAAAATTGTGATAAAGTGCTTTGTCATAATAACCATCACTGGTTTTTTTTTGTTACCAGATTGTACTTTTAAATCTGTGGTAGCAAGAAGTCTGTTGGGAATAGCAAAACAAAGAGAGATGAATTTCAAATAAGTGCTTAAATAATAACAGGACGTGAAAGACTACATGGTGCCATAAATGCGGCCTGTGGCCTGCCAGATGTTGACTCCTGCCAGTCTTGGCCAATGGGCAGAGATTCTGAGATTTAGAGTCCATCAACCACTGGAGGGTCATAATTTATCTGTCCCTTGTTTAATGCAATGGACCTCTCATCAAAAGGACCCAGAAGGGCTTTCCTACTTGTTTTTAGTAAGGAATTAGAGGTCTGGTGGCTCTCCTGTCCCGCTTTCCCACTGGCTGTAGTAGCAAGGGCTCTACATCACAATCACTGGGGGCAGAGGTAGGGAGGAGAATGGTAGGAGAGGAGGAATTGTGTGCCCTACCTGTGTTCCTCCCTGCCGTTCTCTTCCCTGCTGGTACTGAGATGCATGTTGCTGTAGCCTGCAGGGAAAGGGGTTCAGCAGCTTGTGACTGCATAGTAGAGAGTCCTTCCCACCTGCAGCGGTGCCTTTCACTTGACAGTGATCCTGAAACAGGTCCTTGGCCTTGGAACCAACTTGTAGCCCATGACCAAAACCTGGCTGTCTCTCTAAGGTTAAATAACTTAAAAGTTGCATATCCAGAGTTGGAGACCTATCTTGCCAGTGTTCTTACCCTTAAATCCGATTGACCTGAGCATATAATACAATGTGTGTTGCTGGTAGCCACAACTAGAATGTGTCTCTAGAGGACACATGTGCAATGCACTTTCTTTCCTGAAAGAGATGTCGTCAAACAAGCAATGTTACCTGCTACCTTAAGATTCTAGGAAGTGAAATATCACAGGAAGCCAAGGGTAAGACAGTATAAGGGGCAAAATTAGACATATTAGTTGATTTGAAAGGTGTGAAGTCCTCCGGTTTATGAACCAGACCTTCTTAGATATCTAGTTTTTGTTTTGAGAGTTTTCTGTTTTGAATGTTTGTCTCTTTTCATTTCCCCTTTTCTCCCAGGAAAGCTTATACGAAAGCTTCATTTTGCACATGTTGAAGGAAATTGCCAAAAATTTAGGATGCTTTGGTGTATGTGATATGAACAGAGCGTACCGGACAACAAATTAGTGTCGCCCCCCCCCCACTCAACCACCAGATGTCTTGTTCTTGTATGACTGAGTGGCCCCACTTAAGCTACAGTTAGCCATGGCTAAAGCCCCATTTAAAACCATTTATTCAAATAGGAGTCTGATAAGATTGGGGCCATTGCAGATAATGGCATGTTGTACTTGTATGCCACATACACACTTGTTCAATCACTCTTATCACCACGTGTGGGACTCTGGTCAACAAAGTGATAGTAATATATGATAAGGAGTATATGTTAGGCCCCAGTTTTTATCTTATTAGTATAAGAATTATAAACAGAAATGAAGATCTTAGTAAATATTGAGGCATTTGATTTCTGGCGAATTGACACTAGATTAGGGCTGCCATATGTCTGGATTTTCCAAGATATTACCAAGATTTCAAAGGCGGAATTGATGTCCGGGGGGGGGGGGGGATTTCTGAAAGGTGGCGCTTTGTCAGTCAGAAAATGTGTTTTTTTTGGCTTTTTTGTAAAAAAACAAACAAAAAACCCTCAACTTTTTTGGGGGTTTCTTAAAAGAAGCTCCACAACTTTCGGGGTGTCCTGGTTTTTCCTTTTTGAAATATGGCAAGCCTACGCTAGGTCCATTTGACGAATGCTCCTTAAATGCTTGGGGTTTTTGTTTTTGTTTTCCATCACAAAGGTTGAGCATAGACAAACTCAATGGAGAAAATGTACTTGAAGCTGAAAAAGTTGGTTGTGTTGCTCCACTTCTTCTCTCATGCCATGACTGTCTCTTTCCAGGGGTTGATACTGAAGAATGGGGAAAGTTTCTGCACACCAAAAACAAGGTACGTTTTCTTGATTTTAAAGCCACAAATGCACATAGGGATTTTGGTGTGTGCGTACGTATGTGGCAGGGGGAGATGTCCTGAGGAAAATGCACTCTGGTGGGCCCCCTCTTCCGTTGGGGGGTTTAGCTGGCATTAGTGGCGGACAGCAACAGTATTGCATGGCTGAAGGGTGCAGTTTTGATTTCCTACAATGTCCCAGTGTGGTACTGTTGTCACAGGCATTATGGGAAACTAAAATGGCAGCTTGACGTGGCCTCCTGGTATTGCTCAAAGCACAAGCCAGGAGAAATAAACAAACAATGGGAGTTCAGGGCAAGCATCAGTGGTGGGTCCTGTCAGGGTGCTAGGACCCTGGCAGCTGCCTGAGGATGTTGGGTGCTGATGTTGAGGGTTTTTTTCCCTTTTCCTTTTTAAAACTTCAGCTCTACTCAGACTTCGATGAAATTAGGCAAGAAATAGAAAGCGAAACCGAAAGGATTTCAGGAAATAATAAGGTGAGTGACTATGGTTGGCTCATCTTTTAAAAGAAGTAATTTCAACACAGAAACCACAATTGGGAAACAATGATGTACATTCTTCAGATTGGAATTATTTTGATGCAGGATCTGGAGCCCACAATTGAGAAACAGTCATGCTATTGCTTTCTTAAGCCAAGTCACTTTTATCTAAGTTCCATGTTCCCAAAGAGGCAGAATCTACTACTGACGTTGCTCATAATCTCCAAGGACACAGCTCCTGTCAATCTTCCCTCGTGGCTTTGCATTATTGTCCTAAGAGCATTGGCTTGTTCTGTGAACTAAGAGGAGCTAACTTGAGGCCCTCCAGATGTTGCTGATCTCCAATACCCATCCCTGATCCAGTGGAAGCCGTAGTTCAGCAACATCTGGAGGGCCAGATGTTAGTGGCCCATGAATGTTGTCTTCCATACAAAAATCAGGCACATTTGTCAGGCACATTTAGGGACAAATAGCCGAAGCATGTAGACTAAGCAAAATTTCAGACATGGACACCTGAACTGAGCAGTATGCTAGATTATAAAGACAGGTACCCAAATTACAAAAACAACCTAGATTCAAAGGCTAATTTAGGTTCAATGATACCTTGTTTTCTGAAGGTTACAGTTAAGCATGTTCTGGAGAAATTATTCTTTGTTCCTTTTTCCATGGCTTTCTAGGGAATCAGCCCTGAACCAATTCATCTAAAGATTTTTTCCCCTAATGTGGTCAATCTGACTCTTGTAGATTTGCCAGGAATGACAAAGGTAAGAAGGTTTTTGTTGTTGTTGCTGTAGAGTTAACTGATGAAAGTTCTATATTGTTGGGTTGGGTTTTTTTTTTTTTTGCCAAGTGTGAAATGTGTATGAGAGATCAATTAATACCTTGTATTAATTGAGCCAGTGTGGTGTAGTGGTTAAGAGCGGTAGTCTCGTAATCTGGGGAACCGATTTCGCGTCTCCGCTCCTCCACATGCAGCTGCTGGGTGACCTTGGGCTACACACACTTCTTTGAAGTCTCTCAGCCCCACTCACCTCACAGAGTGTTTGTTGTGGGGGAGGAAGGGAAAGGAGAATGTTAGCCGCTTTGAGACTCCTTAAAGGGAGTGAAAGGTGGGATATCAAATCCAAACTCCTCTTCTTCTTGTAGCAGACATTTAAAAATGTTTCTCGCCAAGATCCCCAGTTATCTCCCTTCCTTCCCTACACTATGCCCAGCAAACCCCACCACAACACTCTGCAATGGGCTCTCTCAGGTCCCTTTGCCTTCCTCCTTTGTTGTCCCTTGGCTGCCTCATCTTAACTACAGCATCACAAGGCCTTTCTGGAATTATGAGAGTCAGTCAGCAACCTTTCTCTCCCTATAATTCTCATGTTTTGGGGTTTCCTTCCTGGCTTTCTCTCCTCCTCCTAGGAGTGGCCTTTAGATGTTGTGCATTAGGAGACCTAACTGCATATGCATCGCTCTCAATAGATGTGGTTAAAAGAAGGAAGGTCCACTTTCTTTTTCTTCTTCTCCTCACACAGGTGCCTGTAGGTGATCAACCAAAGGATATTGAACTTCAGATCCGAGAACTAATCCTTAGATTCATTAGTAACCCAAATTCAATTATTCTGGCAGTCACTGCTGCCAACACGGACATGGCCACTTCTGAGGCCCTCAAAATAGCACGGGAAGTGGATCCAGATGGTAAGTGGAGGGGGGAAATCAGGTTTCAGCATGTCTGATTTTTCTCTTTCTAGGAAACACACTTGTACAACACAGTTGATGATGTAACTCAGGGATGGGGAACCTTTGGCCTTCCAGATATTGTTTGGCTCCAGCTCCCATCAACCCTGACTATTGGCCATGCTGGCTAGGATGGGAGCTGGAGTTCAATATCTGGAGGACCACAGTTACACCATCCCTGTAGCTGTTAGCCCTTAAAATCTACTGTATCTACTGCCTGTTCTTACAAATGTGATTTGAAGAAGGGGTAGTTTGCAATTGTAATTTGTGCAATTGAAATGGCAAGATGCTTTCAAAGAGTTACCCGGTTGAAGTGCTTTCAGGCCTTCAAATTGAAGTCACATCCATTAATTTCAGTGGGTCTACCCCGAGTAAGACTAAAAATTGATACAACTCTACATACATAAACCAACCATGATCTCCCAGAGAAGACTTTCAGGCACCTTGGTCCTTTCTGGTTCTTTTTGCTGCTGCCCCATGCTGAGCTAAGCCAAAGTTTGGCTCATCTAAAGCTGGGTTCCTTGCTAGCCTTTGTCATGGATGTGTTTGCAGCTGTGAGCTCCTCTGGGAGAAATGGCAAACCAGCCTTGGTCCTAGCACAAACTCGCAATTAATCTGAGAATGAGTAAATGAGTAATGGTGAATTTCTCTTCTCCTGCATAGCCGTGTTCACTGGTGCCTTTCCACATTTCCTTTTGTTTTTACTTTGGGTAGCTGTTTCCTAGGCTTGACAAAGTTAACCCATGACCAGCTTAATGTAAAATGACAGTTTTCCTGCCGCTCTGTTAGGGCGGCGCACCCTTGCTGTGATCACAAAGCTGGATCTCATGGATGCTGGCACTGATGCTATGGACGTACTTATGGGAAGAGTGATCCCTGTTAAACTCGGCATCATTGGCGTGGTGAATAGGTGAGTAGCATCAGAATGTGGTCCTTCCGTTACAAAGCAGTGCTTTACATTCCCGTGTTTTTGTGCCCTGTGGGGAGAGGGTTGAGGCTGTTGCAATTACTGGGCTCTTTGGTCCTCAAATCGTTCTTGGATGTTTCTAAGACTAGTACGATGGGAAGGCCTAGGAGAATTGTGGCCTCCTACGCCGGTAGGAGCAGTTTGGACCAGTTTATTTGAGGGATTACCTTACTCCACTTTGCCCATTTGACCGCTTTGATCTGCAGTACAACCACCAACATAGCATTGTAAGAAATATATCTTCTAGGGTGATAATCACCCACACTTTGGAACTGCCTGCCTATTGAAATTGTTCACAGATGCCTTTGCAGTGCTCTTTTCAATGACTGTTTTGTTCAGGCATTCCTATCTAGACATGTAGCAGCTGACATGGGCTTTGATCTTGTTTTTTAACAATTGGTTTCAATTACACTTTGGTTTTTAAAGTTTTAACTTGGTCTTTTGTTGATAATTTCAGTGTTTTATTTTTGTGTAAATTGCTTAGAGGTTTTTTTGTTTTTTTGCAAGTGACCAGTTTATAAATTTTGTTAGATAAATAAATCTGATGCCAACTGATTTAGGATAGCGTCATGGCATAATGTCACTGTTCCTTCTAAGCCAGAAGAACATGTTAATTAGATTTTGGCAACAGAAAAAGAAAATGAAATGGTATCTAAATTAAATGAAACATGATTAATTTTCTGTCTCATTTTTAGGAGTCAGTTAGATATTAACAATAAGAAGAGTGTTGCTGATTCAATTCGTGATGAGTATGGTTTTCTCCAGAAGAAGTACCCCTCTCTAGCCAACCGGAATGGAACAAAGTACCTTGCTAGGACACTCAATAGGTACAAGGAACTGCTTTGATCCTAGTTTAGATTTTTCTCCAGTTAGAATTGTTTTGACTTGTTCTGGCCCATCCCAGTTGTGTACAGCTTTTTTGCACTTGGCTGGTGAAGCCGGTATTTAAGGGACAAGTGACTGATAACATCCTGATATTTTCAGTTCTTTTGCAGTTTTGAGTCTTGCACGTGGAGGCCATGAATGGAAAGCTGGCAGTTATTTGGGAGGGATTGGATGATTTGGTGTGCATGGCCAGTTTCATCTGATTCTTCCCAGTGCTCTTTCAGGATGCCAAACGTAGAATGGATGAGTGACTGTTTTCATTGAGAGGGAAGTATGGGGTTGAGTTACATGTTAAACCTCAGACTTGGGGTTGAATCCAACCAAGTCATTGCATGAGTGCAATGGCTTCTGCAAACAAAAAGGAACTCTCCATCCTGTGCCACCCGCCCCCTCCCCCAGATCTGCTCCAGAGTGTTGGGAGAACCCCCAGAGCAGATATCGGGAGGATGCTGGAGGTGGGATGTGGCGTGGGGAGTTCCATTGAGCTCATGGAAATTGTTTCACTTTTGCAATAACTTAGTTACATACAACCTTTTGTTTACAGTACTGAATTTTGGATTGTGCTCTACATCATACTGGCAGTATGTGGTGTACAAAGTACTATATTTTAAGGTAATTGCCACTGCTACCTTTACAGCAGTGGTACACCTGTAAGATAAATTTTGCCTCCCTTATTGTCTTTGAACCACATCATTTGTAGTTGTTGTCTGAAGAAGATCTTTAACTGATACATTTTTTTAGTCTGCGAAAGATTGCGGATAGGATTAGAAGATGAAGTTTTATCTGCGTACACATGCTTTATTAATTACCGCTTATGTCTTGAAGAATAAGAGAGAGAGAAAGTGATGAACAGTTAAAATCTCCTGAGGTTGTTGGTAGTGCTGGTTCCATTTGCCCTAAACCACACCTCACTTCAACCTGACATCCACAGACAGCTCATATTAGGTTCTTGGGGGAGCTGATTTAAATTTGGAAAGAGGGAGCTGGTTAAATACCTTATCGCAAACTGCTGCTTTCCCTATGCTCAGTGAGCCAGATGAGCTGAAAACAAACACATGCAGAAGATCACCATCCCAGGTCTCCGAAATGAAGTTGAGTTTGGCCCTAACTGAAATAAATAATTATTTAAAAATGGAAACTTTGATTTATAATGAGTCATTGGTCCAATTAGCTCAATATTGTCTACACTGATTGGCAGTGTTTCTCCAGTGTTTCATTCAGACTGGGTACATTCCCAGTTCTACCTAGAGATGCTGGGGATTGAAACAGACCTTCTGCATGCAAGGCAGATTGTCTGCCACTGAGCTATCGCCCTTGCCTCCTACTCTGTAAGGTTTGATCCCCCCCCCCCCAAAAAAAAATCTGTATGTTAGTTTTGTAGAGTTTTCTGTTGAATGGCAGTAGCATAGAATCATGATGGCTTTTAGACTGGTGAAATATTAGGCATTTAAACCCATAGTAAGCTACCGCTGGGAGAATGTCCCACTTGCTTAAAAGAAAATGATGGTTGCTTAATAACTGAAATGTGCTCATGAAAAACTGAGTGGATTGCATGTTTTGAGCTGTTTTCCTTAAAGTGTTGCATTTTCAAATTCTGTTTTTAGGTTGCTTATGCATCACATCAGGGATTGCTTGCCAGAACTGAAAACCAGAATCAATGTTCTAGCTGCTCAGTATCAGTCTCTGCTGAACGGCTACGGGGAGCCTGTAGATGACAAGAGTGCCACATTACTGCAGCTGATTACCAAATTTGCCACCGAATATTGCAACACCATTGAAGGGACAGCAAAGTACATCGAGACTTCAGAACTGTAAGCACAACTTCTAATTTGGCGTGAAGTTGACATGGATGGCAGATTGTTTAGAAACATTGCAATTAAACTGAAATTTGCTACATTTTTATGAATCCAATGAGCTCAAGTATAGGCAATATTATTTGGCTTCCCTATTTTCCTCCCTGTTGTCTCAGTGACTGTTTTTCCATTTTCCAGGTGCGGTGGAGCTAGGATTTGCTACATTTTCCATGAAACCTTTGGGCGTACCTTAGAATCTGTTGATCCACTAGGTGGCCTTAACACCATCGACATATTGACAGCCATTAGAAATGCTACTGTAGGTATTATCCTTCTTTAACTTCCTGTATAAGATGCAGTATCACTTTGCTGACCTGCACTCTCTATGCAGTGGGTGGAGTTTCAGTGCCTGTAGAGCATACAGCTTAGTGCTGTCTTGGGAAAGGGCACAGCACCCTGGGGAATCTAAATTATTACAACGGAATAAAAATGAATCTGTTTCCTTTTGGCTTGTCTAGGGTCCCCGCCCGGCCCTGTTTGTGCCTGAAGTTTCATTTGAGCTCCTAGTAAAGAGGCAAATCAAACGATTGGAAGAGCCCAGCTTGCGTTGTGTGGAGCTTGTTCACGAGGAAATGCAGAGGATTATTCAGCATTGTAGCAATTACAGTACACAGGTAAAAGAAGGAGCTAATTTGCAAAAATGTGTGTCTCACAGGGTGTGAAAATATCCCAGAAGAAACATATGATGGTGGTATGGGTGGCAGATAAATAATTTTATCATTTACATGCAGCCGACTTGACTGGGTTACCCCAGCTACTTTGGGCAGCTTGCAGCAAAATACAAAATCAACATAAAACATTAAAAACTTCCTTATACAGGGCTGCCTTCAGACGTCTTCTAAAAGCCATAGTTGTTTATCTGCTTGGCATCTGACGGGAGGGTGTTCCACTAGGATGCATTATTTGGACAGTGCCTTTTGAGAGAACTCTTCTGCTTGGAAGATGGAGTTGACAACTTTAAACTGAAAACTGCCAGAGTACTAATGTGGACTCACATAGGGTTGTGTGTATACATATGCATTCTTGTATTATATTGGGGTGGGCAAGTGATTGTGGTCCTCCAGGCTTCTCTGTGCAGCACAAGCCACACCTCTCACTTGCCCTGCCATGCAGTCTCATCTAATGAACGTTTCCTTGAACTGTGATCATGTGAACTTAGTTTGTGTGATCTATGATTAATTCAGTTAGATAGTTCAGAAGTCAAACTCTTTCGTTGTTTTGTTTGTATTCAGGAATTGTTGCGTTTTCCGAAGCTCCACGATGCCATCGTTGAGGTTGTGACTAGTCTTTTGCGTCGAAGGCTACCAGTTACAAATGAAATGGTAATCTATTGTGGAGCTTGCTGTGTGCAGTGGCACGTTCCTTTTAATGGAGAGTATTGGTGAAAATTCTGTATTCCACTGTGGGCCTAGTTAGACTGATGTGTAAAGAATAATTTTGGGGTTTAGCATAATAGATTTGGAAGACAGGAGTGCCTGGCGTGCTCTGGTCCATGGGGTCATGAAGAGTCGGACACGACTAAACGACTAAACAACAACAACAACAACAATAATAGATTTGCAGATGAATACTCCTCAGTGCCAGGATGCTCCCAGCTAGGGATGCCATTATTTCCTTGCAGTTGTAAGCTCCCCTCTGGTCTTAATTTTAATTTGTTTTTTCCTGCTTCTATTGGTCCCTTGGGAACAAAAGGGGGATTTGTCTGTGTCCCAAGAAGTTGCAAAAACGTTTTTTTTACTGGCTGCTCTCAGAGGTATCCTGCTGTAAAACTGTGATGCCAAAAGTTTTTTTGTGTTCCCTCAAAATGTATCCATTTAAAAACAGTGTTGGGGTTTTTTTTTGTTTAACCTGACCGCTCCATGGGTCTCCTGCCAAAAGACTTTTGTGATCTCCTGCAAAGATGATTTCCATTGTAGGAAAAATGGCCACACCCACTTTTAAAGTTTGGCTACACCCAGTTTGACATGTGACCTCCAGAGGGCCAGAAAAAGACTAGCCATCGCCGATGTGATACATTAAGCCAGTAACTTCAGGAGATACATGGTTAAATGCAATGGTGTAACAGCCATCACCAACCTGCTACCTTCCAGAGGTTTGTGTCTGCAACTCTCATCAACCCTTGCCAGCATGACATGATAGGCCGACAGGTTGGCAAAGGCTGGTGTAAAATGATTTGCCCTTGGCAGATCTTAGGATCCTATGCTAGTGCTGTGCGACTGAACTGCATTTATATGGATGTTTTTGCTACTGAGATCAATTCTAGGTTATTTGTCATGATCCCTTCCCTAACATTCACTGCAATGGGCAAAATTCTAAACTTTTAATTATATTCTTTCTCATAGGTTCACAATTTGGTAGCCATTGAGTTGGCCTATATCAACACTAAGCATCCAGATTTTGCAGATGCCTGTGGACTAATAAACAACAACATAGAGGTAAAGGGAGAAAGTCTCTCCATTAATTACAAATGGGTCTGCCATCGCGTGCACAGTTAGTTCTATTTTGCAAACTCTGATCTTACTGGAATTACCAGATTTTCCTATCAGCTGCTTTGTATGAATAAAGATTCTAAAGGTGATACCAAACATTGGTCAGACTCCAGGTAGATCCATTGAAATCAATGGACATCGCCTGCGCTTCTGTCTTCTGTGAGTATTGCAACTTAAAAGAAACATAATGATCTTGCCTGGGTTGGGCCACAGACCCATATAGCATGGAGGTGTCTCTCAGAGGACAGCAATATAATTATAAAAAGCTTATAAGGTGGGTCTGTGACTGCAACATTTAGCAATCAGTGGTCATCTGGCTTTGAACAGAAGGGTTTTCTTACATCTGCAGTCAGAATGGATGTGTGCAGACGCTGTCCATTCTGGTATTCTGAATGAAAAGTCAGCTGGTGCTTTGTCCTTGTGTGTCAAGAGAATTCCCCCTCCCCTTTTTTCCTTCTACCTTGGTTTTACATTGCTTGTGTCTCATTTGGAAGTTTGCTGATAGGAGTTATTCTTATGGAACGTTACCCGGTAGCCTTTTCTGCTCCCTCTTTGTATATATTCTCTCCAGTGTCTGCCAGTGTCATTATGTGAGTGTAAATGAGGGGAGAACCCACTCAACCACTTTGCTAAGAATTCCAAATAGCTCTGTTTGGAAAGAGAGGACACCCCAGCTTTCCTTTTTATGTGGCATGAGCATATTGAATGTTTTTTATGCTTTTTCTTTCAAAGGAGCAAAGGCGGAACAGGTTAGCCAGAGAGATGCCTTCTGCTGGGTCACGAGACAAGGTGAGTTGTTTGGCTTGATATACTTCATGGAATTTGGAAGTGGTGCTTAAGATCAAGTCAGTCATAATGTTACCACAGTAATTAACAAAGAGCTCCATTTATTCATGGGAGTCTGGAGTTGTTGGGCGGTTCTGTTCCAAAAATTCAAGTGCATGCAGTCTTCTGAAATTTCAGCCACCAAGAGGGATCAAGGAGGCTCAGTTAAAATAATCAGACAAGCAATGCTGACGTCATTTTCTGCCCTTCTTGCTTCTTTAGTCCACTAAGCCTCCTGGTGTTTTGGCACCACCCACCCAGGAGACCCCTACTGCTGGTTCTGCCGAGGTTGATGGCAAGGTCTGTCTTTGTTTCTTCCTCTAAGCACTGCATGCTGAAATCATTTCGTGGTGCACTCTGGTAGTGGTTGAACATGATTCTCATAAGCATAAGCATTTTTGTCCAGATTTTGCCTGTCCCAGATCATGTGTTGCCAGCTGACAAAGTTGGCTAGTTAATTTAATTACATTAAGGTAGTAGGTTTCAAGTTATGTCTTGGGGAGCCTTGGAGCTTTCTTTCCACTACTGCTCTGTTCCTGTTGTGGGCAGCTTCAGGAGGCTGTTGGTTGTGTGTTCTTAGGGCATTGTTCTTCAGTGTTGGATCACCAGTGGTTGTTGGATCACACTCCCATGATCTCCATCCATCAGAGCCCAGGGGTCAGGGATGAAGGGAATTGGTAGCCCTGCAACATCTGGAGATGCAAGGTTGAATAACACTGTTCTGAGTAAAGCTGTGATTTTGCAGCTGTAAGCTGCATCTGTGACAAACAAAAGTTCTGCTTGAGCTGACTCTTGTGCCCTAAGATACCTATTCCCAAATCTCTTGCAACACCCACTTTAACCTTAAATATTTGAGCTGCCAGTCTTTTGTATGAAACTTGAAAATGTGATGATTTTAAAAGTCTGTTAGGTTTATTCTGGTGCGTATCAGGATACAAGATCGCACATTTACCAGCCTGCCTGCCACAGCTCCTTCACCTTGAGCATGTCCAGCTGAAATGCTGCAAGTAGAGGATTGATAAAGTAGGGAATCTGCTGTGCAGAAATAACCCATATTCCAAACCAAACCATTTAACATCATTCATATTTTGGGTATTAAGCCATTGTACCAGTGAAGACTATATATGTATCAAAGGTCTAAGAGGAGTCTGCATGTGCAGGAGATTGGGGATAGGCCTTTGGACACATTCCCATCCCATGAACACCATTTTAACCTTCACGTGTTCGCATGAATGACTGAAGAGGGCTTAGAAAAAAACTGGGATGCTCTGAGTTTTACCATTTGTTCTGTTCAGTGGGAAAAGCCCACTTAATGAGGATGAGAGATTTTCTTAGTTGGGCTGGGGAACCTGCGGTTCTTCAGATGTTGGAGATGGTGGGAGCTGTAGTCCAACAACATTTGGAGGGCCAAAGGTTAGCTATCTTGGTTCATAGCCATTCAACCCACCTAGGGTCACCAAAGGAGCAGATAAGAGTTCACATAATCTCGTAGCCTTCCCCCGTAAGTTTCTCTTGCTTCTGACAGAAACATTGGTCCAGATCAGACAATTGTTCCCATAGCTAAATATAACTGTGTGGCTTAATACAGTGAAGCTGGCACTCAAGGAAAGCTGAAAGAGGGGCTCTCAGCCTCAACACTCTTTCTGCGCTGCATGGTTTATGATCCAGGAATGATAATTCAAACTGAGCCTCTTGAATTATTGAGCATATCAAAACACCAAATGACCATTTTTAAAAAACATCCGCCCATCTCTTTGTTTGATGCTTCCTCTCATCCTTGTGTGCGCTGATGTAAACTCAGTCTTGATTATAATCGGTTGCTACAGCCTATCATCTTTCTCATGTACTTAATAAAGTTTGTCTGTAGTTCTCTTGCTGAATACCTAGGTATGTTTGCATGTCAACCTGAGTGATGAAACAGAACCAATGGAGAACAAATCCCCTTTCAGCTATGAAGCTCACTGGGTAGCTTGTCACTGTTTTTATTTATTTAGGCAGTTTATAAACCTCCCCGTCATCCAGCATGTTGTGGCTTCCAAGGCTGCTACATTCAAACTGAAATATTGAATACATTAAAACTCCATTAAACAGTAAATATCATGCAGTCGTAATATCAATAAAATCCATCAGAGCCATAAAACCAAACACTAATGCCAGTTGTAAACTATGCTGGAATGCCTGGGCAAGTTGGAAAGTCTTTCTGCTTTTTGGAGCCAGGCAAAGTTGGTGGCATTTGGGCTTTTCTGGAGATGGCTTTCTGTGTGTATTTAGGGCACTATTCAGTCTAACCTTCCTCAATGGTGTGTGTGTTAAATTGAAGATTTAATTTCTTGCATGTAGAATGGGATTAAATGAATCACTAATAATCAAGCATTTGGAACGCAGGACATTTTCCTTGCAAATAACTGATTGGAATTTGGGTATTGTATATTTTCTTTGTATTAGACATCCTCTGCTGTGGGAGATGGAGCTCAGGAAGCCGGAACAGGCAACTGGAGAGGCATGCTGAAAACCTCCAGAGCTGAGGAAATATTAGCTGAGGAAAAATCAAAACCAGTAACGGTCCTACCTGCTAGCCCTCAAAGAGGCCATGCTGTAAATTTGCTGGATGTGGTGAGTTCTCAGCATAGGAACAAAATTTGCAAGCTGGTACAAGAAGAGCAGGGTGTGCTCCTCACAGAACTTAGGAGTGGGCAGGGTTTGGTCCTTTTGAGTTATGTTCTCAACCCCCGTTTTTAAACATGGCTGTCAGCCAAAAGTATATTGTAGCTAGTAGCCAGGATAGAGGTATTCTTTAGGGGTAAAAGGTAAAGGTACCCCTGCCCATACGGGCCAGTCTTGACAGACTAGGGTTGTGCGCTCATCTCACTCTATAGGCCGGGAGCCAGCGCTGTCCGCAGACACTTCCGGGTCACGTGGCCAGCGTGGCAAGCTGCATCTGGCGAGCCAGCGCAGCACACGGAACGCCGTTTACCTTCCCGCTGGTAAGCGGTCCCTATTTATCTACTTGCACCCGGGGGTGCTTTCAAACTGCTAGGTTGGCAGGTGCTGGGACCGAACGACGGGAGTGCACCCCGCCGCGGGGATTCAAACCGCCGACCATGCGATCGGCAAGTCCTAGGCGCTGAGGTTTTACCCACAGCGCCACCCGCGTCCCAAAAGTATATTGTAGCTAGTAGCCAGGATAGAGGTATTCTTTAGGGGTGGGGGAATACAAATTTATTGATCACCATGAATTCTAAAAGGTACTTTTGGTTTGTGCGAACAAGTACTTAATTTATATCAGCTGCATATTTTACATGCTAACTCTGTACCAAATTATGCACCACTATATTTATACATTCAGTTGGACTATCATGTGCAAATTAGCAAAATGGACAGGGTGGTTCAGATTTCATGCAGTAGGAGAGGAATAGAACATTATAACCCACTCTTTATCTAAAAGGGCTCTCAGAGTGGCTTATAAATGACAGTACAATAATTCAACTAATCGTTTAATAGCAAAATGCTACTGGTTTGTGCATTCTGTACCATCCTGCCACTGTGATTTTTGTAGCCGATTGCACAGACTGTCATTTTAACAGAGGTTGAAATGATAGATGGAGAGAGGTGAGACTCATGGGTTATTTTTAAACAAGGATATGCACTGTTTATACAGGAAATATATGTAATATGGAGTAGCTTGAGTTTTCCCAGGCTGTTTGTGGCTTTGTTAGTGATGATGTTGTCATGTCCATAAGCTTTACTCTATAATATTAAGGGCTGGAAACATGCTCTTAAAAACACAAAGAATAAAAAGCTCAATTTTGAGGAGCTGTGTTCTTAGACCTGGCATATTTCTCAAGAACAATGTCCATTCACTCCAGCAAAGAACAGCATGTCATCTTTTTTTAAGGCCCAGGATCTATTGTGACTTGTTCACAAGTGACAGCAATGATGCCACCATTTCCCCCAAGAGTCAGGTATGTTGTGTCACCTCCAAGGTTTTAATCTGTAAAGCCTCATATTAACAATTTGTTTTTTTTAAAAAAAAATTCTCTTGACACTTGCCAGCATTGTTATGTCACCAGACGGAAGCCACCTCTAAAATCCAGGTGTATTTGCCACCTTCTTGTAGTTCCGTCTGAACCTGACTGTCCTTTTTGAAGTCCAGTGGAACTGCAGGCTCATGAAATATTTTTGACTCTGCTTTTTCCTGCATCAGCCTGTTCCTGTTGCACGCAAGCTTTCAGCCCGAGAGCAACGAGACTGCGAGGTGATTGAACGCCTTATCAAATCCTACTTCCTGATTGTGAGGAAGAACATACAAGACAGGTTTGCGATCTTACTTTTTCAGGATTTGACCCTCTCATTGCTTTATTATTAATTCCGATAGTATTTTTTACTGTTCAAAATATACAGTTGAGCAGCTCTATGTAGTTTCTTTCCTGTACTTCAGTTCTAACGGACTGTTTCACAAAAATAACCATGAAGTTTTAGAGTTTTGGTGTTTTAGCACGGAAACAAATGTTGCCATATTGCGAGTTATCTTCAGGGTTGTTGTTTCTAAATTCTGTAAATACAAAATACATGTATCATACAACCAATTTATTACCAAATGATAGTCTAAAACCATGTGTTATAAATACCAATGTTAGTCTATCTCAAGAGTAGATCCATTGAAATTAATGAATGTAAGTAACAAGTTCATTCATTTAAGTCAGTCTGCTCAGAGTAGTCTGAGGTGGCCTCAGTAGCATGGAATGCCATATACCAGCTTTGGCTGGTGCCCTAGCTACACACCTTTCTGGACAGGGGTAGTCTGACTTCTGTTACCTACACTCGTAACCTGTAGGCTAGATTGCTGCAATGTGTTATACGTTGGGCTGCCTCTGAAGATGGTTTGGGCACTTCAGCTGTTGCAGAATTCAGCAGCCAGCTTGCTCACCCGGAAAAACAGTTTGAGCATATAGCACTGATCCTAACCCAACTGTATTGGCTGCAACTTGGTTTCTGGGCCCTATTCAAACAGTTGGTTTTGACTACATGTCTCAGGACCCCAATACAAGGACTGTCTCTTTCCATATGAACTAACCTGGACCCTGCAACCATCACTTGAGGTCATTCTTCATATGCCCCCTCCATGAGAGATCTGAAGAGTGGCAACATGAGAATGGGCCTTTTATGTGGTGGCTCCCTGCTTGTGGAATGTTCTCCCTAGGAAGGCTCACCTGGCACCTCATTACATATTTTTAGGTGCCAGACAAAAATAATTCCTCTTCAACCAGGCCTTTGATGGTTAAATAGTCTATGGTCTTTTAAGTGTTCGGGGGAAGGTTATTAATCATTGTTGTGTATTTTGTGTTTTTATGTTGTAATCTGCCCTGTGATCTTTGGGTGAAGGGTGGTATATAAATTTAAGAAAGAACCCTTAGCTCCGTGAGTTATGTGCTTGATTTATTTGCTTGCTTGCTTGCAGTGTGCCAAAAGCAGTGATGCATTTTTTGGTTAACCACGTGAAAGACTCTCTTCAGAGTGAGCTAGTAGGACAGCTGTACAAAGCCTTATTGCTGGATGACCTTTTGACTGAATCAGAGGACATGGCTCAGCGCAGGAAGGAGGCAGCTGATATGTTACAGGTACTGCAGTCCCTTTTCTGTAACAAGCCAAGTTAGTTTTGTTATGTACACTAGTATAGTTATTTTCATACTCTGCCACCGTCAGCCTCACAATTGTGTCTTACATGGGGGTTTGGTTCTCTGAGATCTTGTGGGAGCATCCCAGACCTGGTATGTAGAGGCAAGAACGTACAAAAAGAGCTTTGAAGCTCTCTGCCTTGCTTGGGAAGCAAGGCCCTTTCCGCATGCCGGCTTCACTTTTAACTTGTGGGATTTCAACCAGATGGCCTTCGACGGTGTAGGGTTGAAATTGTTCAAGTTAAACGTGCACAAGATGCGGTTGTAGTGGACCCAAAATTTAAGATCCAGTTAGTGCACTCTTTGGCTGAGGTCATGAGAATTTCTACCATTCCTTTTCCAGATAGGACTGTATGCAAAGTTCATTGGCTATAGACATGATCAGAAATAAGCAGTGTTTTGGCTTGGTTTATGAACCAAACCAACCCATCTTCCCTGAATCTTGCAGCATGTGAGGTCTTGCATCTTGCAGAGGTCAGTGCTTTGTTGGCCTCACCCCTCGTGCTACCATATTCAGCCATCACTTAATTATTGCCCAATGATTTTTATTGTATCACTTTTGTGGTTTATCTCTGCCTGTGACTTGACAAGTATAAATCTCAGCAATTTCTGTTCTTGTCCTAGGCCTTGCAGCGAGCCAGTCATATTATTGCTGAGATTCGAGAGACACACCTTTGGTGAAGGGCTTCTCCAGCTGGATGAAGAAATGGATGACTTGAAAATTGCTAGGCGTTATATATACTTATGAACTTCTATGTTTACTGCAGTATGTATAAATCTGCTCACATAAAGACAATTCAGTTTGGCTTTCTACGGACAGAAAAGTATGCTGTACTTGCAAAACAAGTCTCATATAATCAACATATTTTCTTTACTAGTTTCCTGGTGCAAAGACCAAGGTCTGTTCTCCTGTGAGGAATTGGACTGGACTGAACTTAAGGAAAGAACCATGTAAAAATTCCAGTGCCTGGCTTGCTAAATGAGTTGCCTGTGGATAGGATGAACAGTGTAGTATTGTGATGTAGCCTTTTAAGCTGGTTTTGCAATATAGGTTTTTCAACCATGAAGAAAGGACACCATGATATTTTCTTTAAGATGAATTTAATTGCATGCACTCTAAAGTCTCAAACAGATAAACCGCACAGTAGAAATACTGCCTTATAACTGTGTAATGTGTACCCTCATGTTTTAGAACCTTAAAAGAAATATCTGGCTAACTTCCAAAATGCATTGGCTATTTTTGTCCTTTAGCTAGATAAATCTGGAGTAAGTGGAGATTCTGCTAAGAAGCGTTATCAACAAAGAAGTAATCAGAATTTGAAGAATCCTCATGTCTGGGACCAAAACCCGTGGACAATCCACTTGTAGAGTTCCAGACTAACAAAACAGCAATATTAAAAGGTATTGTGGCAGATCAGGTTTCTCCTAAATCATTGAAAAGTAGAGAAACTTTAGAAAATATTGATGTAAAAGCACCTGGCCTTTAGATTAATTCAATGGTCCCAACCCATTACTGTTTTTGAGCTACTTTCATCTTACGTGTTGGTGTGGTAACTTGCTTGATTGTCTGCCATAGTCACCAAAATCAACAGTAATGACACTTTAGTTCCTTAAAATTTTGTAAGTTTATGTTTAAAGCACAGTACACCTGCTCACACACATCATTTTTCCTGCATGGAAGGAAAATATGTGTTACGTTGGAAGAACTATGTTTTTAGATTGCTGTGAGGTGCATATCCTAAGTACATATTGCCTCCCTCAACCTGTGTACTTGTGGGGAAAAAATAAACCCTTGGCCTTCACACATTGTGTACAGGATTTTATCCACTCAGTCCTTACACAACAGGCTGAAAAGAGTAAACTGAGCTTACATTTGAGACAAAAGGTATTGGACATTAAATGGGAATGTTCAGTAGCAGTTTGAAAACATGCTATTTCTCTCTTCTTCCCCTTACAGTATATTTAAACATAATTGTGATGGTGCCTTTAAGGGTGCAGGCACTTGGAACCTTCTTCAAAAATCATACATACAGCAAGCATATTGAAAATAAAATCATGCTTTAAGATCGCTTCTGATGCTTTGACAAATCTGTGGCATGATGGTACTTGAGTCAGCCTCCTGAGGGGTATGTTAACCTCCTACTAAGTTCAGTGAACCTGTACCTAGTGCCCGCTAACGTAGAATTATCTCATTCCCTCTATTTCTGTTCTTCAGGCAAGAATGCTGTCACTTAAGTAACCAAAAGGGCACCACCCCATACCCAAGTAGGCAGTATGGGTGGGACAACCCCTATGTTTACAGAAATACAAAAACAAAAGACTGACTAGAGGGAAACCCAGTCCAGTGAGGGGTAAGGGTACCCATGAACTGCTGTTGACTGGTGGGGGTCATGCCAGGTAGAAGGAAGAACGGGCTAAAGTAATTTAGAGCATGAAACAAGAACACACTACTGATGGGGCTAAACATCTAGATTGATGTGATCATGTTTCACTAAAGAATTAACCTGTAAAGGTGAAAACTTCCAGAAGTCACTATTTTTTTTATAAAAAAAAAACCACCCCAGTGATAGTAAGTATCAGGTGTGGGGACATTTGGTCCACTAGATGTTACTAGCTACAACATTCACCATCCCTGGCTGTGCTTGCTAGGACCAATTGGTGTTGTAGTTCAGCAACATCTGGTATAAATTAACAAGGTTGCTGACCTGCAATGGTTAAAGGCCTTTAGAGGATGTTTGATAAATTTGTCAGAGGATAAAAAAAGATAACGTAAGAATTAATTCTGAGTAGATGTCAAATTACTATGCATTCTAATTTAGCCTGTCTCATCCACTGTTTTAAAAGGTATTGATTTTGCCAGACACATTAAGACATGGCCTGGTGAAACCAATGAGCACTGTCCCATGGAAGTGGGATTCAACATATATCCTTGCTTGCTGGATATCAGAGGTATAGTAATGTGCAAATAGTTACCATGTATGGTGAACCACAGCCTAGGCCCCCTTATGTGACCCTCATAATTCTTTCCCAAGCCACACTGGTCATTGGCCTTGCACCCTGAACATTTTTGCATAGCTGGAATGGGTCCTTGAATTCTGATACAGCTCTTGGTTGCCTGGATGGAGGATAGAGGAGACATATGTAGAAATTACTGTAAAAAACTAAAATTTATAATTACATTTGTTGCTCTGCCCCCATTTGCTGTATTCATCACTGGCATGTGGACACCAGGATACAGCTTTGAGCCAGTAAAAGGTTCCTCACATTAATATATTGCTTATTTATTTATTACTTATAATCTCACTGCCCCCCATCAGATTTCAGGGTGGTACAGAGGTGGGGAATTAAGTCTTATGGTGGAAACTTAACCTTTTCAGCCTCAATATTGTTTCAATTTATGACACTTCTGTGATAACCATGGATTTTGAAGCATGCCAATGTTCAACAAGATGCTGAGTATATAGATCATCTGTGGATTACTACCCCTTGAAAGAATTCCTAAAGGCAATCTTGCCCTAAAAAATACTAAACTACACAAGGAGCAGGGAACTGCCAGCCCACCAGCCTACAAGCCACACAAACACTTTCTACTGACTCCAACGGTGTTTGTCAAAACTATTGCAGTGATGTTCTTGATGGAAGCTTAACCCACATTCTCCAACATCACACATTCCTTCAGCAGTATTTTTTTGGGGGGTGCAGGACCGTGTTCTATGTTTGCAGCGGTCACCATAGCCACATGTGGCATGCAGCTCCCAGAGCGACAAGAGGAAATGCAGCTTTGGGGAACAAAAAGTTCCCCAGCCCTGCTCCATCTGAATTGAGATCGCTAAGGTTTTAAAGGGCAAGCCAGTCTTCACTAGAAAATCTCTTCATACTGCCATGAAGTTTTCAAATAGACCATTTCAGTCTCACATAGTTTCAAGTAATATCAGCAGCTGTGAATATATTTAAAATAGCAGTTACTAATGCCACTGCTGTACTAGCACTTTCAGTATTGCTTGCACAGGATTGAACAAACCACGTTTCTACAAGGTTAGCATGCGATGTACTATATTATGCACTTTGAATCATCGGGGTGTGTGGGTGGGTGTGACTGCATTTAGAGTGATTTTCATCCTGCCTTTTAGGCTTCTGTATCTAAGGCAATGGAACTACACAGCTGTACGTATTTTAAAAAATCACTGTCTAGTCCAACTTAGAATTGAAAATGCATAAGCGAATTGAAAGAACATTTAACCTATGCAGACTGAAGGGTAGTTTATCCATCATCAGTACCAAATGTATGTAGTTACTTTTGTAAATAAAGCTGATTGTGTAGAAATGAGTTTTACATCAATAAACCACATTTTAAAGTATTTAACTTCACTTGCTGAGACAGTTGCTAATGGGTTAGGGGTAAACACTAGGTCACTATGTCAAGTTATATAGCTACAATAAATTTCAGAAGGTGTGAAGTTCACCAGCTAACTCATTTGTACAAGCAGCCTCTTTGAGTAGGTGTTATTTAAAGGTGTAAAATTCAACCCAAATTTTTGAGATAGGGAGCTTCTACCTACTATGGCAGTCTGGACAAAACCACTATTGGATCAGAGGCCCAACTGTTCACAGGGTATACATACTGTAACTCTGAGGCAGTAGACCTATATTAACTATACTTTGCTTAAAACCTAAGGAACTCCCTGTTAGCTGGGAATCGTAGAACTGCAGTTGGAAGGAACTGTGAAGGTTATCTAGTCCAATCTGCATGTTGTAAGAACAGCTTTTAGGTCTGCTGGACCTCTGTACTATCCATAGAAAGATAAATTACACCCTGAGTTACAAATCCCACACTCCATTACCTGCTACATGGGAGCATAATCTCCATATACATTCATCATAGAGCAACCTCAAGGCATCGACCCCAGACCATGTTTTGCTCAAAAACAGCTTGATTACAAAGCAGAAAGTTCAACTGAGTAATGAAACAAGCACTATATTGTTTAGGGTAAAAAATGGATTCTCACGTCTTATTAAAACCTAATTGCTGTTGGCATGACAGTGCCATACTCTTCTGTCCTCCAGCTTCCAGAACATAAAATAGTTTATAAAATAACTTGGTTTCAAAAAATTAAAACCCATTAGGACTTCCAGGTCAGCGCCATTGGTGAATGGCGGAGTTCCTCCAACCGGAGAAACGGGCTCCGGGGAAACTGGGTCTTCCCGCCGCGGCGAAGGTGGGGACCCGCTAGAAATCCCAGGCGGAGGAAGCCTGGGAACGTGGGGTTCGGCAGGGCACCAGAAGCGCCCCCCTACTCGCGGGGAATCCCATCTAGGGGCTCCGGAGCGAAGTGGGGTGAGAAGCGCGGTGCTACGAACTGACTGCTACTTTCACGGAGTGAAGCCGCACAGCCATTGCCAGAGAGCGCTGACTTTTCCTGTGGACAATTGGACTTAAAACAAGTACCCGTGAGTAGAAACGGAAAATTGGATCAAGAAATTGTTTTAATTTGGTATCGAAGCGGGAAGGTGTAAACAGGAAGTCCGCCTTCCGCTTTTTTGTATATAGACTAAAGCAAAAATTTTGCAAGCTAAAGCCGGGAAGCTGTTAAAAAAAACTAAATTTCCTTCATTTAGAACCACTGAAACCCCCCTTGGAAGCAGGAGAAAAAGGGGGGGGGGGACTCTGTTTAACCCTAGCAGGAGAGGGAGTGAAGAAGGATAAGTTTCCACCGTCTCTAACCTGGGAACGGGGTGTCAGAGACAGAAACTGTTGCCGAGGTTCATTGACTGTGAACGTAACACTTTGACAGATAGCCAATGAAGAGAAACAAGTTGATTCTAATGTTGCCTTTTGCATCCTAAAGAAACAAAATATTTGAAAAACGTCTGAAATATCTGAAAAATGAAAGTAACTTTCCTTTGTCTTTAAAAAAAAAAAATGGATACAAGTAGATTGTCTCCTCTAGAGGGAGCTTGCTAAATTGTTGTTGCAGCATATTTGAGACCCAACATCTGTGAGATTAAGACTGTGGGAACAGTCTTTTCCGACCTTGAACAAAGATGAGCTGGGAGAAAGACTGGCTACTCGCTCTATGCAAGACAAATGCTTTGCTGGAACAGATGCATGAAAAGATGGCCTTGATGAATGAGAAAATGGATTTGACTGTTGTGGTTAATAACATTGATACAGAAATCATCCAAGAACTAACCTATCAATCTGTACCGACTGGGCAAGTGCAGTTGACAATGGAGGAGGATGTGGCTGCACCTCAAATAGTACAAATGGAGAGACCTGAGGCCCTACAGGAGCATAAGCCGCTGTTATTGAAGATTGAAGCTGGATGGGCCAAGGGGAATCTGGAGATGAGGAGATTCCTAGCTTTGGAGAGATCTTGAAATTTGACTTTAAATTCATTTTGGATTATATCGAGGACTGTGGGGAGTGGGACTGGGGGGAATGGGTGAGCTGGATGAAGGGTGATGGAGACAATTTTGGGTTGGAATCCCCCAGAGACCTACTCCTCATTGAGAAAGAAAAGGAACTAAGACAGAGACCAACAAGAGACAAGGAAAAGGGCAAGTACAAACAAGATGAAGAAGAATTGCAGAAGGGATATGGAAGAGATTTAAGGGCCTCGGACATAAGGCTTCCAGGTTGATGGACTAGACGGAATGGACAATAAGGACTGACATGACCCAAGACCAGGAAGACGAGACGCTGGATGATGATTGGAAGAGAATTTATAATGGAAACTTTTTTATTTTAGAATCAGCTTAATGAATATTAGGGAAAATGTGGGAATGAAACTATACGACTCTAGCAGAAATGTTATTAGGAGTTATGTATATTTGAAATTTAAGATTTAAGTCTTAAGGCACTTAGGGGTAAGATAAGGTTAAATAAATTAAGGTAATCTGAATAATAGAATATGGGGAAAGATGGTAAGGATTTGTTGAGTTAATTATTAGGTTAAATTGTTAAGATAAATTTTATAACAAAAATTGAGAAAGATGGAAAGAATTTGCTGAAATAATTACTAAACTAGAATACAAAAACGGAGGTGTGAGGAGGTCAATGAAACAAGCAAATGGAAATTATGGATATGCAATTTGGGATTTGTGTTATTTTCTTTTTTTTTCCTTTTTTTCTTGCTGTATTGTCATATTGGTTTTCACATTTTGTGCTTTTCTCTCTTTTTTATTTTTATTGTCTTCTTTTTCTTTTTTCTCTTTTTGTATTGTAGTGTTGTTTTTTATTTTTTATTTTTCTTGTAATTTTGAAATTATCAATAAATACTATTTAAAAAAAAAATTTAAAACCCATTAAAAACAATGAAAATTAGGTTATCTGTGGGCTCAGGAGCTAGCTGCCTGGCTTGTCACTACTTCAAACGGAAATGGGTTCTTATGTCACATCCTTTCACATCCTTTCCACACTAACAATGCAAGTAATAATAACTTTCAGGATTAATTTAGTTACCTTTATTGTAGACAAACGTTTTATAACCAATACTTACGATAACATATTTCAACAGTTGCTTTCTTTGGATAAACTCTGCATTGTACCATAGAGTTCCTCCTCATTTCATGATTTAAGTACGAATTAAGATGCCATCCAATTTCTAGACGATACCGAGTCTCACACAGTGAGAAAAAGCAATTCACACCACAGTTCTTGCGAGTTGTTTGGTGTGTGTTCTCAGTCCATGAAGTAAAATGCACTCATAACATACTTGAAAAGAACCTCAGCATTTTTGTTCTTCGTGTGACAACTGAAGCCATTTCACAACATAGTAATTTCTTTTTCCAATTCTAAGGAGTGACAAGCCATTATTGAGAATATGTTGTCCAAGAACAAGAACAGCATCGGGATCAGTTACTTTAATGTGGTTTATAGAAACTCCACCACTTCTTATGTCACGATACCTTGAAAAAAGAAATTGTACAGTCAATGACACGGCTAGAGCTAGACCACCTTACAATAGTTTAAAGTTATAATAACCTGTCAGTGATGACAAATTAGGGTAGAAACTCACTCAGCCACAGACATACAGGCAATAGCAGACAGTTGAACTCCTGCTGCATACAGTGGTGCCCCGCAAGACAAATGCCTCGCAAGACGAAAAACTCGCTAGACGAAAGAGTTTTCCGTTTTTTGAGTCGTTCCGCAAGACGAATTTCCCTATGGGCTTGCTTCGCAAGACGAAACGTCTTGCGAGTTCTTGCGAGTTTGTTTCCTTTTTCTTAAAGCCACTAAGACATTAATAGCTGCTAATAGCCGTGCTCCGCAAGACGAAGAGACTCGCGGAACGGATTAATTTCGTCTTGCGAGGCACCACTGTACTGTGACAGGAGAGGGGAAGAGGAGGTGGCAGCAGAAGTACCATATTGGATCTTCCATCAGGTATGTACTACCCCCCTCTCTGGTCATGGTACCCAGTGGCAATTTGGCCAGAGGGAGGTCAGGTAAGAGATGCAGCCTCACCAGGAAGGCTGTCTCACACAATGAGGCTGCCTACTAAGTAGAAACAGATAAGCTTGAAGCTTGTTTCTAGACTAAGCAGCTACAGAATTAATGCCGCAGAATGTGTAAATATTAACTTACCCCCTTGGTCCATCTACAATAGCATTCGCTTTCCGACACAAATCAAGTACTGTTGTCCCAGGTTCAAGCATCAACTCGACATATGGTGCTTCCCTGAAGAGTTCTTGAAGCTCTTGGTCGGACATGGTCTCTAGTGCTGCTATGTCACTGTAATAAAGGGCCCTTGTGCACCTGGTTTTTAAAAACATAAAATAAAAAGAGTACTCATCAATATTTACATTATGACCAAGACTTGCAGAAGTAGCTTTTATCAATGTTAGCAACTTAGAAGACTCCTCTGTAAATTCTGCATCTTTGCAAAGCTGAAATTTCCTGTCTGCGTTTCCATTAACATTTTGGTCCAAAAATAAACATATTAACAGCCTAAGTCTTCCTTTACCTCTTAGCAGATTCCAGACCTGCTTTCCCATGAACAAGCTTAGTTACTTCAGCAGCAAGCCGTTTCTGGGGCCCCCACTTCTCAGGTTCTTTAGCATGCATTTCCATAATGTGTTGGATTTCCGGAAGAGGGAGGAAAGTGAAAAGCTTCAGATACCTTAAAGGGAAAATAGCCACCATCATCATCTATTGTTTATATGCCCCCCATCTGACTGGGTTACCCCAGCCACTCTGGGTGGCGTCTAACAAATTAAAACATGATACAACATTGAACATTAAAATTTCCCCTATACAAGACTGCCTTCAGAGCCACATTTTGCTTCTGTAACAGACAATGCAGATCTACACTAATTTCAGCCCCTCAATCCATGCTTTAGATTCCGCAAATTTTTAAAATTTTAAAGTAGTAGCATAATCTTGTTAATGACAGAGTAAAAACAAAAATGCATTTTTATGATTGCTTTTTAAAAACTGAAAATACTGAATCTAAGCCTTCTGAACAATATATAGAGGGGTGTCTGTGTCAGTCTAGTTTTTGCAAAACCAACCAAAGTCTTAAAGAGTAACATTGTATTGTTTTTACAGTAACAATATGTGCTTAGGATATTGACAAGACTATTTCTTGCACCAGTACAACAGCACAAGCCCTCTGCACAGTAAAATCAGAGGTGGTCAAAGATGCAGCAGAACCTCAGAGTATTTTGAGACTTAATAAAAATGTTAAAGAACACCATATGCAGGTTTTATAATACAATTCAGTGTTCAAAACTCTCATTGTTCTAGGCACCTTTTGCGACAGGGAATTTCATTAGTACGAGCAGTTTCTGAGCGCTGGGAGCAGTACTATGCCTAAGATTTCGGATTAAAACTGCAGAGTGGAAGGAAAGGATGGCCTTTTTCTGCCTCCCCACTTCCAGCTACTCTCCGAAGACTGGAGAAGAGATCCTCTTAAGAATGTTTGGGGGAGGCAGGGGAAGGACTAGACCAGTGTTTCCCAAACCTGGATCCCCAGCTGTTTTTGGACTACAATTCCCATCATCTCTGACCACTGGACTTGCTAGCTAGGGATGATGGGAGTTGTAGTCCAAAAACAGCTGGAGACCCAAGTTTGGGAAACCCTGGACTAGACCATGTGAAAAATGAACATAATATTTTAGCTACAGTTCATTCATTTTCAGCCTTGTATTCTTGTTATAAAAAAGTGTGCCTAGACATTCCATTATTGCGCCCATAACCTAGGTGTAAGGTGCCATTTAGCTCCTAGTTTTCATATCTCAGTTTCTAACACTAATGGAAAGCAGAAAATATGTTATTGTTTATGCAAGGTTAATAACATTTTTTTGCTAACAAACCTCTAAAACCTTGGACACATTTTGAGTGCTGCATTAGTTATTTTTAGCCTGGGCTAGATTGGACCCTTTTGTGTATATATTCTAAATTTTAATTTATGCCCCACCTCTTGCCAAAGGAAATCAGTATGGCATACATAGTTTTTACCCCCATTTGAGTCATGACAATCCTGGAAGGTAGATTAGGTGAGTGTGTGACTGGCCTAAGATGATTTGGTGTGGCTTTGTTTCCCATTTTTCATCTGACGCTAACCACTACCACACACTAGCAAAGCAGTCATTTTGTTCTAGAACAGTAATTCACATAGATCGATAAGAAACGTACTTGCCTTTTAACAGCGCTATCTGGCTGTCTGACAAAGTACTGATATAACTCAAAGGGAGAGGTCCTATTTCTGTTTAGCCAAACTGCATTGCCAGCAGATTTCCCCAACTTATCTCCAGTGGTACTTGTAATAAGAGGCACCGTTATTCCAAATACATCTTCGCCTGTCACCCTAATAGGAAACAAATTACAATACTTAAGTTATGTTACTTGTCAACAGAACACGGTACACATTTATTTTCAAGACCTACAAACATTTCTACAACAGAAGGCAACCCTATTACCTTCAGCTACCTGTCAAAAATCTGTTGATCTGCTTACACAATGAACTCTCCTCTCCCATCAGTCACTTGCCTCTTTATGCCCAGTTCCTTTAGAGCTCTTGACAGCCAAGAGCCCAAACATGTCATGTGCAGATACATGCCCTCTCTTGAAGAAACTAGTAATGGCACAAGTATTACTGAGACCTAAGTTATATGATATTTTGGTTGACTAGTTCATTTAATACCCCTAGGCCTTGAATGTTAGACTGCCTCCAAGAAATACTTTAAACAAGCACTGGCCATAAAAAGCTGATACTAAAGGGAAAATTAAATAAATTAGATTGGACAGTCTACTGCATAATGATATCAAGCATCCACCTGGAGACTTTTCAAGATAATCAACCTTTTTCTTTTTTTTGATGGAAGCTAAGTGATGCTGGTACAGTCCTCCAGACTGAGGCCATGTGGTGTTAATATGTCCACCATATAAAGGTAAAGGGACCCCTGACCATTAGGTCCAGTCGTGACCGACTCTGGGGTTGCGGCGCTCATCTCGCTTTATTGGCCAAGGGAGCCAGCGTACAGCTTCCGGGTCATGTGGCCAGCATGACTAAGCCGCTTCTGGCAAACCAGAGCAGCACATGGAAACACCGTTTACCTTCCTGCCGGAGCGGTACCTATTTATCTACTTGCACTTTGACGTGCTTTCGAACTGCTAGGTTGGCAGGAGCAGGGACCGAGCGACGGGAGCTCACCCCGTCACGGGGATTCGAACCGCCAACCTTCTGATCGGCAAGTCCTAGGCTCTGTGGTTTAACCCACAGCACCACCCACGTCCCTCTAGGGAAAGGTAGATAGTATTTATTAGACTTGCTAGCCACTTATTGTGCATAGGTCTCCAAACAGCTCACAACAAAAAATGCATAAATAAGAGGAATATAAAAATATGAATCTACTTTATAATGTTAGATCACTGGTCCATTCATCTATTCTTATTAGAAGCAGGTTTCAAAGTCTCATGTAACCTTTTCAAGTACAGTTACCCAATAACTTTCTAACTAGAAGTAGAGGGAACCAATGATGGGACCTTCTGTGGGAAGGGTGTGTGCTGTACCTGCTGAGCAAGAGATGTAACACTTCCATAAAAGATGTCACCATGGGAACTTAACATAACATAATAGTGCACTGTTTCTCATATTTATTCATTTTAAAGGTAGAAATGCCTTAAGTGTTATTCAAAAACTAATTATCAATATATCTAGTGCTAGTGATGGAGCAGCAGCCTACTGTATGCTGAAGTGCCAAACATACCTATACCAGGGCAGGGTGGGAGTTTACAGTAGGCCCACAGCTTTTATGGATTCCATCTCAGCTATACAGCCAGCGAGCTGCAACTGCACAAATTAAATGCATGCAAGGCAGAGAGCTTAAGAACTTTTTGGCATGGAAAGAGCTTTTAAGCTCTCTGTCTCACTTACTGGGCTCTAGGAGACTCTTGCATGGGCTCTGAAGGCCATCACCCTGGTTCCAAGAGATCTCACACTGACTCTGGAAGATAAAATTGCCCATTCAGGGACAGTTCCGGGGGCTGTTTTTACTACAGTGGTACCTTGGGTTAAGTACTTAATTCGTTCCAGAGGTCCGTTCTTAACCTGAAACTGTTCTTAACCTGAAGCACCACTTTAGCTAATGGGGCCTCCCGCTGCCGCCGCGTCACTGAAGCATGATTTCTGTTCTCATCCTGAAGCAAAGTTCTTAACCCAAGGTACTATTTCTGGGTTAGTGGAGTCTGTAACCTGAAGTGTATGTAACCCGAGGTACCACTGTATATGCAATTTCAGCTTTACACGCTACCCCCCCTGCAAAAAACCATAACCCCCATGTAAGACGCAATCCTGCTGTATAGTAACTTTAGGCAATACTGCTTGTTTCTTCTCCTGACCGCGTATCAAATACCAGAAAACAACAAAACCCAATCTCTGGATTCAAGTTGTACCTGTTTATATTACACAGAAATTATATTACAATTATTATGCTTCTGTCTATGTAATTGCTCCAGAGACCTTAGATGGACAGTTTATAAATATAATTAATAAATATCAGAAACTACTCTGAGGAGCTTGTTATTTCAAAGGAGTACACTAGAGTTTTCCATCCCCTCAAATTTCCAATTCTTTAATTTGAAAAATGGTAAAAAATACTTCCAAAAAATGCCTCTCATATTTCTATATCTAAGTGAACTGTTTTATTGACTCAGTGTATGAACATTTTTGTAAAATAACGATTACACATGAAAAAATGAATCAACTCTCAACAGGGGCTCCCAACGGTTTCTCTCAAGTGTCCCTCAGCAGCAGCTGTTCCATCAGGCTGCTGCAGGAGGTGAGGTGGAAGGCAAAGTCAATTCCTTCAAATTTAGCTTAAGAGTAGCTCCAAGACCTGGGCCCATTTCATCAGCTCTGCTAAAAGACCAGCTCAATCAGGAGCCTCTTGCCTCTGAACTTCCCACAGGGATCTAATTGGCCACTATTGATAACAGGATCCAGCAGGCTCTTCTTAGGTTCCTAACTGCTCCAATTTCAGCTGGCCGTTAGGGCACAACTATTTGTTGAGAACGGATCCCTGGCTTTGTCTGCTTGCTTTCCCTCTGCCCTCCCCACGCCTCTTCACTTGCAACGCACCTGTCCCTATTGATTAGGTATGTAAGCTACTGCTCTGTAATAACCTCTCCCCCATCCAGCTACCCCAGCTTAAGCTCCAAATGCAGGCCTCCCCCACAACTCCTTATCTCGTACTTGGAGACGAGGTCGTGTCCGGACATGATGTTGCCCATCTGGTCCGCTCCTCCCAGCTGGATGCGGCAGCCGTGGTGTCGGTGCAGGTGCAGAAAGTCGTAGGCCTGCAGCGCCGGGTACAGGAACTCGGCCAGCCCCATGCCGCCGGGGCTGCTCAGGCGGGCCTTGCAGCTCTGCCTGCTCAGCAGCGTCCCCATGCGCAGGTGGCCCCCGACGGCGCACAGGAACCCCACCACGGACTCGCGCTCCAGCCAGCTGGCGTTGTCCAGCACGGCGGCGCGGCCCAGGCGAGTCCCTTCCCCGCTCCAGAAGAGCTCGCGGTGGTTGTCGAAGAGCCTCTGGAGCCCCCGGCGGAGGGAGGCCGCGTTCTCCTGCGCGCGTTCCTCCGGGAGGACCTCGCGCTCCTCCGCGCGGCCGCTGGGGTCTCCCAGGCGCGCCGTGGCTCCGCCAACCAAGGCCACCACGTTGTGGCCCGCGCGCTTGAAGTGCAGCAGGCCCTGCACCGCCAGCAGGTGCCCGACGTGCAGCGAGTCGGCCGTCGGGTCGAAGCCGCAGTAGGCCGTGACGGGAAGGCGGCCCGCCTCCAACAACCCGGGGAGCTGCTCCTCGGCGGCTTGGGGAGGGAAAATCTCCTGGAACAGGCCCCGCTCGAGCTGAGCCGCTAAGAGACCCTTGGCCGGAGCTCGCGGCCGCTGGTCGTGGGACTGCCGCCGTCCCCCGGGCGCCTGGAGCCGGGGCGAAGCGGCCCTCAGGCCGAAAAGCCAACGGTGGCCGGCTCGTAGCGCGGGCGCCGCCATCTTAGCTAACGGAACGGGGTGCGCGCGCACATGGCGCAGAGCATGCTGGGAGGAGGGGGCGGGGTCGAAGCGTTCCGGCTTCTGCCCTCATGGGGCCGCTTAGAGGGGAGCTTTGGTGTCCGCTGCGGATGTCTTTGTGGCATTAGTTATTGACCAGGCTCCTTGCTTATTTCGTCGAATAAGGAATATGTGGTTTTTAAATAATAAAAAACACACAGATTTTTTTTAAGAATTGCCTTCTTTGACTGTTCTGGGCATTAAAGCAGAACTTGCTCCCCCCCCCCCCCGAAGTTTTCGTTAATGCTCAGCAATCCCCCAAAACAAACGTATTTAAGCAATTAAGTGTGCTTGGAGATCCCTTGCTCCGACCTAAATTATTAAACTCACAATCGGGGGTATATCACTAAATAAAGTGGCGTGGGAAATAGGGAACTGCCTGTACAAACAGTATGTTTAATTTTTTTCAAAGGAAAGGTCCAGGGAGGAACTACTGGTCTAGAATATCTTGAGTAATTAAATGTTACTGAATAGGTTTCAGTCAAGATCAAACATGGAAAGTAATTGTGTTTCTTTAGGAGTTAAATTAGCATAACAAGAAGGGCAGAAATAGCAGCATCGACTGCTCTTTAATTGCTTTATAATCCTAATCAGAAGTACTGAATTTAGTGGGGCTTACTCCCAAGGTAGTTTCCAGACTGCAGCCTTCTTGCCTAGGAAAAACCCCAAAACATTCTGCCTTTCTTGGACACACTGAAGACATCTTGCACAACTAGAAATATCAAAAGGAATACAAATGGCAAACAACAATAAAAGCATTAATCCAACTACAGAGCAATAGCTAAAATAACCAACTGAATCAGCAGGAATACCAACAAATTTTCTGAAAAAGTAAAATGGAATCTTATGCATGCTTACTTGGGAGGAAGCCAAATTTCAAAATTGATTTAATTCTGAGAATCTAGTTAATGAAAAAACAGTGGTACAGAGGGCAGCCAATCATACGTAGGGTGAGGCATTCCACATTCCTTTGTGACATGAGCCATAATTGGGCATTTTTGGTTCATGTATTAAACAAAATGGAAACAGGAGCATTTTACCAGTTCCTGGAAACATGCACAGCACAGAGAATCTCAATAGGAAAGATGAATAAACGCAAACATTCATTATAAGATGTATAACCAGTGGAGTAGTGGGACAGAAACAGCATACTGCTACTTATTTCACAGCAGAAATGATCTCCTATGGTCAGAAAGCCACCATTTAAGCTAAACAGATGAGGGGGCAGGGCAATGGTATATATTCGTCCCCACGAAAACTCTGCAAAACAAAAACAGGGTTTTCTTTGATCAAAGAATCTGTGGCTCTGACCTCTGTGCAACAATGATACCCTGCTGTTGCTCACAAAAATCTGAAAAGAAACTGATAACTATTTTAAAATGTTACGGAATCTCAGCTTTCCACTGGGTGGCAGAATTGCACTTAACCTGTACATAGTAACGCCAGCATCCTATGTGATCCCTGGTAACCAGTGTGCTAAATGCTGCATTTTGACTCAACCTGGAATTTTGGTGTGCCAAACAAGTTTTCATTGTATAATCTCCTTTATGTGCTGATGCCACTCTGTAACCTTTGGGCCATTCAACATATTTTGCTCAAATGATTTTAGTAACTGAGAAAGCTCAAAATGCTCACACAGCAAGTGTTACATGTGTTTTATTTATTTATTTGACAGTAAGTTTTATATGTCTGTATAGAATTGCCTAAACACAGTGGCGTAGCGTGGGGGGTGCAGGGGGGGCCGGCCGCACCGGGCGCAACATCTGGGGGTTAGGGTTAGGGGGCGCAAATCCACTGGTTAGGGGGCGCAAATCCACGGGTTAGGGGGCGCAAATTACTTGCCTTGCCCTGGGTGCTGACAACCCACGCTACGCCACTGCCTAAACAAAAACATTTTAGGCACATGCCAAAAAGCATACAGCTAAGGCACTTGCCTGATATCAATAGGCAGGAAGTTCTAAAGTGTAGGGGCTGTCACACATTTACATCCCACTTTTCCTCCAAGGAGCTCAAGGTGGTTTATCTTTGCAGCAACCCTGTGAGGTAGATTAGGCTGAGAAACAGTTACTAGCCCAAGGTCACCCAGCAAGTTTTTTTTGCTGGGATTTGCAGCTCTCTGAAACCCAGTACTGTAATTAGAGTTGCCAGCATTTTGCCAATCCTTTTGGTGGTGTTGGGCTAGACTCATTCAAATAAATGAGTGGATCATTTAGATACCACACTTAGTTTAACAGATGTGCTAACTAGAACTGGCAAGTCCTCTGAGAGAAATTTCCATGTTTTAGTTGTTGTACCCTCCATCTTTTAAATGCACGCATCACAGTCCTGCAGATCTCTGTCTGAGCTCCTAGCAGATTTCACAAGATAAGGAGAGGCCTGGTTAGCATTTTTGTGTTTCAATTTCTGCAGATGCATTCCAGGAAGATAACACAACGCAATGTCAATAGCTGGCAGTCAATTCTGCAAGTCAGCACTCATGAATAACGATGGGAATAGAATTGCCTTACATTAACCAGAAGAAATACATTTCCAGGGAATGGTTGTCTTGTCCTTCCTCGTTTACACCACACATCTCTTGTCTGCCCCCACAAATGTATTTCTTCTGCTTTCTAGATGCACCACCTCCCTTGCTTCCGATGCTCATTTCAAGGGGGCTAGTACATTTGGATGCGGGCCAATAAATTGAAGCTACGTAAATCCTAAAAAGATGTTCTCTGTTTTCAAGTATGGGAGGTGCAGAGCCTGCCTATTCTGAATGGGGATGCATTCCTCTGGAATGAACAAGTCCACATCTTGTGGGATGCGCCTGTATCCAACACTGTCAATGGAGGTTCAGGTGGTTTTAGGGGCTGGGAGTGCTGATTTCTAGCTACAGCTGCTTTTCCAGCTGTGGTCCCTTCTGGGCAGAGATGACTTGGCCACTGAACTCCACACAGCCCCCAGAAATGACTATCGCAATGCACTCCTCACGGGGCTGCCATTCCAGACTTAATTTGGTAGAGTCAACTGGTCCAAAATGCAGCAACCAGGTTACTGGCCAGGGTTCCATTTAGAGCTCACATAACCCTGATTTTAAAACAGCCAGTTTGCTCCCATACCAAATCCAAGGTGCTCACATTGGTGTTTAAAGCCTTAGATCCCAAATACCCCAAAAGCTGCTTCCATCCCTATCGCTTCTCAAGACTGGCAGAGGGGGCTCTCTTGGTAGTTCTGACATCATCAAAAGTCTGGGCAACGGCAGCCTGGGAGGGTTTCCCCCTCTGTGACAGCCCTAAATTGAGGAACTGCCTTCCCACAGAGGGGTGGGTGTGTCTAACATTTTTCTCGTATAGCTTTTGCTGTATGCTGAACACATACGCCCTGGCCTTTGACGGTTAAGGTACTTTGTTTTGTTTTTCCCAAGTCCTTCACTGACTTTATACTCTTCTGTTCCAGCTGCAATGGTGTTACTACTACTTCTTTTTTTAAAATGGAACTGTTTTCTCCTGTTGTTGCTTTTTAAAAATGTATATTACATTGCTGTAAACCTACCCTGGGACCTTATGGAGAAGGGCAGATAAGAAATCACATAAAGATAACAAATGACTTCTTCCCACCCCACCCTGAACTGCTGCTATCATACCTCCTGATCTGTCCTCACTATTAACATTTCCTGAATCTTAACTCCAGAACCAACAGACTCCCTTCTGAATCAGCATGAAGGCCCAGAGCTGGAACTTCTACAAATCCGAGGGAGTTTAAGAAGAATGATGCCTCCACTAGGGGTAACGCCAAGATAAAGAAGCGTTCCTGATAAACTGCAAGAGAGCTGAGCAATCCAAGGCCATGTAGTAGAGATAGCCAAATAAGAGAACGTCCAGTAGACTCCTCAGGGTCTCACGCTCCTTCAGGGCCAGGATTCCCCCTATCTAGAGTTTACATTGACAGATTAGAGCCAGTCACATTATACGGTGTTTACATTTGGGTGGGACTTCACAACTGCCAAAACATTAGTCTTAGATATAATTCATTATCGACTCTAAATGTATTGTTCACATCAGAAGGTGTGCTAAGAGAATTATTTGGAAACTGAACAGAAGGAGAGGCTTACCAAAATGTTGTTTTACATCTGCTACTGAGGCAGTTTCAGGGTCCTTGTATTGTATTGAAAACTTAAATCCAGGGACCTAAGTTTCTGTGGGACCACCCGAACCCTTATGTCTCAGCACTGAAATAATCTGCAGGAGCATCACTGGTCATGCGCCGAGTTGGCGAGACTCATTTGACAGCAACAAGAAATGGAGCTTCTATTGTGGAACACTCTGTCAATAAATCTGGAACAGGCACCTTCTGAGCCAACTTTTAAACAACTGCTAAAAACCTTTCTATTCCACCAGGCTTAGACAGGCAGTTAATAATACATATTTCTGTAACAGGTGATTTCTTATTTTAGCCTTTTAATATAGTATTTATTGTATACATAAAGTTGTTGTAAACCACTCTTGATTTTTTAAAAAAATGAATAGTGCGCTCTCTCTCTCTCTCTCTCAGAGAGAGAGGGCGGGGGGAGAGAATGAAGGCAGGACAGAGGAGAGATTTATTTGAGAGTTTGGGGCTCATTTTGGTTATAGCCAAATGAATTTACACTGGATCCAGTGCTGGATTTACATATAAGCTAAACAAGTTATAGCTTAGGGCCAAGTGGGGCCCCCAAAAAAGTTTAAAGGAAAAAACACCTGGATGTACATTTCCAAAATATAAGATAAAAAACAAATAAAATAAAACCTACATACAGCAACAGTGTTTTGTGTTGTGTAGGCTCCTATTTGTTATGTGCAAATAGCTTTAGATACCTATTAGGTCCATAAATTACCATATAGCATATATTCAACACAAAAAACAGTTGACAATTGTTGTTGACAAAGGACAGCTGGACTTATAAAAGGCCCCATTACCCTCAGTAGCTTAGGGCCTCATCAAACCTAAATCCAGGCCTGACTGGATCTAAACTACCTCTTGCCTGGTATATCTGCACAATATAAACTGGTGCTCCTGCATCATAAAGTAAACTAAAAACCAAACTGAGGCCTGTGCTGTGTATTTGGAAGATTTGCTGGGGTTGGGTCTGTGAATCTAGATGCGACTGTGTAAACAACTGCCAGTGTTTAGAAATCTTAGCTCAAGTCAGCTGGCTTAGTCAGAAGCTCATATTGCTGAACAAACCCATCTTGGGAGCTCTCTAAACAGGAAGCTCCATGAAAGGTAGTATTTCTGGCTATTTAGGATTAGTCAGACCCTGCACATCCGAGGTTATTTAGAAAGAAAAGAATATCCCAGCAGAGGCCCGATAGGTAAGGTTCAGTTTAGTTAGAGGGCCAAGCTAGGTGTGATGGAAGCAGTCATATTGTTTCTCCCTCATATATTCATATCTAAAATATATGATTAATGTAAATAGATAGTGTTGCTGGTCACGTACTATGGAATGCTTTCGCAGCAGAGATTAAGTAGGCACCCTTACTTTAGACATCCTGGCATCTCTTGAAGACCTTTTGACACAGGCAGGCCTATGCAACTGTTTATACACATTTTTATTACATTTATAATAAATTCCCTCCACATTTCCTCCAAGGAGCCCAAGGTGGCATGCACCGTATTCTTCCCTTCCCTGTTACCTCCTGACAACAATCCTGTGAGGTAGGTTAGGCTCAACAACTGTGACTGGCCCAACGTCACAGCCGATTGGAGACTTGAACGGGGTCTCCCTGTCCTAGTCCAACACTCTAACCAAAACTCCACACTAGTTTTAATGATCGCTTTTTAAACTCTGCTGTCATATTTTCAAATTTTGTGTTCAGCTGAGAGATGCAGGGCTCCTGCTTATTGTCGGAAGTAAAGCCGGTATATATGAGGAAACCTTGAGCCTGATCTTGAGAAGTCGCCCCTACTAGCTTGACACAACGTGCGACAGGACAAAAATGACATGGCAAACTTGTTTTGCATTGTGTGTTATATCTAGATCAGATAAAAGTCTGGATTCCAAATAATTCCATTTCTGCAGTTGCAGACCCCCTCACTTCTTGGAAATTCTAAAAGGCTGCTCAGCAGACTCCTGTCACTGAGATGTTTGGGTAATCCCCTTTTCTGAGCAATAGGCTTATGCACAATCACAAGCCTTTGCTAAATTACTATGAATAAAGCAAGATCTTGAAGATGGAAGTGTTTAGGAATGATGGGATATAAAAAACAATCTAGCACATTAGTGCATCTTCTTGCATAAATAGGATTTCTCAGAGTCACCAGAAGGTGTCTCACAGCACAAAGAGAGCACTTTTTAAAATATTCACCTGTATCAAAATTTGCAAAATGATACATGATGCATGGCATAACTTTCGGCACTACGTCTTAAGAATTTTCTAAACTTGAGGTTCTCCACTCATGTTCTAAGGTTTAATTCCAAAGGGAAATACTGTAAGGTCTTAATTTTACCTGAGAGAAATGATGTAGCACATACTCTGTACTCTGTAGGGCCACTAGACCTTTTCCACCCATTGCTTCCATTTTCTGTTGTTCATTCCAACAAGTAAATAATGGCAGTGGTGAATTCTGTGTAAACAGTTCAGTGAAACCTAATGCAAAACAGCTGGGCCCAGTTTAAACACAGCCCGCACATGGGTGCAGCTTTCCTTGTGTGAAATCCAGCCAGCCATCACAATGAAACCCCTCATGCAAAGGTTTACGCCCAGCAGGAACCAGCTATTGTTCATCAAACACAGCTAAATTGTTCTTTACAATTGTTCCTCCCAGTGCAGATCTGCTGACCCATTGTACATGAAGGCACAGCACCTCGTAAGACAAAGCCAGCACTAATCTCTGAGCAAACACCCCCACCACAACATATCTTCTGCTCTCTTCTCCCTAGCTAGGGTGAAGATTGATGTAAGAACTTCGAATGTACCTTTACTGGTCTAAGAAAAGTGTATTTCTGTACTGGAGTCCTGTACATTCTTGTGACATGACAGATATACTTCCCTTGAGAGGAAGAGAATGAGTGGGCAGAAAGAAATGCAGTATATTAGGGGAAATTGCTTGCAAAAAAAATGTGCATATTGAAAGACATTTGCACTAAGATGCTGGTAAATTTTCACAAGCACTTTGAAAAGTTCATAAAGTGATGTAGAAAGGTGGAAACGTGAAATTGAGCAAAACTCAAACTGGAAGATTTGCCAGTCCCCCATTACGTATGACATATGATAACATCTGAAAGGGGCAAAGGTTCTGCAACTGCTATGCAGTAGTTGCTGTGACATTTTGAGTTTTCTTTCTTTCTTAATAAAATTGTACGCCGCTTGATTGTAAAACAACAATAACCCTCAAAGTAGTTTACAATGCCTGGTTCGCACATAATGCTAAGCCAAACTAATACTTATAAATCACAGCCACTTCACTCTTCCTCTGGGATCTAAACTGTGCTAATTCCAAACTTGTGCTCATAGTTCATCTCCCTTCGTACATTTTAGCTTACCACTCACAGAATTGCAGAGTTAGAAAGGACCCCAAGTACAACCCCCTGCAATGCAATCATGGTTTGTTAGGAGAAAGCAAGTAACGAGTTTGGGTTCAAGCATAACTGAGCTCCCATAGTGTGGCAGGAGTGAGAGAGGGGTGAAATAGTTGGTCATGATTTTCTCCCTGTGCCACAGTGTGTTTACTTGCTCATGGTACGCCATCATTTGCGTTCATGCTACGTGCAAACTGGGCTGCTAATTACTGAACCCTGAAGGCAGGCAGCTTTTGAAAGAAATTCTGGTCATAGTTTGAAGACACCAGAATACTAAACGTGCAGGAAGAATGTTGTCAGGCCTTGTATTTTTTTTTCAGATAGCCTCTAGCTTGCTTTCTCCCCACCTTTCTTTTAACATCAGAGGGAGTGACCACCATTTGTCAAAATAAATTACATGATTTCCATGATTTATCCTTTCTCCCCAGAAAACCTGTTTAGCAACAGTGGTGGTGGAGCTAGAGAATGGGGCAAGAGAGGTTTCTGCTTTTTGTAAGAGTATAATCAAATTTTGCTTAAGAGCAAATTGTACTTACCAGATGTGCTTGCGTTTGGCATACTGTATCTCAACTTATAAAATGCACTCCCACCCCGGGAGAATATCACCTCTCGCCATTGCAACCCACTTCATATAAAATGTGCTGTAGCTCAATGGCAGACCATCTGCTTTGCATGCAGAAGGTCCCAGGTCCAAGCCCTGGCATCTCTAGGTAGGACCAGAAGAGACTCCAGTCTGAAACCCTCAAGAGCTGCTGCCAGTCATTGTAGATGAAGCGAGATGGGCAAATGCTCTCTGTATAAGGCAGCTTCCTATGTTCCTAACTCTGCTTCTAAAGGGCTCTAAGCAGGGATGTTGGTTAAGGGGTGGACCACCTCTTTCAGCCCATGGGCTGCATTTCCTCCTGGGCAGCTCTCCAGGGACTGCATGCCAGTGATGGACAGGAATGGAGCCAAAAGTCGGCAGGGCAAACCTTGTGCCTTTTGCCTATGTGCAGTCAGCTGTTTTCCAAACAAGTAGAGTCACAGATTTGTGCCCACACACCTCCACCCTTCATTCAAGAAAGCAGAAGGCATTGCTACAGTGCAAAGACTCGAACGTGCAGGGCAGGGCTGGTGAGGGTTGTGGCCTGGAGAGAGGTGGGGTGACCTGGGGAGGAGGGCACAAAGAGAGGTCTGGAGGGCCACACTGGACCCTTAAGCTCAGTCCCCACTTCTGGTGCATACTGTCTGGGGGTGACTGGAACTCCCATCTGCAGTCCAGTAGAAAGGAGAGTTGTATGCAAGAATGCTCTCCTAGAGATGGCCCAAAGCAAGTTCTGCCTGGGAGCTGTGAAGTCTAGAGCACAACTCCCAAGTGAAGGGAAAAAAAATAATCAAGCTCAGGCTGGGTACACACCATACATTTAAAGAACACTCTCAAGAATCCTGGGAACTGTAGTTTGCTAAGGGTGCTCAGAATTGTACCTCTGTGAGGGGGTAAACTGCAATACAGTGGTACCTCGGGTTAAGTACTTAATTCGTTCCGGAGGTCCGTTCTTAACCTGAAACTGTTCTTAACCTGAAGCACCACTTTAGTTAATGGGGCCTCCTGCTGCTGCTGTGCCGCTGGAGCATGATTTCTGTTCTCATCCTGAAGCAAAGTTCTTAACCCGAGGTACTATTTCTGCGTTAGCGGAATCTGTAACCTGAAGCATATGTAACCCGAGGTACCACTGTACCCAGGATTGGGGGGGGGGGCTTTACTTTAAAAATATGGCATGTACACAGCCACTAGTATTGCTTTCTGGAGCATCATACAGATGCATTTGAGTCCTTTTTGGTACTGTCATGTGTCTTTTTTTTTTTTGCATGCTTGCTGGTGCTTATTCAACACTACTAATTCAGAAATATAGCATTATGGTTCATTCATGCTTCTACTTACCCTGTTGCTTTCACCCAGGAAAACCTGCTGTTTACTGCTGAATTGGAACAAACATCAATTGTGTTTTGTCCGGATTGACATTTGCTCCAATTCAGCACAAAAGAGCAGGTTTTCTGGGGGGAAGCAGTGGGGCAAAGGCAAAACTACGTGGACCCATGTCTGGAAAACATGGGAAATGCAGAACCCATTTGCTGTCTAGTCATGGGACCAGTGGAAATGTAGATGAGCCCTATGGTTGTGTGTTGCATGTCAATTGCATTATAATCAGGTCAGCATGATAAGTGATGCTTCCCCCCCCCCGACCTTTTGAGATGTTCAAACCGTGTCCAGTTAACAAACATGTAGGGTAGAGCCTGCTGATCTTTGACCCCCAGCATGTGCTCATTGAATGCCATTTTGACTTCTGGAACATGGCTTAAGAACATAGGATATTGCCTTATTATACCAAGTCAGACTATTTGTCCACTGTCCAATATTGTCTACCCTGGCACTTGGTTTCAAGGGTCTCGGGCAGAAGGAGGTCTTGTTTGTCGCCTGCTGCCTGATCCTTTTAACCTTTCCCATTGACCATGCTGTCTGGGTCTGATGGGAGTTGTGGTTCAGGGATTGAAACAGGGACATTCTGCATGCACAAACACAAAGGAGGCATGAATGAGACTCACTGTGTGTGAATGATAGGCAGGTCCAGATTACTCAAAGAAGCCCCATCACAAAACAGGGAAGATCAAGGGCCCAGGCATTGCAGTCAAGTGTTGAACCTACATCTATGACTGGCTAGATTTAAAACGGGGATGTTGCTTCTTGTTGGCCAAGCTAGTTTTGTTGTTAATGCTTAGGGCTCAGTGTTGGAAGAAGGCAGTGTCATAGTTGAATACATTTAAATGGAGGAAGGGAAGAGCAGCCTTGCCACAAATGGATATGAGTGCCTGCATATAATTCAGTACTTAGTTCTTGTATTGTCAGACTGACCTTCCCCTGCCTTTGCCCCTTTCCTACTTTCTTGCATTCTGTCTTTTTAGCTTGTGAACCCAAAGGCAGGGTGCATCTTTTAAATTTCAGAGAGTTTTTGTGTGAAGGACTAGTCTTCTGAAAAGTGGGGCCAAAATATAAGAAATAAAGCAGAGGCTGTTCACCTGGGGCTCTCCAAATGTTGCTGGACTGCAGCTGCCATCATCCATGGCCACTGGCCACGTTGGCTGAAGCTGTTGGGAGTTATAGTTCAGTTTGGATGGCTACAGGTGAGTCACCCATTTTAAAGAGCAGCTACTACTTGGGAATATGCAGCACTTCAGGTTAAAGCTGTCTCTGACTTTGGTCCAAAAGCAATCTGTCAATCTGAAAGCAGAGCCGTTGGAAACAGATTATGACTGGGCGTGGGAAAGTTAAGAACTGTATCGTAGTACAAGGGCAAGTAAAGCCCGTTGTTTATCTCTGGGATTCATGCTGAAGCATAATAATAATGTAAGCAACGCTGGCATTAGGGCTTGCTGCCAACAACTGAACAAGCTGTTCTCTCCTTTGTGCAGGATTAGCCCATGTGCTGCCTTCTAGTTGTTCCTGGACTCCAGTTCCCATCAGCCTCAGCCATCATGACCAATGGTCAGGGATTATGAGAGCTGTAGTCCAACATTAGAAGGCTATCACACTGTCCAGCCCTGTCTTAAAGGTAAAGGGACCCCTGACCATTAGGTCCAGTCATGGCCGACTCTGGGGTTGCGGCACTCATCTCGCTTTACTGGCTGAGGGAGCTGGCGTACAGCTTCCGGGTCATGTGGCCAGCATGACTAAGCTGCTTCTGGCGAGCCAGAGCATCACACGGAAACGCCGTTTACCTTCCTGCCGGAGTGGTACCTATTTATCTACTTGTACTTTGACGTGCTTTCAAACTGCTAGGTTGGCAAGAGCAGGGACAGAGCAACGGGAGCTCACCCCATCGCGGGGATTTGAACCGCCGACCTTCTGATCAGCAAGTCCTAGGCTCTGTGGTTTAACCCACAGCGCCACCCGCGTCACATAGCCCTGTCTTAGGGCTACACTAAAGCTAGACTCAAAGCAGCAACGGTGAAAAGCAATAGAGTAATTTTCTGTGCTCCTTGTTCATGTATGTTTGCATTTAATTAATAGGATTTCTATACTGCTTAATCATCAGAACCTGTAAGCCGTTTGCATCAAATAAACTGTATTGGAGATACACAAACCTGCATTTGCTGCTTTGTAAAAAAATATATATGGGAAGCTCTAACAACAATGCAATCCTAAACCTATGTATTCAACAGTCAATCCCACTGATTTCAGTGGAGTTTACTCCCCGGTATGTGAGCACAGGACTGCAGACTTAAGTGTGCATAAGCACAGGAGAGGGAACTCAAAAGACAATTTCTAAAAATACTGGCAGCTCCAGTGGGTTCAACACACTCCCTTTGGCTCTCAAAAGCAAATTGCTCAGCAATGCAACAACAAACAGAATTTCACAGCAGGATAGAGCAGGTCACACCCTTGCGTGACTCTCCTGGCTTCTCGGAGAAAGAATGCATTGCTGGGAGGGGTGTGAGGAAGGCTAAATAAATATCTCCTCGCACATACTTAGAAAAACAGCTATTGTAGACGGCCAGGATAGCTAGAAATAAACTAGTATGAAAGGGGAAGAGACTGACCGTTGCAACAACAGAAAAGGAAGATTTATGAAGGCGCATAAACAAGCAAGCAAGTGAAAGTACCAGACAGATTTGATTGCAGTGAATCTACTGACCCATGATTCCCAGGTGCACCACACAGCACAGTTGGCAAGGGATTTCTTCCATTAATACCCCACCTTTCTTCCATCCTGGAGGCCAAGCAGCCACCCATCCAGGCACTGAACAGATGCAGGCCAGTTTAGCTTCAGTAAGATTGCCACCTGGACAACCTTGGATGTACCTAGAGTGCTGTCCTCCTTACTGGAGTGAGGAAGACATTTTTCTTTCAAGGGCCACATTTCCACCTGGATACCAGTGGGTCACACCCAGCAATGGGTGGGTATGGATGCAGAGGGACTCTCCCTGCTCCACAAGCTGCTAGGAAAGAGGAAGAGGTCTGAACCGATTGCTTTTGAAATGTGGCTGAGGCCCACCTGCACAACACACACTTACATGAGAGCAAGCCTACTGAACCCAACAGGCGATATCCAATGTTAGTCATGCTTCATTAAAATCAGCAGTAACAAGTCCATCCATCTCATTCGGTCTACTCCAGGTACAACCTAGCTAGGTATCACCTAACAGGTCTATGTTCCAAGTAGGCACATACAGGATTGCATTTTTAGGGAACACACACACACACTGATAATCCCATAAAAAAAGCCCAAAGGAAACCTGAGAAAAAGTAGAGAGCACTCCAGATTTCTAAATGTACCGAACAATGAATCCAGGTGACGAAATTCAAAGCTGGAATAAACGAACAAGCACAGCAGAGCTATCTGTACTGATGCAATTGGGGGGCTTTCCTAAAAACCTATTTATTATCCAAATACTTTTTGCAGGCTGGTGAATTCTTTTTAACTCTATTTGCCATTGGCCTAGTGGCTGCTGTTTTATTCTGAACTGTAATTTTATTTATTTATTGTTTTTGTGTACCTTATTACATATGAAGGATGATGTCAGAATATTTTAATAAATAAACAATGCCCTATAAGTAAGTTGAGGGACGCGGGTGGCGCTGTGGGTTAAACCACAGAAGAAGAGTTTGGATTTGATATCCCGCTTTATCACTACCCGAAGGAGTCTCAAAGCGGCTAACATTCTCCTTTCCCTTCCTCCCCCACAACAAACACTCTGTGAGGTGAGTGGGGCCGAGAGACTTCAGAGAAGTGTGACTGGCCCAAGGTCACCCAGCAGCTGCATGTGGAGGAGCGGAGACGTGAACACGGTTCCCCAGATTACGAATCTACTGCTCTTAACCACTACACCCCACTGACAACCACCACAGAGCCTAGGACTTGCCGATCAGAAGGTTGGCGGTTCGAATCCCTGCGACGGGGTGAGCCCCCGTTGCTGGTCCCTGCTCCTGCTAACCTAGCAGTTCGAAAGCAGGTCAAAGTGCAAGTAGATAAATAGGTACCACTCCGGCGGGAAGGTAAACGGTGTTTCCGTGCGCTGCTCTGGTTCGCCAGAAGCAGCTTAGTCATGCTGGCCACATGACCTGGAAGCTGTACGCCGGCTCCCTCGGTCAATAAAGCAAAATGAGCGCCGCAACCCCAGAGTCGTCCACAACTGGACCTAATGGTCAGGGGTCCCTTTACCTTTACCTATAAGTAGGTCACTGCAATATGTGGAAGAGTTTCTTCTCAAAGTCCTCCAAATATCAGATATATGCTGGACAGGAACTCAGAGCAGGGCTCTCAGTGTGGCTGCCCCCATTTCGCTGAGCAGCGCCCCTGCTGAGATATGACAGGTGCCCACTCCTTACTTTCTGTAAATCACTGAGACATTTTTGTTTCAACAAGCTTTTCCAGTTGTATGAAAAGGTGTCTGCCTTAGGTTTATAAACAATAGAAGATGAACACCTACTTTCAAGGTTTCTTTGAACTGTTTTCAAAACCATTTTTAGCAGTTTTAATTGTATGCTTGTAATCACCACTTGAGTGTCAAGGGCGATTCAAAAATTCATAATTATATTTCTCATTTTTTGAAGAAAGAAAAACCAACAAGCCATACTTTCATTTGCTTGATATAGGAAACAGCAGACAACTGCTGTGTCGCCAACTTCTTTTATGGCCCTGGATCCTGTGCCTTTAACAGCTGCATGCCACGCAGAAAATGAGCAGGGGAAACCTTTCCCAGTGGTTGAAATGAGCCAAAAGAAAGCAGCTTCTGCCCGTACTCAAGGGAATGCAGGCAATTTTCATGCAACAAGAGGATGAAGTTTTGCTCATCGAGTTGCACTCTTGCTAATCGTTGCAGTAGTAGAAACTTGTCAACTTCCCTGCTCCTGTGCCTTTAACAGCAGCAGTGACACATAGAAATGTGGTAGAACATACTTATTCTGGCAGGAAGATAAAGCAAGGGAAAAGGTTGGACTGCTTCGTTTCAGAATGTCAGGCTCCTGTAGGGCTGCGAGATGTTCAGCTGGGCCTCTGCGCTTGTGCCTTCAATTGCAAAGAATGAGAGGGAGAAGCTTTTCACAGCGTGAAGACAAACTTCAACCACCATTTTCTGCTGCAGATCAAGCGGCTCTTAGAAGGCACTGCTGCAAAACCTGGCTGAAAAGATGGAAGACCAAGCCTGCTCCTAAAGGCACAGGTGAAAAGCAGGGTTGCCTATTTGTTTCTAACAGGTTCCTTACTCCTGCAACTTGAAGACATGGCGAAGGTGGTTTCAGGTCACCTTCCCCCCATTGGTTCCAATACTGTTTGATAGAGACTAGTCCCATTGCCAAAGTGCCTGGCAGCCATGCCCCACTGTCTCTGTGTTCAGCACACATGCAAAAGGGCTCTATGCACCTCCAGTGGTACATTCCTAGAGGCCTTCTTTGAATGCGCACATGTTGGAGGGATGTGGCTGGTAAACATTTTGCTAGAAGGGAGCAGGGCTAGTTCCTGTGCCCCTCCTGGCCTGCCCATTCTCTGAGCATGTGAGCCAGGTCATCTGAGCACCTCTTTTAGCAAGCGATGATGCTATCTCTATGCTGTGATAAACATCCCTGGTTGATTTTTTGCAGACCAAGCTACTGCAGCAAGTCAGGACATTTTCCTGTCCAGCTGGCAAACTTAAGGAAAAGGGAAGAAATAATCACACACGAAACATGAATTGGTTGAGTTCTCAAACTGAATAGTCTTGTGATTTGGGACACTCACAAGTGTGGCTGTCTAAAAGAAATACAAAAGGGGAACCCCCAAGTTCACAGGCATTTTAAAAATAGCTCCATTGGTACATTCTTTCACTTCCACATTGCTAGAAAGTTAGGTTTTAGCAAAAACACACACACACATATGCAGCAATGGCCATTGGAGCATTACGCTAAAAAAACCCACAACAGCCCAGGAAAATGTTTCAAAAGCAGTCTATAAAGAATCTGCCTCCATTTTTCAACAGATCTGGCAGACTAGGGCAGTTTTGTAGGAAGCACTGATTAGTAGTTAGGCATAGCAAAAAACAGCAAGCAAAAATAAAAATCATAGAAATTTCTGAAATCCCATTTTCTTTGGTTATTTAGTTTCTCATAATATAAAACCAGGATACTGAGTTGATCCTTCTCCAAAAGCGGGCCAACATATAATGTGTGAATGGTTGTAAATATCAAAGTTGGTACTCAAATTATTTACTTTGATGCAACTTGAACGGCCGCAGGATTTGCAAATGAGTCTTGAGTTCAAAAGGAATAAGAAGCAGTGGTGTAAGGCAGAGATTATCTGGGAAGGGAGGGGGCACTTTCTTCTGGTTATCCTTTGGGAAGTATAAAATCAGTCTCTTGGAGGATGCCGTGCAGCTCTTGCTGGTGAGTTAATGCTGAAGATATGGTAATACCATTTCCTGCATGGTCTCATCGGTCCTTAAGGTCTTTGTTGCCTACTTTTCAGTCTTTCAGTGAATTGTAGGCTCTTATTGTCTTGTTATTGATGAAATCAGTCTTCTTAAAGTTAGCCTTGTAAATGAAAAAAATAAGAGAGATTAAACCAAAAGAGTTTAAATTCTCCTGCTTTCACAATATTAGAACCCAGGGTCATCTATGAACACATGGAGCGGAGGTGGTTTGGGCAAGATGGATCTGTGCATGATGCAGAAAACGATGTTTGTTTCAGACTTCTCTACAGAGCTGACCACGTGGTTTGGAGGAAGATATGCAAACACTACTAGGCAAACAGCTTTCTGGAGAACTTGCAGGATATTTGGGTAAGAAAAGGGAGACAGGAAATTAATACTTTTAATGAAATGTGGACTACCTTTATTACTTTTTGGTACAAAACACAGACTAAAAGTTCAGAGAAGAAACTGCTTCATTTTATTATGAAACACTGAACTTTTCTTTAATGATTATACTTTTAAACTGAAGTTTTAAATTAGAGAAAATGTGTCACTGGCTTGTCTCTTGAAGACTAAGGCTACAATCCTAACACACTTAACTGGGAGTAAGCACCACTGAATCCAATAAGGACTTACTTAAGTGTAGACATGGTTAAGATTGCGCTGTTAGAGAACTGACTTTGCAAACAGACCTGTAATACTTAAAATCAATTGAAAAACAACAACTGTGACCAACAGGAAGGTTATTGCCCCAGAGCTAGATGACAGCTTACCTTTTTGTAGGCACTGTGGAGATCGGCATGAGACCACAAAGAATACAAGAGGATGGAAGCAGCTCTGCCAGCTTTGCTGAGGAGGAGAATAATAACAACAACAGCAATCAGCATTATTTGCAAAACAGCTCAGCTAAGTTAAAAAGAACAGACCTTGGCCATGGGGCATTGAGTCTCAAAAATACACAGGAAGGTACACAACAGAAAGGGGGAATGAAGAGGGAGGGAATCTAGGTTAAAAGGTAGGAAAGGAAAGAAGCACAAGGAATGAGACATGTAGATTATTATTAGTTTAATGCTCATTAAATTTAAACAGCTGCCCATTCCCTGGGTATAAAATAGTTTATTCACAGCCCAGGTGAATAAAAAGGTCTTCCTTCACCTGTCACTAAAAAGACCATGGATAAAGCAGCAGGTGAGCCTCTCTGTGGAGGCTGTTGTATAGCCGAGGTACTAACCCCAAGAAGACCTTCAATTTGGTACTTGCTCACCTCATTTCACTTGGCAAGGGCACCTTGAACCAAGCCCTGAAGAGGAACTCAATGTCTGTGTAGGTATATACAGAAGAAGGAGGAGGAGGTCTTTAAGGTGGATTTCAGGAAGCAGTGAGTTGCCAAAGAGAAAGGAGTTGGAGAAGGGGTGAAGCAGGCACAAAATACAAATAATAACCTGAGGTTTAGAAAGGAGGAAGGGATTTTGGCAGAATCAAGATGATGAGAAGGCAAACGGGAAAGAGAGTCTAGAGAAGGAAGTGTGAAGATATTTAAAAGAAAAAGAGCAGGAGCACATGCTGCAGTAAACCAACAGAGAGCAACAGAGGGAGTGTAACAAAGAAGAAATGTGGGGAAAATAAGACACAGAAAAGCCCTTGCTCCCCACCAACAGAATCAAGAATAAAAGGGACAATTATTATTGGGTTGTATCCCATGCTAGTTATGCAAAACAGAGAAGTTAAATATACATGATTAACTTAGATTCCATTAACTTCAATGGGTTTAGTTAGATGAAATCCCCATTATTGTTGCTGCTGCTGTTGTTGTTGTTGTTGTTGTTGTTGTTGTTGTTATATATTTAATTAATTTCTTATCCATCGTTCACCATGAGATCACAGGGTGGATTACATCAATTTTAAAAATACAGTTTAAAAATCAGTTGAAAGCAAATAACCCTACTCAAGAGGATAGGAATTAATATCTGTCTCTCTCTAGTATCAAATGCCATGGTAAAGAAGTGTGGCTAAGAAAAAGGTAAAGCAGAAAGAGAAGACAAGAAGGAATGAGAGAATAAAATATTTCCAGTGGAGGGAGATTGAAATGGATGCATTTTAGGAATATATAAAAGTTCCAAATGGCACAACACTGGCATGGGTTTGAGAACTAGGTCTACAATGCCAGTGATTCTGTAAGAAAATAAAGGGATATAGTAACTGGACCACATAACTGCAAGTAGAAACAGTAATAAAGGAAATGTAGTTATCACTCGAGTGCAACCTCTTGAAATGTATTGAAATGTTTTATATCAATCAAACCACTCACTAAACTCAATTGCATGCTGATGCCAACCTAAGCAAATAATTGCGCAGAACAGAGCATGCCAAGCATTGCCCTGAAACAAGGTAGTTCTTTAGCACTGCAGGGATACCACACAGGGATCTCTGGACAGCAGGGCAATGCTGGGGACACTGCTTATTTTGTGCTTTTTTGGGGGGCAGGTATATATGAAAATGGCTCACCTGTCACTCAAGCTGATGTTCAGAACCTTTGAGATGCCATCAGAGTTCAAGAGAAGCCGAGCATTCTGGGAGCTGTTCTGAGTCAGGTTGTATAAAGCATAGCAAGCGGAAGCCGTGGTCTCGTTGGCAATGTCAGAGGTTGGGGCAGCATCTGGAAGCACGGCGACCAAATCTGGCAACACTTCTCTGGCTGGAAGGTGAAACATGATGTGCCCTTAGAATCCTCAAGTTTAAAGCTCTGCAGCTGTCTGCTCAAACGGTATCCAGCAAGTAATATTCAGCATTTTTAATTTGCAAAGCACTTTAGATGGGGTTTTCTTTAAGATGCTTACTGCATAAAAACTTTATGAGGCATGACACTTTTCATTAGGTTTATCCAGAGGTTGGCTTCCATTTACCAGTGATCCACTGTGCATCTAGGGCCCCACTCACTAGGATGAGTAGGAGGGCCCCCTGCAATCATCCGAGGACTTTTTAAATGTGTCCCCTCCACGAGAGGTCTGGAGGGTGGCAACATGAGAGGGGGCCTTTTCTGTGGTGGCTCCCTGCTTGTGGAATGCTCTCCCCAGAGAGGTTCACTGGCACTGCCATTACATATATTTAGGTGCCAGGTGAAGACGTTCCTCTTGACTGATTAAACCATCTATAGACTTTAAAATGTGCCGGGATTATTTGTTCTGGAGTGGGGCACAGCAGAAGTGGTGCCAGTCCAATCTTGATTCCCTAGTGTGAACAGGATTTGAATGCCATTATAGAGCTAATGGAAACAACCATCACAGATGAAACAACACAGACTGAAGTTCCATTATCATCCCAGATAGAAAACATTAAGATGAATGAAGTCCACACACGCAGCTGTGATTGTTTATTAAGGCAATCCTTTATTATTCCTATTATTAATGGAAGGGGATTTTCATCAAGCTCAGCTTTCTTTATATACTTACAATGCATTTAACAGTAATCTGACAGTGAAGTAATTTTGGCCAGTCATTGCACATTTATTTACCTATTTCATTTTGCAGCGAGGTGTTGCGAGACAAGTTCCTGAGCAAGGAGACGGCCGTTTTCTTAACACTTGGACAGCTCACATGCAGCATGTTTCGAATACTTGGGAGGCCGTTGGCCTTCTTGACAATGACTTGGGCTACTCCAAATGGCATCTGTCAGAAAACACACACAGCTTCTTCAGGCATAAGTGAAACCACCAGCACAGCCAGTTGTCAGAGATGATGGGAGTTGTAGTCCAACATCTGGAGGACACTACGTTGTTCAAATGTGTCTACACCATAGACTTAGCAGGTTTACAAACCATTCCCTCTCCCAAGGACAGCTTCTGCTCTATGGTAAGAGACAGGAATTCTCAGCTCCCATATCCAACTATAGTTCCCAGGATCTTTTGGGGTGCAGCCACGCCAGCTAAACTGGTCTAAACCAATTATAATTTCATTGCATGCCACTGAGAGACATTAGAGCTAATTCAGTTCCAGAGCTGTGCTAGACACCTAATAGGACGTCCCAGTTCCATTTCAGCCTTTGCAAGATGCTCCCGCAACAATATTACCGCCTGCCCCCTACACGCAGCAGATAAGGAAAGGGAATAGCCTGGTCAGAAATAGTGCAGCTGGTCTCAGAAGAAACTTCTTTGGTTGATGCAGCAGAACTGATGGCTGCTGCTCAACTAACATTGGAGAGCAGAGTTAAGTGGCAACGGCACAGCAGGAGAATGATGCGAGATCCAGCATGGAGGAGTATATCAGACTAGGACAGAGATAGGGAACCTGTGCTGGACTACAGCTCCATAAGCTTTGACCATCTTGGCTGGGGCTGATGGGAGCATCTGGAGGATCACAGATTCTTTGTGTTGGTTTCTATTTCCCTCACTGAGCAGCAACTGCAGTCACAAGACATTGTTTTGCATTCCACAGTCAGAGTTACTGTTGGATTCCCACGGGAATGGGAGACTGGATGTGATGTACACTGGTTTCCTGTTTTTCACTGTTCTCTCGGTTTCTTTGTTAGAGAGACAGTTGCTTCTCTGCTCTCACAGAGGCAAGATGCATGTTTGTATTCTCTCAGCATAGAGTGGAAATAAAGTTAAGAATGTGGCACATACTGCTTATCCTTCTGCTGTGTGGACTACTCTGCTTGGGCTCAAGATAAGACGAGCCTGTATCAGCTTCAGATGGGCCGAAGCTGGTCAAAATCTCACACTCTGAACAGGGTTATTGTGAGGACAAAAACATATGCCACCTGAAGCTCCTTTGAAAGAGGACGGGGTAGAAATATATATATATATAATGCACAGCACAGGGGACAGTGATGGCCTCAGGTTTGTGTGCATGTCTGTTAGGCAAGGGGCCACCTTCTCTTCTTTCCTGCAATTGCCGCCCTGTTCTGCCTCTGCTTCTAGTAACAATCTTCCACTGCTGCCTAGGGAGAAAATGGCAGACAAATGAGTTGGTGGCAGCTCTTGTTCCTTCTGCTCCCTCTCTTCCATTGTTCTCTGGTCCTATCCCTCTGGAGGCAGAGAGATGGAGTGGGTGAATAGGTAGCCATGGCAAGAGAGGACCACCACCGGCACCAGGGAGCTCCGGCAATCAGCAGTGGAGCTTCCTGTTGAGATGGGGGCCCAACAATTCCAACCCCCGACTCTGGCCCTAAAAGTTTAGAATCAGATCTCCTTTACTGAAAAACGTGAAAAGCATTTCTTCAGATGATATTTACTGGAAGATCAAGGAGGCAAACATAGTTCTCCCCCCGGTCCTAGCCCAGTGCTGTCACCACTACACCTCACTGGCTCTCTGTATTGAGAGCCAATACAGCAGGAAACTGTAAATCCCTCTCATGAGGTCATCAAAAACATATTGAACTACAGGGGAGGGGCTGAAAGGAAAGCAAAATAAAAGGGGAAATCCCCTCTCTTTCTACTTACAGGTCCACTTCCCGCTGTGAGGTTCTGCAAAGCTCCCAGCGATGCTTCCTGGGTAAAGTTCCTTGTGCTTTTTGCTATTAAGGACAGATATATCCTTATCAGGGTGGAATGCCAGAGGGTTTCAACACCTCGGGGGTTGCTCTTTTCCTCAGGGAGCGGCAGGTCCTGCTGCTGCTAAACATGCAGATGCATTAAACCACAAGAAACAAAACAGTTAACCCCCCGCCCCCAGTAAGGCTCACCTTTCTGGATCTAACTAAAAGGAACCCAGGGCTAACAATGGGCTGCAATCCTAAATCAGTAACCCTGAATCAGAGTGAAAGGCTGTCTGAAAATCCTTGCAGGATGAGGCTCAGCAGGAACTAGACGTTAAGCCGAACCATTTTGTCTGTGAGTCCATCACAGCATCAGAAAGGACCACAAGGCTGTCTATTTTAATTTCCTCACTGAAAGGTAGGGCTGTCCTTTCACCAGCCCCCTCGCTCTGTGCAGCTGAATCAATGAAACACATTGTCAGCTGTGGCAGGAGCTGCCATGAACCTCTCCCCCTGATCTGGATGTTGTTACCTTCAGAGCAGATGCTTCTGGAGAAGCCTGGCAGGAGCACTCTTAAAGGGTTTCAGACGAGGATCTTCCACAGCCCTACTCTACCTGGAAATGGGAACTTCTGCATACAAAACGTGTCCTCTGCACACTAGGCTGCTTGAAGCTCCTTCCCCCAAATAACAGCCCTCTATTACCTGCTTCGCTTTCCTGCTCCTTGAACCAAAGCATCCAATGCTGCTGTCGCTAGTAGGAACGTTTCTTCTTTGCATGTAGATATTCTGTGCATAGCTACCAGGGAGTTCGGACTCCAGTTGGTAGGAGAGATTGTGAAGGATGCACACACAGTTCTCCGTGGCCTGGAAGGGAAAACAAACGTGCATTATTCTGGCTGTGTAAATAACTGGATGCAATCGCTAAAGATCTGCAATGCACTTTTGTAACTTAGATGTCTGGCCTTAGAATTTCAGAACATTGCATTGTTGTCTTGATTTTCTCCAGTGGTAGCCCAGGTGAAAAGTGCCCCAAACATTTAATGTCTCAGGTCAGCTTTGGATCTTGAGTAGGGCAGCCTTCCCTCATCTGGTGACTTCCAGATGTTGCTGCACCACAATCCCCATAAGCCCCAGCCGGCATGGTCAATGGTGAGGGATGATGGGAGTTGTAGGCCATCAACATCGGGCACCACCTTGGTTATTTCTGTCCTAGAGACTCAGAAAACCCCTTCATTTGGAAAGCTTACCTTATCATCTGGCTGGTGGTCTGCGGTGGTGCCTTGGATATAATACACCAGCGATTCAATCAACCCTTCACATTCTCTCATCTTTTTCCTCCCTTCAGGGCCAGCAGAGCTCATGTTTCTACAAAAAGGGAAATAAAATTGGTTACAAGGATGCTGTACAATCAGCTTCAGCTCTATGACAGGTTTCTGTTTCTGTAGCAGAGGGTGCTAGTCCCTGTGCAGAAGGGCTCCAACTTCAGTTGCTACTTAAGAATACACTTAAAAGGCAGGAAAGCAAACTCAGCACTGAAAATGCTCCGGTTTATACAGGAGGAAATCAGCTCTTCAAACAGCCAGCAGGGAACGCCAATGCAGTGCTTTGCTTGCACTGATGATGCAATCTGTAAAGATGAGAGCTGTGTTGTTTACCCTAGATGGGCAGCCTGACCCTGTGCAGACTTAGGCATACCTAAGCTCACTGGAGTCAATGAGCTTAGGCACACCTTCCCAAGAATTGGGTTGTTAAAGTTATAACTCATCCAAACGCTGTTGTGTCTTGGGTGGTTATCCTGATCCAAGCTCCTTTAAAATTTCTAACAGGCCAGAAACAGCAAGAATTTTCCTACCATAATACATAGGATCTACAGGCATGTTTTCAGCAATTTGGTCCATATTTTTGCTTTCCATTATTATGCAAAAGATCTTCACTAGTCAATGTGCAAGTACCATTGGAAGTTGCATAGCACGATGGATGCAACATACAGCAGACAATACAGCAGCCTTCTATTTAAGCACAAAGAAAATACACACAATTTAGGATCCATCTCGATGAAGGAGTCAGTTCTTAGGTTGATTCTAGTTATAATTAAATCCCCCAAAGCTTCCACCATAGGGCAAGGTCACCACATATGCCACAGTGTGCCTTGGAAGCCACACCCCCTCTAGGAAAGCTGTTTATGCCTCCTTGTGACTCTAAAGTACCTAACTAGTGTATAATTGGTGACTTGAACTTATTTCCTGTGTTTTATTAAAGCAAGCATGTATCTAACAGGTATCATGTTATCTGCAAAATGTCCTCTTGAGAATTCAATCCATGTTTATAGGGGAGCAATCCCTTTTGAAAATAGCAAAGTGTATTCATCAGTAAATATACATAGGATTGGGCTGAAAATATGAAACTAACAAACTTTTTTCTTCAGCCTCCTGTTGATTGGCTTACCTCTTTACAAATAAAGGTTAAAAAATGTGTGTGTGTGGGAAATCAGAATCTCACATCAGTGAATCCATGAATAAAAAAAGGCAAAATACATCACTAAAGCAAGTTAAAACAGTAGTTTTTAACAAATGGCAAAGTGTGGTGTAATTACAGTTAACAAGAGGGAAAGCCTTGATAAAGGATCAGAGTAGTGTCTTCTGATCTCCTGCCCCAGCAAAAACTGCATTCTGAACCAACTGAAGTTCCTGAGCTCTCCCTCTCAGTCAGCCCTTGCCTAGTTACAGTGGTACTTCAGAAGCTGAACTGAATTCGTTCTGGAAGTTGGTTCAACTTCCAAAACATTCGGAAACCAAAGTGTGGCTTCTGACTGGCTCCTGCAATTGGGTTCCAAAGAACGTTCGCAAACCGGAACACTCACTTCTGGGTTTGCGGTGTTTGGGAGCCAAAATGTTCAACTCGCAAGGCGTTCAGGATCCAAGGTACAACTGTACTTCCTAACACTGCCTGAGGACTTTTTGTCTCCTCTCTATAAACTTCCAGATCATTATTAGCCCAAAAGCAGCCACCACTGTGCTCTGTTTTACACAGAGATGCCTGCTGGAAAGAACATGTTCTTTCTTTTGCCAGTTTGCAAGCTCTGTTGACAGTAGCATGTTTGCCGTGGCCTTGCTCATGCACACACAGAGAGTTTTGTAGGTATGCCAGAGCTAAATAAAACAAAAACGATAGGGATGGAGTTTTCAGCACTGATGCTTGAAGAGCAGTGCAGTGGGCGGATTTCAAAACAAAGTGAGTAGCTGCAGTTACAGAAGAGAGATATTGACAGTGGCCCTGCTGCTCTGCAACACGTGCATTTCTCTCTCTGGGGGCATGGCTCTGGAAATACAATGGTTCTGCTGATTTTCTGGGTGGTTCAGCTTGAATGGGAAATGCTGAGCCACGAACAGCACATATTGGCTAACATCTGTGACGTCACAAACACGCTACCCTCCTCTAATCCCTGGAACAGTGTTATGCCACCTTTTTTTTTAACAAGGCAGATGGTACCACCTGGTGATGTGGGGATATGTGAGACATAGGGCTGAAAAGGAGGAGTTTGACTTACTGGTATGTATATCTATCACACATGTTTCAAAACTGGACTTGTGCTATGGTGAACAAGCCGCTACGTGCTTTTTTAGTAGCTTACATTTGTTACCCAACTCAGCAGCTGGAAGATGGCATACAACTCCCAGCCTCTCCTGGTACTTTTGTTTTTGCTTTTTTGGCCACAGAACAAAGATGTTGAGATCTGAGCATGAGGGAAAGAGCAGGACTTGCTTTGTGTAAATCGGCTTGTTTAACAGCTGAGGCATAACATTTTAAGGAGGTAAGCCTTAATAAAAAAATTTAAACCCCTCCAATTTGAATGAATATTTCATGCCAAAGAGAAGATCAGATTCTTCAGTGTTTATAGTGTAACAGAAAGCCTTGTGTTGGACACAATGCCAGTTATGCAGTAATTAACACAAACACTACAACAAAGGCAAAATGTCAAACGTCTATCTAGTCCTTTGAATGTCTAAGGAAATAAGTTTACTTTGCTTCCCAAATTTATTCCACAGCTGGAAAGTGAAGCAAGCTCAACAATAAAAAACTGCACTCAGACCATGTGGTGGGCCGGACTATATTTTGAAAAAAAATAATGAACGAATTCCTATGCCCAACAAATAACCCAGAGATGCATTTTAAATAAAAGGACACATTCTACTCATGTAAAAACACGCTGATTCCCAGATCGTCCGTGGGCCGGATTGAGAAGGCGATTGGGCTGCAGGTTGCCTACCCCTGGGATAAACATATTGATGTACCTTGAGAGGAGCAGTATATAATTAAGAAACTGGTATTTGTTGTGCCATTCACAAACTTCGCTCCAATATCAGTTGTAGAAATGAGGAAATGATAACTGTGTACACAGAGAGGCGTGTTCCTGCAAATCAGGTACTGGGCCTCTATAACAGCAGCTGTGTTGATAGCTGAGGGAGAAACACACACACACACACACACACACACACACACACACACAGGCATTGTGTCCTGGGTAGGCAAGGCGAGTGAAATCAAAAGGGACATGCTTGTTGCCTAACCATCTAACAAAATTGGTTTTACTATTTAATGAGCTTGTTGAAGACTTACACAAATTCTGCCTACAATAAACTGCGTGTATGGCTGCATTCACATGGCAATTTGTTCTGTTTCCCTAACTGTTACTTTCCGTATTATATTTGAGTCTTCACACGATGTAAAACCTACTTCTGGAAATATGGTGGAAGTCTTGCACTCATTTCTGTGTTAACTGTTCTCCAGAAATTTGCTTGCAACTCCATTAACCAAGAAAGTTGTGGGTGTGAATTGATGGGATTAGGGGTGGTATACAGGCAACCTGTTCTTTCCTGCCATTTTAATGGGCAAATCATGGAGGAACAGGAGCATGCATGCGCAGAAAGGGTGGGGGAGCAGTGACATTGCCCAATGACTTCTGCTGTTGTGCTACACCAGGCCCACTAGTGTGGGAGCCTGCACTTCTAAATTTGCCACTACACTAATATCTGCAATTCCCCAGTATGTGACATGGCACAGTGTCACTCTCACCCAGACATTTCATAGGTCTGAATTTCACCATATAGATCCACCACCATAGGTCAAAGCATTGGCAAAACTGTGTAAAAGAAGAACTTCAAAATCTTCTGTCATCTTATCTTAACAGCAAGAGCATCCTACCCTCATTGAAAATTACTACAATTTTGTTTTTGCTGGAAAGGCAGGTCAAATAATTTAGCCCAGCTGTTATCTCTGCAAGTCTAAAACCTTTATTAAGAGCAGCTCAGGTGTGTTATGCATAATGTACCATTACATCAACAAGATAGTCTTCTTTATGCAATATAGGCTGCAGGCTATAGGTTTTAAAAAACACCTGAGCAGCAAGTGTATCAGCTATTACAAAAGGAAGAACTAATTAGGGATTTGTAATCTGGCAGATGTACAAGTAGTTAGGTAAATTGTTTGTTAGCAGGTTTCCCTGTGTGCTCTGTCACCAGCTTTTGCAGATCTCTTTTAAGATACACACCACAACATATATAACTTCACAAAGTAGAAAGGCTCTGGGAATGTTAATTTGGCATTAAAAAAGGATATTTTTAGTGCTCCAGAAGCCTGCAGCTCCGCATATGCTTAGTGCATAAGCAAGGAAATAGAGAACATTTTCAGGGAAAACACAATTGCCCTCCCTACAAGGCAATGCAGCAAACCCGTGCCTGGCAGCAGGCAAACTGTAGCTTAGATAGCATCCCTTTAAGCAAGGAATGGGGAACCTTTATGTTGCTCAGCTATACCTCCCATCAACCCCAACACAGCCAATTGTCAAAGCTGATGGGAGCTGTAGTCCATATGGAGGGCCAAGCACCCTCCATATTCCTGCCTTATGTTTTCATCTCTGCAATAGCAAAACATCAGGAGAAGCCAGGAAGGGATTTCCCCGTTGTAGGACATGCTGCCCTGGGAAGATCTTTTGAACCTGAGCTGAGCTATATCCAGGCAGCAGTGCTTTCGAGGGTCCTGGGATAAGGGAAATGGTAGTTAGTTGCCTGCTTTGTGAAGTTTAAGAAGCAGGTGTAGGAAAGATCTTTTTAAAACAGGCAGGGTTCAGAACTGTCAAGGTTACAGCTTAATTCCGTACAACACAGTAATTAGAATGCAAGCTTTTATGACACTGAAATTCACCCATTGTGAAATAAAGCATATATCTGTTTTATTACAGTTTACTAAAGTGAAGAGCCTATGCTCTCTCTCCCCGCCCCCCCCCGGTTAATTATTCTTTGCAGAATTACATCAGTGGCCTTGTAGCACTCCCACAGCCAGGCAAATGTAACTGAATCCGTTCAGCTACGACTGTGTGCAATAGAAAACATGGTCTGCTTCCTTGTGCAACCAAGGATCAAGGACCTGAGAAGCAACAACAACCTTTTCCATGGAAATCCTACCCTCTGATGACTGGACATCCTGATGGCTGGCCTCTATACCCACCCACAATTTTTGCTAGATTATCCAAAGTGCTCCCAAAGCCTTTGCTGGCAGGAAATGCAGACCCTTGCCTTTTCCTTGAGGAAAAATAGAAACGTGAAGTCAATGTTCTGTGCCCACATGTTGAACCTTTGACAGCACAAACCATGCTAAGCCCAGCCTAATGTTAAGAGTAGTGGGTTCCATAGTGATCAAATTGCAAGGAAGTGCTGACAGGGAAATCAAAGGCAGGAGGGAGGAAATTTAGGCCCAGGAGTGTGACACTCCAGCTCCCATCAGCCCCAGAAAGCAGAGTTAGTGGGCCAGGGATGATGAGTGTTGTGGTCCAATATGTAGAGGGACACATGTGTCACACTTCCAAGTTTTAACAATTTTTTTTTAAAAAAATACAAATCTGAAAATATAAGGTAGGAAACAGCAGGATCCACTCCCTTGCAGGGATATCCGGCCATTTTACACACTTTTAAAAACCTTATTTATTCTAAAAACGTTTTAAATGAGCAAAACGTCTTTCCAGAATCTCCTGTGATGTCCCCCCTTTTCTTTGCAACCCAACAGATTATCCTCCTTCTGTCAGAGCTTTCTGTTATTCCTCTGCAAAGAATTTGAGTTACTTTAGCGCAACACAGTGTGTACGAAGCCTTGACTATTATTATTAAATAATATTAAAAGTCATCAGGTTTTAGATACTTTGGGAGAATGAATGAGACCAAATACTGCCTACATGTTTTCTTCTTGTTTGTTACTTCTTAGTAAAATTGGGTTACTTTTTGGGCTTTCTGCTGTGCTGCTTTCGTTTGATGAGTGTTTGGCTGAAACTGTTGCAGAGCAGCTCTTGATGGCTGCAGACAACGATGCTTCCTGCTAGCGAACATGTTTGCCTGCATCATCTCCATTTGTGGTGACCTTGGTTGCCTGGGCATAAGATCCCTTAAACAACCACCAAGGGGTGTCCAATAGCCTTCAGGGACCTGGCCCAGGAGGAAAAACCAGGCTGCTATCAAATCCTCTATGAATTCTAGAGTGCTTTGTGGGAAAACCTCCAGATTGTCTAAGATGGCATAAAAATAGGAACAGTTTCACCAAATAAACGAAGAATTAAATTACTATGGTTTGAATAAAAACACAAGACATCATAGGAAGCTGCCCAAACCACGTTGGACAACATTGGTCCCTCTAGTATTGTCTACATTGACTAGCAGTGGCTCTTGAGTTCAGGACATCTTGAGTCTTGCCTGGAGACTGTGAACCTGGGACTTTCTGCCCCCTGAATGACAGGCCCTTTCCCTGCACCCAGCTTACCTCAGGCATCCTGTAGCGTTGTAGAAGATATCTGGGTCAGGTACAATGCTTGATTTCGTATAATCTCTATCTGGCCAGCCCGAGTAAGGGATGAGAACAGTCTCCGTCAATGGCTGCAGGGCTTCTCGGATCAGCAAGATCTTCAGCTGGTCATTGGAGGAGAGATTCCATAGCAAACCTGCAAAAAGCATAGGGAACAAGAAAACAACATTGGCTCTCCATTCACAGGACTTCATCTGGTAGTGACAGGCATTTCCCTGGCTCTTTGATAAAACTAAGTCAAGCTCCAATTGCATGAAGAGCTTCTTTGGCAATCTGGTCATGGATCTACCAGGTTGTCAAAACTTTCCGAAAGCAACCTGTTACTTTCATTGTGTTGGGTGTCAAGGAGAAAAGGAAACCTGGGTCTGATCTGGAGATCTGCACATATTTAAAAATGTGAATGCAAGAGATTTAACAGCTGTGCTTTCTGGTTTTTTTGTTTTTTTGTTTTTTTTGGAAATAGATTTTGCAAGTTTCATCTGGCAATATATCACACGCACAGTGGCTCCCCTCTACAAAGAGAACTATTGTTTGTTCAGTTAACTGCTGTAGATTTCAAAACACATCTCCTAAAGTCTTAGCTCAAGGCAGATGGCATTTCAATCTCAGCACCAAACTTCTCCTCTGACCCTTGGCTCAAGGATAATCGCCCTTTTGTAATATGCAGATACAGTAATTGCATTGTCATCTCAGTGGGGGAGGTGGAATAGCAGTATGCACAACTTTGGCATTATTGCCACACCTGTGCATGTTATGACAACAGAAGCTAAGAAACAAGGTAAATAAACCCCACTGAAGGTAGTGTAATGGCCAACGTGTTGGGGTGGACAGAATTTGGGGGCTGGACATGATTAATCGTACATCTCAGTGGTTGACTGAGCAACTCACTATTTGTTAGACTAAAATATGACTGATATAAACTGGAAGCCCTCCCATTCCCTTATCTGCCATGTCCAGCAGTTATTTCACAGGAAACCTATCAGAAAATAAATATGGGAAGCTTGAATGAGCTAAGCACAGTAAAATAATTTGCATACTTGAGAAGTATTATAGAGTAGGAGCCAAGAAAGGTAAAGAAAGAGTTGGGAACATGTGGCACTCCAGATGTTGGACTACAACTCTCATCATCCCTGACCACTGGACATGGTAGCTGGGATGTTGGGAGTCCAACAACATTTGGAAGGTTCAAAGGTTTCCCACCCCTGACTTAAAAGCAAAAGCCAGGAACTAGTGCAGTTCAATGGTTAAGTGAGTGAGCTGTGAATCAGAAAGACCTCGGTTAAATCTCACTTTCGCAACTAGAGTTCCTCAATAGTTTTGCCAACTTATCAGTGTGCCCCTGCAAACTCTGGCATGATATGTAGGAAGCAACAGCTGAAGCTCTTCAAAGTGTAGAGGTACTAAGTGACTTCACAGGCTAATTCTTGCACATCGCGGCTGCTGTCTAAAGCCCAGACGTAGGGAGAGATTAAAAAGTTGGCAGCTCTATTCAGATAGCAGGGGTGGGGGATCTGTGGCTTTCGATATGTTGTTGGACTATAACGCCCATCATTCCTGACCATGGTGGCTGGGTCTGATGGGAGCTGGAGTCCAACAACGGATTCCCCATCCCTGTCCTAAACCACTGTTAAGTGCTAAGTTGTTGTGTAATGTTAGCCGCATTGCCTGACGTGGAGAACAGTGGGATGGATCAAAATTGCAAAAAGAAGTCGGAAAGATGAAGTCGATGAACTAGCTTAATTAACTGTACTCTGATGGGCACGTGTGTTAAAGGAAATCTTGCAGGGAGAGGTGCTTGCAGAACCAGGCCGTTGGGACGTAGCTGCACCGCATGCATGTGACTTCCATAGCCCTTGGGACTTTCCATGGTAAGAGACTTAGAACAAGATGGGTGTGGCTGCCTTTCCTATGCATGTTTTATTTCACGACAGGTCTGTCTGTCTGTGCTATAATCCTCCTTGCAGAAGGAATGTTCTTCCATTTCTCAGATGTATGCAGTATGAGACAAGATCAAGAGGTTAGACACTCCCTGAAGGCTTGGCTGGCTCCCTTTCAAAAGCTTGTTTTGGCTGCCTCGGCTTTGCCTCTCTCCGTCGCTACCGAGATTACCCCATAATAAAGAAAGCTTTGGTTCCTATCAGCCCTGGCACTCGCTCGCTCGTAGCTCCTCTTCCAAGTGCCTTTCAACCCCTGCAAAGCATTTGCTGCTGATGGAATGGGAAATGAAGCCAGTTTCTTGGAGCTACAGCTTCATGACTTTCTGTATGACCTTGAGAAAGGCGCTTTAGTAGTCCTGGCTGCTAAGCGATGGAAGAGAAAGCAATTTCCACGTACTATATACATTTGAGAATTTCCCTTGGACTCATGAAGCCACAGTTGTGTACATGACACAGTGTTTAAGAAAACAAAAACAAAATTCTATTGCTTAGAATGTGCACCAGGATCTGAATACTAAAACCATGCAGATTTGCATAAGTTAAACCATGCAGATGTGCATAATTTCCTCATTTTGTATAATTTATTCTGCTTTTTCTTGTGTGACAGGGAAAGGGATTACAGAGGACAATGGACACCCTTCTCATTTACCACAGCACATCCATCTCTGCCAGCCCTACTCCTTGGCTACTGATCAGAGTGATAAAGTACAGTGGTACCTCTAGATGCGAACGGGATCCATTCCGGAGCCCCGTTTGCATCTAGAAGCAAACGTAACCAGCGATGGCACATCTGCGCATGCACGTGTCACTTTTTGCCACTTCTGCGCATGTGCGTGACATCATTTTGAGCGTCTGCGCATGCGATGAAACCCGGAAGTAACACGCTCCATTACTTCCGGGTTGCCACGGAGCGCAACTCGAATGCGCTCATCCCAAAGCACATTCAACCCGAGGTATGACTGTACACATTATTATTAACAACTACTAAATGTATTACCTGCCTTCACCAGCAGGGTGAAATACTCCCTAGCATGTTCAGGATTGCAGCCTTAAAGGCCTTTGAATTGTGGCAATGCTGTTACCTCCTTGCATAGCTCAGTTTCTAGAGCTGAGTTTAGGGCTGTGAGTTCAAGCCCCACACTGGGCAAAAGATTCCTGCATTGCAGGGGGCTGGACTAGATGACCCTCGTGGTCCCTTCCAGTGCTACAGTTTCATGAGCCACTGTTTACACGTGTTTTCATGTTCAATGGTTGAGCAAATAGAAGGGAACCTCTTCCCTCCCTGGCAGCAGACGGATGTTGGAAAGACAAAGCCAATGCATGCAAGAGGATTTCACCTTAGTTTACTTTTGCTTAGTGGGGCAAAACAAGAGTTGGACTGAGTAAACAACTCTTGATAAGACTGGAGGTTAGATGGCTTTCAAGGGGGATTAGGCAAATTCATGGAAGGTAAGGTTTACACATCCCGCAGCGCCAAAACCATGGCTTAGTATGAACGTGCTTATTCCCAAAGAGGATATCACACCTAGTGTTTGATGTTGCATTGTGCTTTTACTGTTTTTTGTTGGGAGATGCCTAGAGTGGCTGGGGCAACCCAGTCTGATGGGTGGCATCATCATCATCATCATCATCATCATCCCTAGGCTTTTTAGGTCAGGGCAGCACTGCAGCTAAGTCAAGGTTCGGCATAGGGTTTTGTGCAGTTGTGGTTTAAGTTTCTTCTCCTTAACCACAATCTGGTAGCTAAGGTTCATCTTATGGTTACAGGTCACAGTTAAGGAGATGTATCTCAGGTTCAGATTACAGTACATGCCAAGACAAACGCTTTGCTTAGTTGCCCTCTGGCTTTGACCTGAAAAGCCCAGGGAGGAGTGAAACATGTGCAAGTTCCTCTCTGGCAGCCAGCATCTTCCTGCGGCCATGGACAGCCACTCTGGCTTGCTGTGACATGTAAAACAGGCCACGGGCCATTAGGCATGCTGGCTATATGGAGTGGCAAGCTGCCAGGCATTGGAAACAGGCGCAACAGAGTGATGTTGCCTTTAAGCCCTTCCTTGTAGGCTTCCCGGTAGTATCTGGTTGGCCACTGTAGGAAACTAGATCCTTGACTAAGCAGGTCTTCTGGCTGTTCCAGCAGGACTTTTCTAATATTTTATCCTCGTGGCTTTTAACAATAGGACTTTTGTTATCTCTGACAGGTGGAGCTCACAGCTCCGGGAAGGAAAGAGCAATACAACCTTGAGATTAAAGCAAACCTTGCACCTGGAAAGATCTAAGACGCCTCGCTACTTAAAAATGAAGTCTAGCTACGAAAAGCAGACCTTATCCCTCCCACCATCATATAGGGAATTTCTGCTGACATCTGCAAGACATCCTGCAGGTTTTTCATGCTGGCTTCTCAAAAAAAAACCCTCGGAAAAAGCACCAAGAAAGAGGCACCCATCCTCCCACCAGAGATTTCGACAACTCCTAGCTCTCACGTGCTGCCCGACTCCACAAACATTCCTGAGCAGTGACATGCTAGCTACAAAATCAGCAGAGGTGTTACCAGAGGTTAACATTATCAACTTCTCTGAAGACTCTTCACCCCCACCCCTTCCGCAGCCCCAACAGCCTAATTTGTGGTGATTAATCTGGAGAGGGGCTGTCAGCATTTCAGAGAGTGGGAAATTCTGGCTTGCTGTTCCTTTCCCAAGCCTTTCCACTCTCTGTTATCATGTGCAATGCCGTTACATTATTACACAGGCCTCTATTTAATCATCTGCAATTGATGGGTTAAGAACATCAGGGCTTTGCTCATGCAGTAATTCCTGAATCAGCTTAAGAACAAGAAATTCACAGCTTCCTGGAACACTGGAAGTTATTTCACAAGTTGGGATAAATGAAGGCAAAGTTGTCCCCTTTCCAACATTTTGTCCCAATCTCAGGAACAATCCGTTAGAAAATGTAACATGCACAATATTGTAATCCCATAGTATTTTTCACCTAATTGCCTCTCTTTAAATATAATCAGCAGAATTGGGTGGTGGAGCTACATTTCGCCCTGACATGCTGGCTTTCTAAGTTAAGGGAGTCCCCACTCCTGAAGAACACACAAAATGTGCACCCCCACCTGCAGACTGAAGTGGCCAGCTTTGGTTTACTGTGATGGAGTGAACATTCAGGCTCCTGGAGAGGAGTATCATGCACATATCCTCCCTTATGTTGTTTTAGTCTTGCCATGCACTGAGCAAACCCAAGATTATACGCAGTGTGTCATGCAAAGCCAGACTCTTGGTTAACCTTTCTCTTCACCAACCATGAGATGCAGCAAATCCTAACCCCTTTTGGAAGCTTGTGCAGTCCTGGGGAACCACAGTCTGGCTTACCGTGATGTGCAGCTGATGTGCTTACAGGTTGGGGATGATGCTCCCACATGCATATAAAAATACTAGGAATCCCCTCCCCCAAACTAAGCATAGCACCACATTTAGACCTTGGGTGTCTGTAACAATCAAGAGCATTTGTTAACAAAAGGTCTGTGCACTTTGAAGGCGGCACTCCAATGCATCAGTGCTGTTTTAATTACCTGTAATTTGCTTCTTAGTCTCCACATCTCTGGTTTGCCGTAACAATCTCAGCAGGGTCGTGATCCCTTTCTGCTCTGACACTTCCAGCTTATTGTCATTGTCTTCAAAGACTAGGTTTCTCAAAGCGCCGCATGCGGCCCTCTGCACATCCTCATTCGGCACACTCAGAAGATCTAGTAGCTTGGGAATCCCACCTAGCAAGTAAACCTGTTGAGGAGAAAGAGGAAGGTGTGTAAGCAAAGAAAAACATTAAGAAAAGATAGCAGCTGCAGAGCATGCTAAGGAGTCTAATGTTTGGAAGTCAATAGGTGGGGCTGGACTTAAGCCAGGATAATTGCTTTTTGACATGATAAAACAAAGCCAATCTCCCCAAACAGGGAGTGTGTGCAGTTGAGCTTAGAATACACTGGGGACAGAAATAAGGAAGAACTTATGACCTTCCAGTTCTTAATACACTCATGAGATACAGTCGCTACCTGATGCACATGGACTAGCTATTAAAAATACCATCCAAAGTTCCAACAATGAACATAATACTTTCTTCTTTAGTATTTTCAGTATCTTTATTCGGTAGCAATGATGCAAATATTGTGCTGTAAATCTGCACCTTCAAACTACTGGTAAAAAAAGTATCTCCTGTACTGTTTTAGATCTGCCTTTCTGCATGTGGTATGATCTAATTCAGATGACCATTGAACATACTGGGTCCTTAGTGGTTTATTTGAGGGGTGGTAGTCTTCCTTATGCACCCCACTTTTTTGTACTTCTGCAAACGCTTAGGTTTCCCAAAGTATGATTCTTGTGCATGGGTGTTTCTGTTTTGGCCGCATAACCAATAGCTCTCACAGCTTGAACATCAGATATAGAGGGAATGATTGTTATTGCCCATCTGTATCTTTCTCCCTCCCGCCACATTCTCCCTCTACTGCCTCTTGTGTATCTGGCTCATCTTTGTGCTTCCTGGCATATCTCTTTATGCTTTTGTGCATGGGTGGTATTGGGCGCAGCAGATGAATGGGAGTAGAGGTCAGTTAGGGAGCAGAGTTCCTTTGCTCCACTGTTCAACATAATAAAGATGTTTCTTAGATAATTTAATCTTATAGGTCACAAGCTGCCCCTCGGAAAGGGGTGTGCATTTTGATCTGGGCACATGGCATCTGCATGCATCTTTAAAAGCACATGTGCGTGTGCACATCCAACCCTGTTTTACAAAAACAACTAGGGGTGGGAAGGTTTGCTTTCTTTATCAGGGTGATTTATAGTGTTTTGTACTTTTTCCAGTGAAACTCTATGTGATGAAAAAGGGAGGAGAAAATGATCTGGAGGCAGAAGTCGACACTTGGTCAAGCAACATAGAAAAATTGAATTTTTATACGTGTAAATGGCTTAAAAGCTTATCTGGACATTAAGTGATATATAAACAAATAATCAACCCAAGGTAACTTTAAATAGGATTGGATAAAGGCATTTAGTGGGTGGGAATGTGGGACAGGACATTTTCTGTGGCAGCCCCCTGTTATGGAACTGCCTCTCCAGGGAGGCCAGACTGGCTCCATCCCTGATGGAGTGGGGAAAATAAAAACATTCTGCTTGGCTTTTGATGCTTTTAAATCTGGGATGGAAGGTTTTAAACTCTTGCTCTGGGGCTTTTCATGCTCAGTGTTAATTGCTATGGTTTAAACAGGTTTTGTGGCATTTTTCTTTTCTTGTCAGCCACCCTGGGGGGCCCCTGTTAGGGCTGAAAAGCAGCATGAAAATGCTTTTGCAAATAAAGTCATACAGAATAGAGGTGAATAGTGCAGGTCTTTTAATTTCATTAGGTCCACTCTGTGTCAAGCTTCTAACAACCCCATGCTTATTAGCTATGAGGCTATTGAATACTTTGGCTAAAATGACACCTCTGAGTTTAGCAGGAACATGCATGTCACTGGAAGTGAGATGAGAAGCAAAGAGGAAAAGGGCATGACCTTCACAATTTACTTATCACTTTCCAGTGGTATCTGGCTGGCCAAAGACTGCTGTCTATGGCCCTGGGGTGTGTGATGTTATCTTTATGAAGGCCTTTGATGTTTTTAGGTAGGAGCAGGCTTGGCAGCAGCTTCTTCTCATACCAGCCAGTCTGAATACAGACTGGGTACAGAATCATTCCATCCTATCTCCTACGGATTACACCAAATTTTCCCAACCTGGTGCCCTCCAAACGTTGGGCTACAACTCCCATCATCCACAACCATTGGTCATGCTGGCTAGGAATGGTGGGAGATGCAGTTCAACAACATTTAAAGTGGGGTGGGAAAGCCCTTTTCAGTCTGAGGGTCAAATTCTGGGCAGCCTTATGCCTAGAAGTTGGCGGTGAGAAGGCCCAGGGGCAAAAGTGGACAGAGCCATGGGTGCCCTTTTTGACCTTTGTATAATAGGTCTGCTGAAGGCATGTGAAATTTAAATGTATCAGCAGAAGCTGGAACTGAGCACTGAATCCCTCCCTACTGGAGGAGCCCATTGAGACTCCGAGTTTGGAAAACGAGGAAAGCTCAGTTTATTGAAGGAAATACGTGCTTGAAGCAGGATCTTTTCTAAGGTGGAGATTCAAGGACCTATGCTTGCATGTTCTCAGCAGGAGACATACAAATATGAAGTAGGAAATGAGGTCAGTAACCTTGAAATGTTTTGAGGTTTCTCTCTGTCTATTCACTTTCTCCCCAGGCAGACCCATCAGTCTTCAAGACAAGCTGAGCTGCATTCCAACTCTAGTTTTTACACAAACTTGCACACCCCTTCATCCAGGCAAACCAGAAGCAAGATCAGAGTTCAAGGACATATCGGGGCAAAAAAAGTCAAGGAAGCTGCGAAGCAGGGACAGTGAGGGGTTGTGGCTTGGGAAGACAGAGGTGTGGCAGAGGAGGAGCTATAGTCTAGAGAGAGTCCAGAGGGCCAGATGCGGAGAGGCATTTGGCCCCTGATCAGACATTTCCCCACTCCTGGATCAGATAAATGGGTGAAACCCAGAGAGAGCCAAACAGCTGAATTTCTCTTCAAATAAACATCTGCATGGATACATTTCCCTGCAGTGCTGGCATAGTGACATCAATATAATGTAACATTGATAGTATGCTGGTACATTGGGGGGTATACCCCGATCTATAGGCGAGATTGGTGAAATTGTTAGGGCTCTAACTCCAGAGAAATTTGTCAAATGACATATTCAGTTTTGCAAGCAGCTTCTTCAGAATCGAATGGTTTACAGTGAAGTAACTTGTTTATTCTTTTAGTCCAAAGTTATATAATGCAATGGTTTCTCTGGTGAACAAACCTCTCTTTGTGGAGACAGAAATGCACGTACAAAAACATGGAAATGTTACATAATCCTTAGCAGCGATGAGGAGCTTTGTGGTAGAATGAAGAATTTAGCTGGCAGGTGCTGAGAACTCGCAGAAGTGAAACTCAACAAAAGCTCCTGTTACCCTCATGCTTTGGCATGGAACCATGAACACCACCTCTTGCTTTCAGTCAGTTCCACACACTTTCCTACAAATGCTTTTCTTACCCATTTCCAAGCCTTTAAAAATACCCTTATTTTTGGTGGAATGAGTTGCAGACAAGACTGTTTGCTTCTAGACTATTACAGTCTTTTGTGGGAGGGATTCCTTCACAGACCAGAACTAGAGGGTCTGTTGCACCAGAGTGTTTAAACTGACTAAACCGTGTAAACCTCCTCATACCAAAACTGGAGGTTTGCACAGTTAGTCAATTTAAACACTCCGGTGCAAGAAATCTATTTAGAAATACAAACACAGACTTTCTGTGGTTAGGAAGTGATGGGGAATTGCATTTGAAAGGGTTCAATTATGCGACTGACTTCAATTATGAAGATAAATTCAGTAAAACAGAACAGGAGTAGCCGCATGGTGCTCTCCATGTGTTCATGAACTCCTAACATTCTCCAGTCCCAGCCAGCATGGCCAAACAGGAGCTGCAGTCAGTAACTGGCTACACTTGAAACAAGAAACCAATGCCTATTTTATTCTATCATGGTTCCATGTGAAATGCTGAAGTGTCTATAGCATTGTTCTTTAATTGGTGCAATATGATTGATTCACAAAGTTTAGATGGACCACATCAATAGCTGACTTGCCACCTCTAGTCATGAAAGTCAAAGGCAATTACGGCTGTTAAAAATAGTTTTGCCAGCAATAGATATAGCTGCAGAAGACTTATGTGAACTTCAGTGCATGAGGAAAAAAATATGCTGGGTAAACTAGACTTTTGCTGAGAAGTAGGCAAGAGTAAATGGTCTGCACAGAGCTATCTTTTCCCTCCCAGATTAGGACAAAGGGTTCCCAGGAAAAGCACTGATAAAGTGACAATACTTTGTCTTGGAGAGCTCACCCTGGGAATGCTTGACAACTTGCTATAAATCAGCGGCTCTTTGTAGAATCTTAGAGTTGGAAGGGACCCTGAGGGTCATCTAGTCCAACCCCCTGCAGTGCCTAACCCTAAAACATCCATGACAGATGGCCATCCAACCTCTGCAGTGCCTAACCCTAAAGCATCCATGACAGATGGCCATCCAACCTCTGTTTTAAAACCTCCAAGGAAGGAGAGTCCACCACATCTCGTGGGAGTCTGTTCCACTGCTGAACAGCTCCTGCTGTCAGAAAGTTTTTCCGCATGTTTAGTCAGAATCTTCATTCTTGCAACTTGAAGTCATTGGTTTGAGTCCTACCCTCCAGACCAGGAGAAAACAAGCTTGTTCCATCTTCTGTATTTGAAGATGGCTCTTCTATCTCCTCCCAGTCTCCTTTTCTCCAGGATAAACATACCCAGCTCCTTCAAGGACTCCTCATAATGCTTGGTTTCCAGATCCTTGATCACCTTGCTTGCCCTCTTCTCTACATGTTCCAGCTTGTCAACATCCTTCTTAAATTGTGGTGCCCAGAATTGGACACAGTATTCCAAGTGTGGTCTGACCAAGGCAGAATAGAGTGGGACTATTACTTCCCTTGATCCAGACACTATACTTCTGTTGATGCTGTCTAGAATAGTATTAGTTTTTTTTGCTGCTGCATCACACTGCAGACTCATGTTAAGCTTGTGGTCCATTGAGACCCCTAGATCCTTTTCACAAGTACTGCTAGTAAGCCAGGTGCTCCCCATCCCACATTTGTGCATCTGGTTCTTTCTGCCTAAATGCAGAACCTTATGTTTGTCCCAATTGAAAATAATTTTGTTGGCTTGTGCCCAGTTCTCCAATCTGTTAAGGTCATTTTGAATTCTGATTCTGTCTTTTGTGGCATTAGCTACCCCTCCCAGTTTGGTGTCATCTGCAAATTTGATGAGCATCCCCTCAATTCCTTCATCCAAGTCATTTATAAAGGCGCTGAACAACAATGGACCCAGGACAGAACCTTGCAACATCCCACTTGTTACTTTTTTCCAGGACGATGAGGAACCATTAATGAGTACTCTTTGGGTTTGGTCAGTCAACCAGCTACCAATCCACCTAACAGTTACCTCGTTCAACCCACATTTTACCAGCTTCCTCATGAGAATATCATGGGGGACTTCACCAAAAGCCTTACTGAAATCAAGATACACAACGTCCACAACATTTCCCTAATCCACCAAGTTTGTAATTCCATTAAAAAAAAGAAATCAGATTGGTCTGGCGTGACTTATTTTTGAGAAACCCATGCTGGGTCTTAGTAATCACAGTATTCTTTTCTAAATGCTCACAGACTGACTGTTGAATTATCTCTTCTAGGAGCTTCCCTGGTATCGATGTCAAGTTCACTGGTTCGTAGTTACCTGGGTCTTCCTTTCCTCCCTTTTTGAAGATGGGGGCAACATTTGCTTGCCTCCAGTCTGTAGGGACCTCACCTGTTCTCCAAGAATTCTCAATGATAATTTTTATCCATATACTCTCAATCTGCTTTTCATGCTCCAGTTCATGGATTTCTTCACAAGTGTACACATCTTTTATATACGATGCTACTCCTCCTCCCTTCCTGTTTGGTCTATTCCTCTTGCTCTGTTATGGACCACAGAGATTAGATACTGTTGTCTGAATAGTTTTTGAGCCGTTATGTAAACAGCTTCACAACACGCTTTCACAGCTACTGCTATATTAAATATAGACTTGGAACGGACACTGAATTGTGGAGGATGGAGGTGTCTCAAAGATTGTCCAGTCTAAACCCCTGGGGTGAGGACATGTTCTTTGGTAAAGGAACACCGGGTCCTCTCTTCCTTTTATGGCTGGAGACTTGTTAGGCATACAGATTGAGAAAGAGTCATGCCTTTGCACACACCAAGAACCTTTCCCCCTCAGATACCCAGTTCATGAAGCAGGTCTACAGGACTCTTCTCTGGAGCATCCAACATGGTGTCTGTGGGCACCATGGCACCCTCCGATGCTACCCTTGATGCTCACCAAGGCCACTTTCATTTTTTAAAAACCGGATTTTGTTGTTGTTTGTGTGGTCTGCTTCTTTGGTAGGGATATTGACTGCTTTTTTGCCTGCAGTTAATTTGTTTTGTTGTGTGTGTTGGTGCTTTGCCTAGGGGGGGATGTACCACAAGTCCCCTCCCCCAGTAAAATGGGTATTTTGTTGTGCCCATGGCAGTTTCTTAGATTTCCAAATGTGTCCACAATGTTTGGAGAACCCTATTCTTGTTCATAGGGACTAACACCCATACTGAGCAAGATGCTGATATCTGGTGCTATGATGGGCTCAAGCTTGATTTAATTGATGGTTTCAAAAAATTATGAACCTCCATTTGGGAAAAGGGTGACCATGCTTCATCCTGTACATCCTCTATCTGCAAGGCTCACTAGTCCAAGTCCAGTTTAAAGGGAGGGCAGGCTTGGAAGTTACACATCAATAGGCAGCCCAGTGCAGTAGACTGGGCAGGCACACAGACTTCCCTACAAACTTCCATTCTGTGGTGAGATAGGCTATGTTACAGTAAGCGGGTTGTGTTCTACTCAGAATTAGACCCATGTAAATTTATGAACCCATTTGTCATGTCTATAAATTTCAATGGGACTACTCAAGTGTATGGCCAGCACTGGACACATCCCATTCTTTCAAAATCTCCATCTATACTGAAAAGTTAGCGCACAAATAAATTTTATGCAAACTTATAGCCTTTATTTTTGGCCACCCTCTTTGGGAGGCACCAAGGTTTGTTGGCCAATAAGCTAGTCATTCAGAGCACTTAAAAGACATGTGAAGTTAAAGACCATCTGCATCATTGTGTGAGCTTTGTTTGTTAAAACTCAGAAACAGTGGAGCTGCAGTGGTACCAGTGGCGTAGCGTGGGTTGTCAGCACCCGGGGCAAGGCAAGTAATTTGCGCCCCCTAACCCGTGGATTTGCGCCCCCTAACCCTAACCCCCAGATGTTGCGCCCGGTGCGGCCGGCCCCCCCTGCACCCCCCACGCTACGCCACTGAGTGGTACTGCAGTAGAGAGCTTCTTTTTCCAGTCCAAGGCCTAATTCCCAGCAAGGTTGGGGCAAGTGCCTGTTGCTGCAGTATTTGCTTCCCCCCAAGTCCAGAAACAACTGTGGGCCTAGGTTAAGAGACTTTTGTGACACTAGTGTAATCTCGCTTTCTGTAGCATCCCAGGATGGTCAGAGGCAGTATGCTTCTGAATACCAGATGCTGGGAACCACAGGAAGGGAGCGGGCCCTGGTGCAAGTCCTGATTGAAGGCTTCCTATAAGCATATCGTTGGCCACCGTGAGAACAGGATGTTGGACTAGATTGGCCATTGGCCTGATCCAGCAGGCTCTTTTTATGTTCTTACATCCACTGAAAAGCAATGGGATGGCATCCCTGCCCACTTTGAGCTCTGGACCTCTCTCAGATACTCATATACTCAGTCAGTCACATGCAATATTGAAAAGCATATTTGAAATAAGAGAGCACCGAGGCCTTAACAGTAAAAGTAAAGAAAATGTCAACTGGATTATTCTTTCTCCGCCTCACCTAAGTACTGCTGCCAAAGGATTTTTAAAAAGTTACAGATTCCAAAAAATATTTTATTTACGGCAACTTCAAGTAACAATATGTAGCCTTTCCTCCAAGATTTGGAGTCTAGATAAAATTGGATTTCAAGCTGAAAGGTAGATTTGTTTGTCTCCAGTCTGATCCCATCTTCCCCTCTGCATATTAAGCACATGGAGGGGGTTCATCCAGGGGTAAATGCAATAATATCCAAAGAGAATTTCATCCAGAAGGTCCTTCCAACCCTAGTATCTCTTAGCTCCATTATTCTCCCATGCCAGCTCCAGATGCAATACTCTGTGTGGAAGAGTAGCCTCTGTAAAGAGCCACATTAAGTAAGAAAATGGTTTACTCACTTTCCTCCTGGCTTCTGCTCTCTGGAAACTCTCATGCTGTATGAAGACAACTGCTGGAAGGACTCGAGGGGACGAAGCATTTTCAGTCTGCAATATATTTACCGCACGCTCCAGAGTCATCTCTCCTTCTGGATTCCTGGGTGATTTAAACATTAACACTTTGTAAGCCCAGACTGCAAAATGAGCACCAGTGGAACTAACGGATGTTCTTTAGCAGGTTGCGAATGTCAAGCAACAAGCCTGATTAAAAACAACACTGTAAATAAGTAATAGATCTGGTGCCCTCCAGATGTTGCTAGACTACAACACCCATTGCCTATGGCAGGCTTCCTCAAACTCGGCCCTCCAGATGTTTTTTGGCCTACAACTCCCATGATCCCTAGCTAGCAGGACCAGTGGTCACAGATGATGGGAAGTGTAGTCTCAAAACATCTGGAGGGCCGAGTTTGAGGAAGCCTGGCCTATGGTGTCTGCTGGCCATGCTGGCTGGGACTGATGGGCGTTGTGGCCCAACAACTGCTGAAGAGCACTAGGTTGGGGAAGGCTGGATTAACATACTTTCTGTGGTATAAGCTTTTATGGGCCATATCCTGTTTTGTGAAATACATGAACTTACCGCAGTTGGCAGAGGTAAGTAAAGAGATGGGTACAGAGGAGGGAAAAGTAAACAGTGGGTATAAAATACCAGGAAAAGCACAAATTAAAGTAAGGCACACACCCACACCCTACATCTAAAGAACTATGAGCCCATTTTAAACAGTCGTGGCTTCCCCCAAAGAATTCTGGGAGCTGTAGTTGGCTAAAGGTGCTGAGACTTGTTAGGAGAACTCTCTTCACAGAGGTCCTTAGGAAGAGAGATTAAGCTGCTCTGGGTATGGTAGCTCTGGGAGCAGGCAAGCACCTCTCCTTTCTCAATAGCAACAACAATAAATTAAATAGCCAATGTTTGGCTGTCCTTTTATGATGCTAAGAATCAGCTGCCTGAGACGGCTGACTCACTTTACCCAACAGTTGGGCTAGCCCTGCTAGATCTCAGTACACTATGTAGAATGTAATAGGTAAGAGTGGCACCATCACATGCTTCAGATGTCACTTGCAGTACAGTTGCAAATAAATAAATTGCCGCTACTGTTGTACATCACTGTACACAACAGGATTCCTCCTTTCCAAGGTTCTACCTTAGATGTTGGACTACAGCCCCAGGTAGCCTGTTGTGTTAATGCATCAAACTAGCATGACAGAGAAGCCAACACGTGACTCTTAAGAGGGAGTAGTCTTTACCCACATTTTTGCATGTACTTAAAACCCCCCCCAAAATAGCCTTAAATTAAGTAATATTAAACATTAGAAAAGAGCAACCAGATTAAATTTAATTGACTGAAAATGTTTAAATGGTTCTAACTGGATAGTCAACTCATTATGCCCTGCCCCATTCAATGCCGGTTTCAAGCAATGTGTTTTGAGCTCTATCCATTTTCTCCTACACTTCTCAAGTGATGATGAAATCAAAATGTCAGCTGCTTATATCTGCACTACTGAGCCAACCTGGAATCGACAGCAAACATCACAAGCCACCTGGGGAATTTCAGCTGTTCTGTTCAATCCAGCTGTTATCCTAACCAGAAGTTCAGTTCTTGTTCTGACCTGACATCTTGAACAAACCCTTTCTGTCCTCCTGACATTGTATACCTTAACAGCTGCAAAGTTAATTTCCGAGTATAGAAAATCATGTTCTTATGACTCAGTAGACTGGAGTAGGAATTCCAGCAATGAGTAAAGCAAGATATTATTATGAAACCAATACACAGCAGTGGAAATAAAAATGATCTGCTGCCTTTGGAAGATAGTTTATTCCAACAACACAATCCTGAGCATGTCTGCTCAGAAGCCCCATTTAATTCAATGGGAGGGAAATGTGCAGTGGACTGCAGCCTATGTTATGTAAGATACATGTGCAGTAAGCTCTATGTCAACATGGGAAGGTTAAAATAAAATAAGCTCCATGAGTGCCTATTTGCTGAGTATGCACAGAGACAAGATAAGCCAGACGCTTTCTTACATTGCTAAGCCTTGTCAGGATCTTTGCCGGATTTGCAAAGTCCCATGAACTGGGTGCACTGTTCATGAAAACTAGATAAGATCAAGATGTAAAGCACTGGTGCCTGGTGTGTCTAAAAAAGGGTGGAGTTAAACCTTACCCTGCTTGAGATCCAACGGCGCCGGCCCGTTCTTGAATCATGTGTCCACTTCCTGCTGCAGCTGCCATAGCTGCTGTCATTGCCATCCTCCTCCCTGTCTCGGCAGTGGTGCTGGTGATGGAAGCTGGTTGAGAGGCCTCCCTTGTGCTCTGCGACCTGACTGTCGTCTGGTGCCAGCTGAACCTGTTCTGAGACTGCCTGTTCTGAGACCAATTTTGGGAAGCGACAGGAGTCCTGACTTGTCCCGTGGCATACCCAGAAGTCGGGTAACTCTCTTTCTCCAAAAGGTTGTTCATGCTCCGACTGGTCCCAATACGCTGATAGACTGGTACCCGTGGGCTGTTTGGGACGCTGTCAACCTCCGTGTCGTTACCGGACCCAATGTAGAACTGCCTCTGCACAGCATACCTTCTGCTTGCAGCATTCTGGCCTCCGTAGCCAAGGATTTCAGAGCGAGCGTACCTTGGAGGCACGGCACCGGATCTCTTGCTTTCGCCATGCCTCACAGTTAGAGCCCTGTGGTAATGGAAGTCGTTTGGGTAGTGTGCCAGTTTGCCAGGGCTGCCATTGGGGGATACCTCTAATCTCTTCAAGGGCTGCCTTTGAGATGTCTCTTCCATGCCCCTGTAGGAGCTATAGGAAAGGATTCTAGGCTCCCAGCCATTTTCATAACTGCTTTGTGATCCTATCTGTTAAACACACACAAAAGGGACAATACAGTCAACAAAAAGAACATCACGATAAGGCATGATATGGGGTGGAATGTTTTCTGGGGGGAAATTCCTTTGGTATATGATCCCATGGAAAAATGTGGCCATCGCCACGTCTTCTGGAAACTGAGTCTGTATGCACTTTGTGAGGAAGTATGTCCTGAGCCTTTTGCATTTATTACATTTACAGCTGCCAATTCCTCCAGGAAGCTCAGGGAAGCTGCATTTTACCATCATGATAAGCCTGTGAGGCAGGTTAGGCTAAGAGATAGTGGTTGGCCCCAAGATTACCCAGTGATTTTCTTGAATGAGTGGGGATCTGAAGTAGAATGCTCTACCTATTTCATCACCCTGGCTAGCATAATTTCCCGCTCCTTCTTTCCTAGCACTTAGCTGTTCATTATTCTTTGAGTTTCTGGGATAAATGTCCCATCTGTCCCGTAGATGTCTTGGATGTTATTAGCAATGAGAGTCCTTCACAGGAGGTTAAGTTACAGTTGTGCAGTTTCCAAAGCATTTTCATTGCCCTATATAACATATAAAAACTTCGGTATTTCCTCAAAGGCTTGCATGACTTTCCCATTCCACCTCCTTTCCAGAGCAGTTACTTTTTTTTGTAATTTAGCAAGAAAACTACATGCAACTACAACAGAATCAAAGACTGAAAACACAGAGAACTCTGATGCAGGTGCAAAGGAGGCTATTGATAATGGAGAAAACAAGTAATTAGATAAATTCAGACACTGTAATTAAAAGCTGGGAGATGTACTTAAGTTAAGCCACACAAGACGATTTAGTCTACACAGGGTCCGCAACCTGTCTGACAAATATAAACAAAGGCAGAATTCCTCTTGGCTCATGTACAATCAAAAGCTCTAGCGTCTGAAATAAGGATTAGTTTCCTTCCTGGAATCTAATATTGTAAGCAAGAATAGTTAGCTCCCTTAAACATTTCTGATCCTGCTTTGTAAAACTAAATGCACCATTCCTTCCTCAACCTCAAACACATCGCTTTTGTAGCAACAATCTCTCTTTCCGTCCTTCGATTATCACATTATCGATAACATAAAATGGAGCCCATTTGTCACACAATGGAACTGGGTGACTAAGCCAATTTTCCTCAGCAAATCTTCTATTTAGGAGATTACTTTTGTTTGTGGAATTATAGCAACGCTTAAGATATGGGTGGCCTTCAAGCATGAGAGGAAAACTCAGCAGGCATTCTCAAGAGTATAAAATGGATGAACCTGACTATGATCCAGCCATTATCCATCACAGCAAAGCAAGGAGGACAGGCATCTGAATTCATTTATACATCCACTGTGTGTGTGCATATTCCTTCAGTGTTCCTTACCTGATAAGATGGATAGTATGAAGTTCCATGAGGAGGTCTTGAAGCAAAGTCTGTTTCATCTGCTATGAACACATATTCTGGAACGCTGGCAGTCCGATGCAGACTCCCTGTACAAAGACACGAGAAATACGTTCACAGCACATTGTGCACATTAATAGTGAACTCAGGTGCTGAGTTACGATGGCTTTACCGTCAAAGTAGGACTCACTGAAAATTAAGAGAGGCGCATCAACATGCTCAAGAGAACCCTGCAAATTTTGCATAAGAAGGATGGATAATTTTAAGAGGGTCAAAATGCTGAGCCAACTACCTGGCTGAAGCTCAGCAACTCTGGGTCTGGTTAGTGGTTTGGATACTCTGGTTTCTCTTCAGATCGTATAAATCTTTCGCCTTTTACTGGTTAGTGGTTTGGATGGGCGACTCATGATGGCTTCCATGATGGAAGGAATATGAATAAAATAAAATAAAATAAAATAAAATAAAATAAATAAATAAATAAATAAATAAATAAATAAATGTGTTACATTAGTGAGGTCAGTATTAATAAGAGCAGCAATACCAACAATAGCTTAGAAGTGCATAACAGTTTGCAAGTCTATCCTTGCCATAGGTGATCTTAAATTGAGGAAACTGTTCATGCAAGATGACAATTACACATTTTCATGCTGTGGGTGCGTCCATAAACCGCTGTGCTTCTTTTCATTCCTCCCTGCTTTGACATTTCTTTAATCACTCAGTTACAAACCACAGCAAGCAATACTGTTCTAATCCCTATCCTCACATTACTTTAAGGGCAACCAGAGAGGAGACATATGGCACATGGTGTGCAGCGCAGAATGGAGAGTTAATGAAACTCTCACATCCATACCTGGAAGGTTAAGTAGTTCTATTGAAAATGGGAGAGGCAGAGAGCACAGGATCTGAGGAGGTCATGCTATGTGAACTGTTGCTCTGTCTCCTCAGCCACAATCTGGTTTCTGTCCTAATTTTAAACGAAAAATTCTCCCAGGCTGTATCTCTCAACATACGGTCCCCCAGCAAATCAAGTCTGCTGATTAAAATGGATTATTTGCCTATGCAATGATGGGGCTGCGGGACTCTTTTGAGGTCAGAAAAGCTGGGAGCGATTACTCTAGATGGCAGCAGGTTTTAAAAAGTGGTGAAAGAGGTTACTTGGTCAAAACCTTAAGAGGAGACCTAGCCAAGAACACTGGGATTTTCCTCATTGGATATTTTCAGAGAAAAGGCTAGAGAAACATCTTTTAGTGTAACACTCCATCCTGGCGCCCTCCAGAAGGTTTGGACCACAACTCTTATGTCCTGGCTGGGGCTGATGGGAATTGTGGTAGATCAAAATATCTGGAGGGCACCAGGCTGGTTTATACATTCCTATGGAAAGCACAGGCAATGCATGTTGAAAACACAGCCACTAGCTACCACCCACAGCTAGATGAGGAGAGCTGATGGATGGACCGGTTGTAACTGATGAGGAGTGTCTGGTTCGTATGTTGTAGGTCCTGCTACCTGCACCTAATGCAGAAGCTTATAATAACCTGTGCAGTCAGTTGGTCCAATGACAGTACCAGCTGTTAGCCCCCTGTTCAGGCAAAGAGTGGTGGTACTTTTAGTGTACAAACTGGGCTCCATCTCCTCGGTCGCAAGCCAATCCTAGCTGGCTCCTTAGGGGATGGTGTGTATAAGCACTGAAACTCAGTGCTTGTGGTTTTGAAGTGCTTGGTAGCTTCCACAGTGAACTGATGTGATGGGATAAGTCAGCCCTGTTGACAGAAGTTTGTGACCTGGGTTGCTGTTCCTTTGTCCTACTCCTCTCGGTCCACTCCGATTGCTACTAGGCACTGCACAGAACACCTCTGCCCTTCCCAGTTTTGTATACTGCAGTGCTGTCTTTTCAACTGACCCCATGCCTTGTGCATCACACCATAGAAGATCAGGCAAATCCTATGAAAGTTTATATAGGTGCTCTATAAAGTGTTATTTTGATTTCGATTCAGAATACACAGGCCCTGGCCTCAGGGTTGGCTTCTAAACAACAGACTAAACATGTCATGCAAACAGAGCAGAGGTAGAAGGTGCAAGATCAGTTAGAGTAAAGATGCAAATGATATTGAGATGGGAAAAATATCACACGGAAAATGAAACAATTTATAGCTTGCCTGTTTCACATATAGCCAAAGATCAGCAAACAGAAGATGCTTGTCCATATCCACCACTGACACAGATACTGCACGTTTGCTGTGATGGCATTCGTGCAACTTCCAGCATCAGATTAGAAAGTGATAATCCTCAAGGAACGGTTTTGTGGATGATCAGTTGTTAACCGAGATTTCAATTTAAGTTTCTACAGATTAGGGCTTAAAGCATTTGCCATCTTAATCAGGGCGATAAATCAACCACTGCCCTGTCTCTAATGGGACTAAATCAGAGCTGTGCCCTCAGAAGCAACGTTCAGCTAGGATGGTACTGTAAACCAACTTCACAGATATCCACTCCAGTGGAGCAGTTCCATTGATGGCACTATAAAACCACAGGTGGGGAATCACCAGCCTTTGGGCCAAATCTGGCCAAATGATAGAATCATAGAGTTGGAAGGGACCCCATGGATCATCTAGCCATCTAGACCCATACAGGGATCAAACCTGTGACCTTGGCATTATCAGCACCATGCTCTACCCAACTGTGCTAACCCACGAGGCCGTTTTACTCAAATGATGGCTACCTGCCCCACACCTGACATTGTATGTCCCACTGTCAGCTGACAGGCAGAAGGAAGAAATCCTGCTTTTTGCTGGCTTGCAAAGTACTATGTATGGGGGCTCCTAAACACATGAAAGCCAGGAACCACAGTAAGTCTTTCACTCAGCATTTCCCCAAGTGTTAAGCAAAGGCTGGCAAAGCCCCTTGCACTGTGGTTCAACTGGTTGTCGGTTCAACCGGCTGTTATAGATGCTTGGCAAGTGCTGTACAAGGGACTTTGACAGATGGATGGGACATCCCACCTGTCAATCACCTGCCATCGTCTGACAATACAATGGTAGTTTATATAGGTGCTTTGTAAAGTGTTGTCCCACCCACCTGCCAAAGGTGGCCCTCGAGGGTGGGGGGAGATAAGCCAGAAAAATTCCCAATCCTTTCTGGAAATCTTCCTAGGTGTGTCCATGTGTCTCTGACTGCTTATTATTTTTATTTATTAAATTTGCATACCACCCTTCATCTGAAGATCACAGGTGGTTCACAGCATAAAAAACAAGAACACAAAATATGTAATAAAAACAAATCAATCACACACACACACACACACACAGCCTGCATATAACTCATACTCAACCCATTTGTTTAATACAGGGATTTCCAACTGGTCGACCGTGATCGACTGGTTGATCCCTGGGAGGTTACAGTCGATTGTGGGCTCTCTAAGTGCCCACATTTTTCCTTTGTGGGGGAAAAAAGAACACCCGGCCCCGGCCCCTCGCCCTGTCCTCCATTCACACATGATCGCTAGAACGAAAGATGGAGTTTTTTGCTGTGAGGCTGATTGTTTCCTTTTTTGTTTTTTTTGTTTTTGGCTATTACTATTATTTATTAAATTTCTGTACTGCCCTTTATCCAAAGATCACAGGGCAGCTTACAATATAAAAAAACAAAAATACATACCATAATAACAAACAGACAATACCACCCCCAATATTATTATTTATTAAATTTTCTGTTGCATAAAGCACAGTGGTACCTCGGGTTAAGTACTTAATTTGTTCCGGAGGTCCGTTCTTAACCTGAAACTGTTCTTAACCTGAAGCACCACTTTAGCTAATGGGGCCTCCTGCTGCTGCCACGCTGCCGGAGCACAATTTCTATTCTCATCCTGAAGCAAAGTTCTTAACCTGAGGTAATATTTCTGGGTTAGCGGAGTCTGTAACCTGAAGCGTATGTAACCCGAGGTACCACTGTATTTGCTCGCCAGCTCTGCCAAAGGCTGATTGTTTCCTGAGCAATTTTTTGGTGAGTGACTTTTACCTTTTCCCCTAAAGACCTGCCCCTCTAAAAAAAGGCCAACAGCTTTGTCCTGAACCCCACCCCCAAAAGGGGTAGATCACTGCCAGTTTTTTATTCTGTGAGTAGATTGCAGTCTCTTGAGAGCTGGACGTCCCTGGTCTAATAGATGGGCTGGCTTTGCAGCTAACTCACAGGAAAGTTGTAAGAATGTGGATTAAAAAATGGATGCTGTTCTTCCACCTGGGCAGGGTGGGATTCACATCTAATACTGAACTCAGGTGGTGCGTGCTGACAGAAGTGGATCTAAAACAGGGCCACTGAGAAAGGAGGATTATCAGCATGCTCAGATGAACGCTGATGTTTGCAGAGACACAATAACGCTTTTTACAGACAACCAGCCCAATAACCAAATGAGTACAGAGGACACTCAGTCACCACGGAATGCCGAGTCAGTTGGAAAAGACAGACAAGCCTTCTTTGTGCGGCTCAAATCAGGTAAGGGTGTGTATGTGTTCAGGTGCTGCTTTTGCACAAATCAGCCCCACCCCTTCCTGTCCCAACCTTTATACATTGAGCATGAAAGTCTGGAGACTCTAACCCTGTTCAGCAGAATACCATTAGAATCCTCCCTGCAGATATTCAAGCATTGGGAGAGGAGGCGAGAGGAGTCCAATGGGAGGAGCTGAATGCCCTGTTCGGAGGGAATTGCTGGCCGCAAGCCTGAACAGAAAGCATCCTGTTAGGAAGGAGAACACACTGCAACGTTTTGTTGCAGGTCCTTTACATCCAGAAGCCAGTTACCAACATCCATCCCGTTCCAGTGTAGATTAAAGCAGGCATGGTTCTCAAAGGCTTGGGGTTACAGGAATTGCTAGCGGAGACAAGGTAGATTGGCTCACATCTGTCTCTCGAATGAGTGAATGGTTGCCATTCACTTGCGTGGGGATAGGGAACCAATGCATTTGCAACACTGGCTGTGCAAAGATTCACTTCACAACTGATGCTGGATAGCCCAGCAACACATTCGCAGGGATCCTGCAGTGTCTGCAATATGTTCTGTTTCCTCCCCAGGGACCCTTATCTTATACAGCTCCTTCACACAGCCTCCTGGTCCCCAAATTAACAGGATGTTGGGCATCTTGCCAGCAATATGCAAAAAGCATATTGTGGGTCAGGAACGCTTAAACCATTTTTGTTTTTGAAAGCCCTATGCAGATTTTTTTTGTTTTCAAAAACCCATGCAGATTTTCGAAAGCCTGTGTTGATTATCTTTTGAATGTCTTTAATACCTGTTTTTAACAGTCTTGTATTGATAATCTGAATGCTTTGTTTTTTGTTCAGGTAGGTAGCTGTGTTGGTCTGACGCAGTAGAAATATACATATATGTATAAAATTAAAAAATTGTCCAGTAGCTCCTTAGAGACCAACTAAGTTTGTTCTTGGTATGAGCTTTCTTATCTCATTATACATGATAAAGCTATTTTTGGCCATCTCATCCCTTGCTTTTTCCTGTAAGACCAATTGCAGTCGTTAACAGTCGTCAACAGGTTTACCACACCTATCAGCCAATCACCCATTCCCACCACCCTTCTGAGTAATACCCCTCCATTATTATTATTAATTATTATTATTATTATTATTATTATTATTATTATATATAAAGGTCTGGTGACTTCTGTTTCAGTGTATCTGAAGAAGTGTGCATGCACACAAGCTCATACCATGAACAAACTTAGTTGGTCTCTAAGGTGCTACTGGACAATTGCTTTGTTTTTTGTAAAACACCTAAAGGTTTTATTACAAACTAGTAGTGTATAAATTTTGTTTAAAAAATAAACAAATTTCAGTAACATTCAAATAAGACTTCAGCCTTAAAATCAAGATGTGTTACATTTACCCTGCTTTACAGATAAACATAGCATCAGAACCCTTAAAGCAGAGTTTTAAACATTAACACAATTCCTTATTATTCTATTCGGTATGTAACTAATCTAATTTAGGCATCTCCTGCTAATTTTTTTCCCTTCCAGAAATACATGAATACCATGTCTGTCTAGAGATAGATTTAGTGGCTTTCCTTCAGCAGCTTTATCTCATTTAATTAGCAAACTGGGCTTGTAAGGGCTCTGCTCTGATCTAGCAATTGGGTTACACAAAGTTCATTTTGGTTAGCTTGCAGGCTCTGGCAATTCTATCAGGCTAGCTGAGCTCTTGGGCAACTTTCTTTAATTGCCAGGAACATCATTTTTAAGGTTTCCTAGAAGGCTGGCGGACCGGTTTCAGAGAAATAGCTCCATGCCTGTCTGCAAATGTGGAAGAGAATCTTGTGGATGCACTTTAAGAGTAACAGAATTATTAGGATTCCTACATTGCAGGGGGTTGGACTAGATGACCCTCAGAGTCCCTTCTAACTATGATTCTATGATATATTAAGATATACTATTTTGTTGACTAGAGTACGCTTAACCAGTTGGTGGGCTCTACTCTATGAATGCGTATGCCACAATAAATGATTTAGGTATTTTAAGGTGCCAGAAAACTCTTCCAGGTTTGTTCAAAGCAGAAGCAATTATGGAGAACAAAGGCTAAGCAGGGAGATTAGATTTCAATGCGAGAAGGAAGAGAGGCTTTACAGCCTTAACACTAGATGTCTCTTCTTCAAAGCTGGAGAGTTGGCAGGCCTATCCCTAAGCTGCACACACAAGGAGAAAGTGTAGCTCATAACATTGAAGAATTAAGATGCAACACATTTTGGAACCTACCAGAATGAAAGTATCTGAAGTAAATAAATAAACAATGGAGTTTGTCAATAGCCTTTCGATGCCTTCAGAGTGGTCCTAAATAAACACTGTTACTTCAGGGGTAGGAAACCACAATTCCAGGGACAAAAAGCAGATCTCCAAGCCTCTCTCACTGGCCCTCAAAACTCCCAAGGCCACACCTCTCATTGTCCCAATATGCACTGCAAATATTTTTGCCTGGCAGGAATTTATCCTTGAACTTAGATAATGCCTGTTGATTGTCTGAACGGAGGATAGAGAGGGGTGTGTCAGAGTATGTGTAGAAACAAGCCTCCTGTACAAAGGTTACTTTTACATCTGTTGCTTCGTCCACTTTTGCCTTTGGCCCTGCCCACCACTGGCATATGGCCCTCAAAAGGCTGCGCAGAAAGGAAAGTGGCCCTCAAAGTGAAAAGATTTCCCTGCTCCTCCCTCCCTGGGGTTGTGGCTAATCTGTAATCAGGGTGATAATTCCCCTTATGCTGATACACAGTATTGCAGGAAAGAAACTGAACGATACCCACAAAATATGTAAGTCTGTTGCGTACACGCCTATTTGTTCAGTGATGTTTACTGTTTGGCAAACGTTGCAGCAATTGTGAATAAACGGCTGGTTTTATGTTCCCAGAGCACGGTCTAACTGAGGGAGGGCAAAAGGGAAACCACAGTGCAAAATTGGGCCCTGCCCCAAGTATTCCAAGATAAGCATGACTGCAATAATTTATTTACAGAGCAATCCCTCATTTAGGATATATTTCATGGAATCATAGAATTGTAGAGTTGGAAAGGACCATGGGTGTCATCTAGGCCACCCCCTGCAATGCAGGAATTCCCCCCCCCCCACAACATGGGGCTTGAACCCATGGCCCTGAGATTACTCAATGGAGAAGCCATTGATGTCATTAGGCTCTGAACTGACTAGTCCTTATGATTACTATTAATATCCAAATTGCAATGACGTGTGCTCAAAGTATTTATAAATGACCGACAAACACAGGTATTTGCTTGTATTCATTAAAGTCTAAGTTTACCATGAAGCAGAAACAAGACCAATTTGTTCTTCTTGCTCTACCTTGCGGAAAATAATAAAGCTCAAAGGTACAGAATACAGTTGGCCCTAGGAAGCAATGCAGCGGAGGAAATTGTCAGGTGCAAAGTCCTTATTTGTTTTGAATGAGTGACAATCCATTTCCATGTAGGGAAATTCTTAAAATGGTCTGCTGTGCAGACTGTCACTTCTGATAAGTGCATGCACGCCAACATGCAGGCAGGGTATAACTCTGTAGCCACAGCTCTGCGCCTTTCCAGCAGACATACACCCAACAAAGCGAACACATGTAGAGTCATCAAATCCAATAAATATCCTTTCCTACACAGAAGAATCTTCTATGTAGAAAATCTAGCTTACGTTAATGAGTGCGCAAGCTCTCTCACGTTTTTCATCTCATGCTTTTGTTTATGAACATTATACTCTCAAAATCCCTGACATTTCAAAAATGCAAGATGCCCCAAATACCAGCATATTGGGGAAAAACAAAGTTGGCCAAAAGCAACAAAACAACTCCAAGTAACATAACAATGTCCCAGCTGGTCAAGTGCAAATGCTTTGTAGGAAAGTTAAGTGTTTCTGGAGCTTTCCCCTTTGTAGGTATATTTTGGTAGCTTTGCATGCATAGGCATTGTTCCAGCTTGCCTTCCCTCCTCATTGGCTGGCTTCAGATAAAGAAGTATTTTACAGAGCTCTTTCGATACACTCTGAGTAAACAATTGGGTGGCATTTACCGTAAAACCAGAGACATTGTTCAACATCCAGAAGCTTTTCTCTCTCAGTTTTCTTTTTATAATTACAAATTACACACCCAGGATGACCCAAAGTTTTTATGGCTTCTCAGGAATGAGCAGGATGCTGCCCGATTGTTCCTGCTTCTCTCCTCCTCTGGTGCACACAGGATAAACCAACCATGAAGCCTTGGCTTCCCAGTACACCTGGATGTGGGACTGTGGTTTGTTGCTTTGCAACCAGTCATGATAGGCGATGCAGCAACAAACCATGGCTTCAGGTTAACTGTGGCTTGTTATGGAGCAACAAACCATGATCCTAGGTTCAGACAGAATGGAAAGCCAAGGTTTCCTGGTTTGTCTATCTTCTTTGCACCAAGAAAGGAGTGAGGAGTTAGGTTCCAAGGTAAGTAATCTATCAGGAAATAGAATTTTTAAAAGATTTTTAAAAGATCAGGAAACAGCAGGCAAACTCTCTTGACTTCTGAGTTTTTATTCTGTTGGCAAGTGAAATGCCTGCTAAGAGAGAAAACTTGTGTGAGCTGTTGGAAGTCCTCAGAAGGGAATTCCACAGTCTAGGCATGGCATCCCCCATATCCCAGCCAAACACAAGTCAGATGTCAGTGGGATACACTCATGTGATCTTAAGCAAATGCATTTGGTTCAGTCTTCCCCACTGAATAGGAGGAGTTCAAAACCACACATAAGATTCATTTAACAGCTATGTGCAGCTTCCAGTAACATTGGGTGGATCATTAAATCATGTGGGAACTGGCCCTTAAATTTTCCTGTTTGTTTATTTCACTTGATAGCCACCTTTCTTCTGAGGAGTCCCAAGTTTTCCTTCTGCCCCACATTGTATTCTCAAAACAACCCTCTGATGTGGACCAAGCGTGTGTGTGTGTGAAAGAGAGAGTGTAGGAGTGATGCCAAGTCACCCAGTGAGCTTCATAGCTGAGCATGGATTTCAACTTGGATCTCCCCAGTCCTGGACACTCAAACTAATACATCACATTGTTCTCACTCTGTGTTCAGCAGAGCTAGGAGAGAATTGAGGACATCCTACATCTGGCCTAGTTGACTGCTGTGAGGCTGGACCACACATTCACCCACAGAACAACATTGGCACTACTGATCCAGAACACAATGTACCAGAAGCTCAGAATAGCCAAAGACCACCTGATCTTATCCTGTCAATTTCCTGTAGTAGTATATACCTGTGTTAGAATAGTGCACTCCAGATATTGTTGGGACTACAACTCCCATCAGTCATGACCAATGGTCATGCTAACTGAGACTGACAAAAGCTGAACTACATCTGCAGGACACTGCATTCTCTACCCTTGGCCTACACCATCCAAATGCAGAATGCTAATGACATGCCTACAGTCAGTGCTCAAAGTTCACCAGGCGCATTATGCACGTGGTTATCAGCCACTTGTGACCAAGTGAAGATGCTGAGGTGCCAGGATGGTGTCTGGCATCTCCACCATCTGGGGGTTCCTTGGATCTTGACTGTTTCACACACTAGCAACAAATCCTGTAGAATTCTATCTGTTATATTTTATCTGCGCAAGCAGGATGTATTTCAGGAATCAAAAAGTTGTTTTGAAAAATACGACTTTTGAGCTGCCTGGCCCCATACTGGCAACTAGGCATTGTTTTGGCAACTGTAACCCTGGTTTAAGGAACCATTTGGCACCTAGCTTATATACCGTATATCCGAGTTTCTAACACTGCCTACCATGTGTGGACAGGCAGTCAGATGAAGGCAGACAATTTAGGAAAGGTGCCTTCAGGGCAAGGGGTAATAAATACATGAGTCAAACACTGGGTTGAGAATTCAGACTGACTATCTGGTGAACCATTCAGCCTTGAGTCACCAGCCCTGCAGGGCAGGGGGGAAATTGTATGAAAGCCAAGACGGGCTGCATGCAAACACAGCCCAAACAGATAAGACCTAAAATGGAAAGGCCAAATGTATGAACTTTTATGTGAGTGAGCAGATAACATGTAGCTCACTGGTTGATGAATGAGGTAATGTGGCAACATTATTTCACACTAAGACGTGCCGAATGAGTTACGCACAAAAGGCAGCAGTTTCGCCACTGAGAGATAAAACTCTGGACAGAGATACAGACGATTATTTACTGAGCGGAAATAATTTGCACAGCCACAACAGGACAGACAGCAACCATGTGCAAAGCAGGTTATTTGTAGAGCCCAGTCCCACATGACTAGCTCTTGCACTATTGGAGTGTCAGTCCCATTCCCCTGTGGTCACTTTGCAGGATGCTATGGCAATGATTCAACTTGGAGGTCACATGGGAGGAGCTGATGATGCAACTACTTCTCACACCAATGTTGCCTCTTCTTGGAGGGTTGGGAAACTGAGAGAGAAGCAAAAAGCAGCTGCAGTTTCTTCTCACATGATCTCAACATCCTAAAGTCAAGAAGCAGCATGGAATGAATCACATGCCAGCAGCAACCACACCACTCTTGCAATGTTGTAAATTGACAACTGTGTGTTGTTGTTTTTAAAGAAACAATTCTACGTACTGTGATTTCACTGTTGTTGTCCCACTGCATCCACCATATTGGGCATTTTTATTGTTGCAAAGCTGGCACATAACTAACTACCTTCCTTATGTTACTAGCTCTATAAAACATGGGGCATTATGTTTATGGAGGAAATAACTGCAATTACACATAATAGGGTAGGAAATGTGAATACTACCAACAACTTCATTATGATCTAGGCTGGAACCCTTTCATATTATATTGGAATGACACACCTAAGCCACAAAATGTTTGAGTTCAGGTACAGAATTTGTTGTAACACAAGTCTTTCTGTGTGAAATATAAGCAATTTAATACATATTATTGTACTTAATGCATTAAAAATCACTGGGTAGTATTCAAGTTTTACTTTGAATAGAGTCACTGAAATTAATGGACCTAACTTGGTCAGGTTAATTCATTTCAGGGAGTCTACTCTGAGAAAAACACCTCTCTCCCCCTCTCTAAATCTTCTCCATTTATAAATATGGGGGCAGCATCTACACAATATGGTTGTCATTGAAACACTCTGCCCCATTTAATCCAGATTTACCTTTTCCAGGGAAAATATGGTATGTTTTTTTAAAAAACAAACCTGCCACCAACTATTAATTCACGGTTTTTACAATATTTACAACATTAAGTCCCACCCCACCAGGTATGGGAGAAACATCTGAATTACCGACTCCTCCACACAGTAAAAACCCATGCAGATTATAAATCTTAAAGCGTCTGGAGGAAAATCAAAACAGACCCCTCTCCCCTTCTCAAGTTTCTGATAAGGGGGGGGGGAGGGAGGAGAGCCACAAGTATTTGAAAGAAGAAAGATTGGGCAGGAGAGACAAAGGAGATAACAAACTGAAGAAAGGTGCCAAAGAAGGAACGGTGGGAAGACCTCATTACCCGGAAAGTACCTGGCCAGCTGCAATCCTAAATATTCACCAAGGCACGCACCCCATTATCCACAACAGAATGCAATCCAGACAGGTTTACATAATAATAATATTTTATTTATATCCCGCCCTTCCCAGCCGAAACCGGGCTCAAAGCCGCTAACAACAATAAAAGTAACACAACATTCTAAAATCAATTCAAAATCAAATTAATGGCAACCATTGGGCTAAAGTTCTATGAGGATTACCAAAGGAGGAGGTCAGACTGTGCCTTGGCCAAACGCATGCACACCACAAAGTCAAAAGTTAAGTAAAAAAAAAAAAAAAGTCTGACGAAGGAAAACATTTACATGGAGAAAGTCGCGGGTTCAATGATCCTCGGCTTCTCGTCTGGAAACCCTTGAGGGCCGCTGCCGGTCAGTGCCGACAATACTAGGCTTGACGGAAGCAACGGTCCGACTCGAAGGCAGCTTTCCAACGGGAAAAGCGCGGTTCTCAAGCCCTCACCCATGAGATTTAATTTCTGAAAACTTTGGCTAGATCATGCCCCGCGGGAGGGGGAAGTTAAAGGACTCTGCGGGTGGGGTGAGACTATAGAAACCGTCCAAAGTTTGGGGTTGTTCATTTAAAAAAAAAAAGTTGGAGGGAGGCCGGAAAGGGCCACTCACCGTTGACCATGGAGCCTCTGCTTTTCCTCGCCAGGGTCTGCTGGACCTGCCGCTGGATGCGCAGCGACTTCTGCGCCTCGGCCCGGCCGCCCGACAGCTGCGGGGGCAAAGCCAGCGTGGAGCTGTCCAGCCCGCCCAGGAACTCCTGGCCCAGGACGGTGCGGATGTAGCCGGGAGAATCGACGCCGACGCCGGGACCTGCCATGGCCGGAGAGGGGCAGGCGAGCAGGCAGGTCGGAAAAGCCGGCCAAGAGGACGGGCGGCCGTCGGTGCCTGAGGGACCTGCCGAGCGCAGTTTGCAGCGGCCGCGACGAAGCCTCCACCCCCTGGCGGAGAGCGGGAGGCCGCGCAGCTCGGGCCCCTCCCTCCGCCCGCCCCTCGGAGCGCCACGCCCGACGGGGCCAAAAGGACAGACCTGCCGGCCCTCCCTCGCCTGCCTGCCTGGGCTGGGCGCGCCGCTCTTCACCTTTAGCCGGCCTGGTTCAGTAACGTTTCGCTAACCAAATTTGAAACCGTCGTGAGCGGTGCAGCAGCAGCAGCAGCTTGACTTCCCTCCGAGAATAATAAAGCGAACCCAAGTGACTCCGGTTCGCAGGCACTTCCGTGGGAGCAAGTCCCAATCGACGGCGCACAGCTCGGCTGACTCCGGATTCAAGAACCGGCGTCGGGTGGGGCGGACGGGATCGGCTTGAATGCTTATTGGGCAGAGAGCCGGGCCTCACACAGGTGCAGGCGGGAAAGCGCGCCCCGCCCCGTCTGGTGTTTCATTTACACGCGGCTGCTGGTGGTGGGAAGCCTGCGGCCTTCCCGGTACAGTATTGTTGGACGCGGACATTTATTTTTTGTTTATTTTTTTGACAACTCACATAGGTTTAAGCTGTGTTTTTTTTCTTTAAAAAATTTTTTAGGGGTACTCTCATTTCGACTCAAGAAAACCAGCATTTTATAGTTCAAATCAGGAAAAACAAATACAGTAAATGGACAAAAGTGCAAAGATTCACTAAATGTTTAGGGGTGTGCGTACCCCTGTGTCCCCCCCAGGAAAAAAGCACTGGGTTTAAGTGCTGCCGATGCATGCCAGTTTTTGTAATCTAATGCTGGTTGTGTGCCAGATGTTCTTTGTAATGTTTTGCTCTCTCTATTTCTATGCAGTGGAAGATGAAAATGAAACAAAATGGATGAGCTAATGGTGAATTTGGGCCCTGAAGCCCAAAGTGTTTTAGCCACTCCTGCTTTAACAGTTTGTGAAGAGTAGATTATTCCATCTTTTCCACTCACAAGTAGGGGTGATCCACGTTAGCTGCTTGTGATTGACTCATGCCAACTCAGAAGCAAGTCCTATTGATTTAAGTGGGACTTCTAATGAGGTGTATAGGATTTCAGTCTGAGTCCTTTCCCCTGGGATTTGTATGGTTGTTGTTTAGTCGTTTAATCGTGTTCGACTCTTCGTGACCCCATGGACCAGAGCACGCCAGGCCCTCCTATCTTCCACTGCCTCCCACAGTTTGGTCAAACTCAGCTTCAAGAACACTGTCCAACCATCTCGTCCTCTGTCATCCCCTTCTCCTTGTGCCCTCAATCCTTCCCAACATCAGGGTCTTTTCCAGGGAGTCTTCTCTTCTCATGAGGTGGCCAAAGTATTGGAGCCTCAGCTTCAGGCTCTGTCCTTCCAGTTAGCACTCAGGGCTGATTTCCTTAAGAATGGATACGTTTGATCTTCTTGCAGTCCATGGGATTCTCAAGAGTCTCCTCCAGCACCATAATTCAAAAGCAGCAATTCTTCGGCGATCAGCCTTGGTTCATAGTAAAAAGCCCTGGGAATTTTTGAATCAAAGGGCTCATAGAAAAAACAAAAATTCAATGGCTTTTAATAGCAATTCCCTTCACCCCCCAACCTGATTTCTGTCATTTGAGCACAGAATAAGTGGTGATTCTTTTTCTAGGTAAACAAGGTAAAAAAGTAGGTTCATTGACAGACTTGTGAACATTTTTATGTACATTTTAGTCTCATGCCAATTTCATTCTTAAACTTTCAGAAAACTTCACATAAACCTAAACTTTCCTAAATATCGGAGACAGATACCGTCTGTGCAGATTGTCTTTTCCTACACAGAATTACTATTTTCAGCTGTGACGCAATGCTTTGCACATTGGTATCCTGGTTTTGTCAGTCTCAGGGAGTTTCAGGTAGAAGCCAATCCATGTTTGGAAATCTTCAAAGCTTGCTTCCTCAGCCCCCCAGCCCCCACCCCTTTCCTACCCCAGAAGGAATGTGTGCTGAAATTGGCCAGGGCTCTCCCCTATTATCTTCTCCAGTTAGCATTCTAAGAACACTTAACTTCTACATTCCATTAGCCATGCCTGAGATTCTAACCTTTCTTGAAGATTCCTTATCACGGAATTGTGAATGAGTGGTCACAGACTTGAACAAAAGCTTACCAGGATCCTTAAAGATACAAGCGGAGAATTACTAATCAGTGCAGGAAATCAAGGGCTTAGTCCGCCCACAACAGAGTCTTTGCTTGAAGACCTTCAGGAAAGCACAGGGCACATGGTTTTCCTGAGGGCTGAACTGCTACTTCAGGAGGTGACTCCTTCAGGGCAAATGGAGGACTGAAGAACCAGTTTGGGACCAAATTTTCTGTTTGAACTAAGAGAGAACAGATAGCGGTCTGACAATAAAGCAGCTTGGGGTACCCTCTCTCCTTTGAGAAATAGGAGTGTCTTCAACATGCTCTAATTGTAACATCACATTGAGAAATATTTTGATGAAGATACCCAGTGTCTTCAATGCTGCCTCATAGACGTGGCACATTGCTCTGCAATGCGTTTCCTGAAATGTTGACTTTTAGGTGTCTCTTGAAGACTTTTTTATGCCGACAGGCCTATACAGTTGTTTAAAATCTTATTGAGTAACCAGTTGTTTTAATGATAGTTTTGTACTGCTTTTAAAGGGTTTTATTTTAATTAAAAAGTTTTTACATTACCACACACTGCTTGAAATTTTTGATGAGAGGGCAGTATCTATGAATGAATGAATGAATGAATGAATAAATTTCTCACTGTTTGGGAAAGTGCTGCATGCCTTTCTGTTCATTTGTACCTAAACAACATTAAAGATAGAGAGGGGTAGCACATGGTTCAGGGTCAAAATATTATTAAGTAAAACGTTTGCCTAAGCAGATGCAAAACCACATTACTGTTTTCTGTTTCTGCATACCACGTTGTCAGAATCTTGCAATTGCTGTCAGGTTTTTTAAGCGTCTTTCACTTACTGTGGGCAACCAAGGAGATGACCTATCACTGGATAATTTGAAGCACCTTCGGGGCAAAGACTAAGCTTCAAAGGAGAAATAGGTTTATGAGCAGTTGTTGAAACGGGACCTGTTAAGGCAGCCTCAAACTAGTTGCTACTTGAAACTTTTTAATTCTCAGGGTACTTTAAATTAGGCAGCTTTATCAGGCCACATGGTGGTTTGCAAACTGTCTATACTGGAGTTGTTTTTAAAGTGCGTTTTTTGTTTTATCACTTGTGTGCTGCCCTCAGCTCTTTCGGGAGGAAGGGCAGGATATAAATTTAATAAATACACAAACCTGTGGCATTTTGCTGCCTGAAGCAGGTCCCAATTGATGTCCCAGCCCACGAAGGCTAAGACTTTAAAAAACAACAAAACTTCTTGCTGCCCCATTCAGACATCACCGTTCCTGCCTTTATCTTCCACACTCCTCATGGTGCCACTCAAAGCAGGTCACTTTACTCTGCTTCATGGCAGAGCTGGCCCCGTTCCTGACTCACAGATTTAATCATTAACTGTCTCCCTAACCAGCTCTCCCCCTGGCACGCTTTGGACCTTTCCACAGGAACCTTTGCATTCAGATGGAAAAGGCATCATGCTGTGCATCCCCTTATTGTCTGAGGTGAAGAGAATGAGCATGCAAGGCAAGGTCTAACTGGCCATGGCATCCAGGCTCTTAAAACCTCCTACTTAAGAAGTTCATCAGACCCCACCCCTTAATCTTAGCTTTCCTTTCTGTTTCAGAAGGCATGTGGGTCAGCCCTTTAGAACAGGTTTCCTCAACCTCGGCCCTCCAGAAGTTTTGAGACTACAATTCCCAGCATCCCTGAGTCCTGCTAGCTAGGGATCATGGGAGTTGTAGGCCAAAAACATCTGGAGGGCTGAGGTTGAGGAAGCATGCTTTAGAATCAGCCTCGTCTGACCTTGCTGTAGTTTCTGTCTTTCTTGTTCCCTTCCACTGACTTTATTTCAAGATTGCTCGCTGCTCTTTAGGCTATTCTGGTTTTCCTGCTGCAGTTTACTTGGTGCTGTGTAGTGGCTAAGTGACTCAACTTCAACTGAGGAGGTTCCCCAGTTCAGTTCAAATCTTACCTCTGCACCTCACTTCAGCTCACTTAAAGGGTTTGGCAAGCCAGTTTCAGTCCACCCCCATCTACAATATGGGGTGTGCGTGTTTGATAATACAGACTTATGACAGCAGTAATGGGCAACCAGTGGACTGTGAGCCTTCAGTTGTGGGACTCCAACCCCATCAGCCCCAACCTGCAGGTTCCCTACCCTTGCTTTACAGGGCCAATGTAAGGGTTATAATTGGATGAGAAATTATTTGAACCCTTTAAGGCACTTTAGAATTGTTTATCACCATCATTATCATCATCAGTCATTTTTTTTTGCTTGTTAGCTGCTTCTAATGCTTCCTAACCTGTTAGTTAAACAGAAAGAAAAGGCAGGATAGAAACATATTAAAAAAACAAAATAAGAAACACAGTAGAACATGGGTAGGGCAAACTAAGGCCCGGGGGCCGGATGCAGCCCAATCGCCTTCTAAATCCAGCCCGCGGATGGTCCGGGAATCAGCGTGTTTTTACATAAGTAGAGTGTGTCCTTTTATTTAAAATGACTCTCTGGGTTATTTGTGGGGCAAAGGAATTCGTTCATTTCCCCCCCTTCAAAATATAGTCCAGCCCCCCACAAGGTATGAGGGACGGTGGACTGGCCCCCTGCTGGAAAAGTTTGCTGACCCCTGCAGTAGAACCTTGGCTTATGTTACCCTCGGGTAACGTAAACTTCGGGTTGCGAAAGCAGCAAACTCGGAAGTATTTTTTCGGGTCTTACCGTTCGCGCATGCACAGAAACGCACCGTGCGCATGCGCAGAACAGGCGCTTCTGGTTTCAGAAACCTCGGAATCTGACCGGAGCTCCAGAATGGATCCCATCTGCATCTGGAGGTACCACTGTAGAAAGTCTGGGGGGAAGACATACTTGGGCAGCTTTAAAAGAGGACTGGCAAATTCATGGAGGATAATG